TTCAATAGGGATTTGAGTTCTGCTATCCTGAGTAAAAACGTCCCCTTCCCATAGTCAAGATAGGCAATCTGCTACACAAATCAAACAGCTTCGGCTGTTGCGCATGACAAGTTGGGCCTTGTAGTGTAATCCTGCTCAGTTAGTTCAAGAGCATCACAGATCTAGTCTGTCATGCTGATTCGAGCATGACAAATTCCGAAACACGACTAGAAAACGCTTCTCATGGGGCTCCGCATGCGGAACATAAACATTCGATTCTCAGGTCAGCATGCAGATTTACATGACAACTATGGGGTGGGGACGTTTTTAAACAGGATATCTGCTGTTCTTTTCCGAGTAGTTCCCGTGGATGTCGACGCACTGGAGGAAGACGATACAGGAGGTTTTCCTGAGTAAAAACGTACCCACACCAGAGTCAGGATGGGGATTTTGCAACACAAACCTAGGAGTTTTGTGAGTCACGCATGACAAGTTGCACTCTGCAGCGTAGTGCAGGTTAGCAAGTGCAGCCGCGTCACAGATTCGTCTGCTCATCCTGTTCACAGCATCACAAATTCCAAAACACGATTGGAAATGGCTCTCATGGGGATGCGCATCACAAGTCTTCCTGTCTTTGCAAATCTGCATTACAACTCTGGTGTGGGTACGTTTTTACTCAGGATAGAGTTTCCTGTTCTGTCATCTTCCACAAACCCAACCCAAGAACCGGCATTTCCGGAATTCTGAAAGTGGTTGTTGTCGCCGGTGTTTTATTTGCAGCGTTAGCGTTACCACCACTACGTGTACTTCCACCTGTTTCCAACTCGTGCTCTTTCACCAATTTCTCCAACACTCCCGCCACGTCGATCTCCACATTCCCGCTGGTATTGAATTCTCTTAAAACTTCTATCATTTTCTTCTTCAAACCCGTCAAATTTTCCTGCTCGTTTTGCGGGTCGTTCAACGACAACAGTTATCAAACGCAAATCTGTCTGGGTCTGGAAACTTGTGTTGCTAATACTTGCATTGCAAACTGGCTGCCTGTACGGCATGACACCATGAGAAATTTCACTCGGCTCCTTGCAGATTCTTTCGTGTTTAGCATTACAAACTGCCATCCAGCATGCCAAAAAAACTGGCAAATCGTGTTCATGCATTACAGATCTTGTTGTCCTTGAAGTCCTGCATCACAAATGCAGACCCAGACATATTTGCAATGCATAACAGCCGTGACAAAATCTGCCACAGATGCTGGAACTGCGGGACGGCCTCCTCACAAAGCCGGTATCCTGTGCAAAAGTATCGTACTCGTACTAATCGCATTCAAGCATTACAAATTTCTTTCTCAGGTTAGATCCGCATTAGAAATTTTCTTTCTCATGCTGAGGAAATTTGTCATGCGATTTGTACTAGTACGATGTCGATGCTTTTGCATTTCATAGTCGGGCGACGAACACTAATCGCTCCGATTCGGAGAGGGACGACGAAGCTGGTGGAGACGACGCGCTTTTCTGACAAGACGAGCTGCCCTATGAGAGTGCACAACTCCCGCCCCTCCCCCTCATTTGTATGGCATGAGCAGCAATACAGACACTGACACCAGCACACATGGAACCGATGCATGACAAAAATATGCGCCTCATGTAGTACCCTTTGGGCTTCCGGAATTTGTCACGCGAAAAGTGCCACAGGGCAGCGACTGGGTTTCGGATTTTGCATGACAAAGGAGGGGGAGGGGGGGTTGCGGACTCTCATATACCCGGAGATACACTTGGTTTCTGTTGCAAAAACTCGATCAAATCCTGTAGTTTTAGCTTGATTGGCGGGATGTTTAGGCTGGATGGATTTATGTTCGCAGAGGTAGTTGTAGAAGAGGCACTGGCACTATTAGTGGTCTTCACGCTGGCGCGGTTGTTTCTTAGCGGCTCGTAGACGGTTCTACCAGTACTTTCGGATACTTTTTCGAGACGAGGTCGTGGCCGCGGAGGTGGTTCATCTTCTACGACAGGAAGGGCGGTTGGCTTGTTTGCGGCCGGTGGTTGCCTTGTTGACTGTTCTCGCACTATTTGGTGATCCTCTAGCTCTACCTCTTGCCCCTCTGTCTCGCTCGAACTTCCGACGGTCGTACTAGAAAACTTTGATTCCTCCTCGTCTACTTCCACGAGATCATTCCCCACACCCGCTGACGCCTCGCCGTGGCCAGGACGCTTCGACCCAGCAACGGCTTCTTCATGTTGAAGGTCGTTCCCGTGCCCAGTTTCGTCCGCGCCGTCACATGCTCCTCGTGTGGGAGGCAGATTGTTGTCCTCTTTCGGTTTCGCAGCAGGCGACGCAGCAACGGGCGCTTGTTCGATTTTTGCAAACAACGCGGCAAGCAAGGGATCACCACCACCGAACATCGTTTAAGTTTATTCGCTGGTCGTGGCAAGACGGCGCCTTTGGGTTCTCGCACTCACTGTGCGTGCCTTTTTTTCTCGATTTTTGTATGGTAAATTTGCCTGCAGCCGGGCCCCTGAAGAGTTGTGTGGGCAAATAGTTAATACCTCTTCTGTTGTACTTAACGAACCTGCCAAACCTCTCGACGCCTCTCCTGTATCTAAAGACATGACTGACAATAAAGAGTATACCGGGCGCTAGTAAATGAGCAAAATGTCATCTTCAGAGCCCGGCTTTCACGGCTCTCTGAAAATGGCCTCGCTCGTGGTTGTAAAGTAGAAGCGTACTGCTCACACAAACGCAAGCTCTCCTCCTCCAACCGTCTTCCTCGGAACACAACATGTGCCACATCCTAGTATTAACGCCACACCTTCAGCACCTCCCTCTTGTTGCAATTGTATCTCTAGGAGCTGGAGTTGCAGTTGCGTCCTTCTTCAATGTTCACCTCTGAATACTGGGGAGTAGTACTTAGTTTTTGCCAAAACTGCAGCGCGCACTAGCCTTCTTGAGGTACAACCTGCCGCAAAGGTCGTGCATCATGTACATCAGAATCAGTGCAGCCGCCACTGATCATGCCCGTTACAACCATCAACGCAACACGAAAGACGTCACTTCACTACGCTACTCGACATAATGTCGGGTATGATCTGCAGCTGAGAACACAAGGAGTTCTGTGATGTCGACTCGATATCCCGGAACTTCTTGTGCTCTCAACTACAGATATCGTTTCACAACTGTGCATTTGTACTTTATGGCACTTTTATCTTGTGTCACAAAGGACAAGGAGCGCCAGCGTACAACTTCTATAAGTGGTTAATAAAGGTGATTCACATTCAATCTTCTATGGCTCTCGATAGAAAAATCTACACAGGACTTGCTTTCCCTACGAATCGTTTTTTCATTTGTTTGCTCTGCGGGAAATGTCAAGAACCTGTTTTTTCCGAAAATTGATTTTACATACGACGCAAATTCCGAAAGTTTGAATAGAGAAAAAGCCTAGGCCATTTCACGACCATAAGGACCCAAAACAAAATGACGCAATGCGAAGTACCGCTTAATTTAATCAACTTTTACTACTAGAAGTAGGGCTTTTGTACTTCGGGTTTAGTACGACTACGGGTAGAATGAAAATGAATGCACAATTTTCATATAATAGATTCGATTCGATCAAAATAAACACATCAAATTAATAGTACTGTCCAAAAGGATGAAGATCAAGTTTCAGCTTTGCACTGCTTGTGGCTGGTGTTTAAGCTCCTGTTTTTGATGTGCAAGTCCTTCAAGCATGCACTTTTCGTTTTCGATCTTTATACGCTTACAATGAGCCCCTCACCACTGGTGCACCTCGGCAGGAATTTTAGTTTTCCAAACGAGGCCTTGTTGGGCCAAAGGATAATAGAAAAGTAAAGAGAAAGACAACTGCAAGTTTTTCGAAAGTAAAGATCATAAACCTGGTCAGATATTGTGAGAGTGAGTTACACGACAGAGAATGAGAAATGCGTAATCACATCAAGGTCTTTGAGTCGTCACACTCGACGAGCCTTGGTGACTCGTCAGGTTTGTGTGGACAGACTTCTACATAGACGTAAGAAATGTCAAATGAGTAGTGCCGACCCTGTTAGTTTTCGGTTGAAATTTGGATTCATCATAGTACGAACAAAAGAGATTCATCATACACCAAACTGCTTGGTCGTTCCTCATCGAATAAGATTCATTAAGTACCAATACACGTCGTCGCACTTCAAGAGCGATGTGGAACTTTACTTTTTTTTACTATGGTTCTTCTTGCCCCTTTTATTTTTTCCCACTGTGCGGACGATATGCGGACGATATGCAAGGCACAAGGTCGCTGTATTGGAGTTGAATTCAATTGCTTTCTGACAAACCTTAGAAATTCGTAGACGAGTCTATGCGGGGTTCGGGAGAACGTGCGCGTTAGCGCCAGGGCTATCCGCGACGAGTTCGAGTAATGCAAGTGCCAACAACTAGCCTCAATATGAATTTGTCAAGCAAAACGCACTGGTGAAGTGACTAAATTTCTAGGGAACTTACTGCGGAATTTGCTGTAAAGAAATGGATTGAGAGCTAGGCCGTAAAAGTCTGCAACGCGATCAAGTAGATGTAAATATAAAGCTCACACGAGATCATGTGTGTCACAAACTTAAAAGAAAGGTCACTATTTTCGCCGCGCTGCTGTCTCCAACCACAAGGTGCAAAGGAATTACATTCAACTGCACTCCTTCCACACAGAAAAGCGAGGCGAAAAATGAGACCGAGGCCAGGCACATGCAAAAGCGTTAGCATAGGATTGTCTACCCACGCCCTCCGACAGTTGTGGCACATCGGGGTCAAAATAGCCCGACATGCTTGTTGTGTCAAAGGAGCGCATTACCTTAAGAACTGGGGAGGGCGTGGCGCGTTCGTAATTTAGCCAACTCACATCGATTATGACTACACTGGGAAAAATAATATCAGTGTTGCGCGCGAGCTGTAACACCACGCCAAAACTAGCGTAAGGTGAAGCGCATAAGCGTGCCTAGGTCAGATGTTCCTTACCCTTAAATTTAGTAGTAGATCTTGTCGCATTACTTTTTTTTACTACTAGGTTTCTTGCCCCTTTTATTTTTTCCCACTGTGCGGACGATATGCGGTGAGGGACTTCGGCTCTTCCTGCTGTGCGGTGAGGGACTTCGGCTTTTCCTTCGGCTAGCCGAAGGGCTCCGTGCAGCTCCACCACGTCGGCGGCCTTGACCTGAAGGGGACTTCTTCTATCCTGTGCAAGAGTATCGCGCTCGTATTGCGGTCATGCATTACAAATCTTTTTCTTAAGGTAAATCCGCATCACAAATTTCATTTCTCATGCTGACAAAATTTGTAATGCATTTATACGAGTACCACGATGCTTTTGCATTTCATATCTTCTTCAGGTCGTCGACGTCCTGGCCCGCACGACCCGATCCTTCCTTTATCCTGAGTAAAAACGTACCCACACCAGAGTTGTAATGCAGATTTGCAAAGACAGGAAGACTTGTAATGCGCATCCCCATGGGAGCCATTTCCAGTCGTGTTTTGGAATTTGTGATGCTGTGAACAGGATGAGCAGACGAATCTGTGATGCGGCTGCACTTGCTAACCTGCACTACACTGCAGAGTGCAACTTGTCATGCGCGACTCACAAAACTCCTGGGTTTGTGTTGCAAAATCCCCATCCTGACTCTGGTGTGGGTACGTTTTTACTCAGGATATCCTTGACGGAAGCTTCAGGGATTGTTCCTTGACCACCTCCTCCCACAAACGCAGCAAGAGGTTTTTTGTGCTTCGGGACTCCCTTGTCGAATTGTTTCGTGCGATTTTTCAGGAATTCCAATGCATCTGCTCCGGGTTCCTGGAATAAGATGTCCATCATGATTCTGCGGTGCAAAACCCGCTTCTCGTCATGCTCCTCCAACTTTTCTTTCACCTGCGCGTCTGTCAAGTCGTCCAACAACTGCTTTTTCAATTTTTCCCACTCGGCTTTCGGGACGGAACGTGGTGATGGGCTCTTCTTTTTCCCGACCTCCTTCGAAAAGCCAAGATTCAAAAGTATCTGTATCGTCCGGAAAAAGTGGTCGATTTCATTACACACGACGGACTTTGCTTGGGGGTTTATTTAATTATCATATGCACGGTAGGCAAATAAATCTTGTGTAGAAGGAGCCTTCTGCAGCGCCACATGCCAATAAAGATGAAAAATTTATTTGTTGTTGCCATGCGCAGTGCGTTTTCTTTTGAGAAGACGCCACAGCTACAAATCTGGTGTCTACAACTTCCATATTGAGTAGGAAGATAGTTTATTTTGCAGTTCCAGCAGGGGTTTAACATCCCGTGTAGTTGCATAAATTTCTTTGCATGATGATCACAATATGTCGTGTACCGCGAAACGGAGGTTTTTTTTTATTTGATAAAGAAGTCCAGAAGATTGGCCATGAAGGCGGGACTGTCGATTTGATAGTCAACTGTGAAATTCACACCCGTTGCCTTCGCGCGCGCTTCATCGTTTTTTTGCTCGTCTTCGAGTAGTGCCCCAAGTTGTAGCCCGGACGAGAATGCTTCCCGCCCTTCTGGCGAATCATGTTTGCCGATGGCGCCGTCTGGCGAAGGAAGATGCTTGTCATCAGAACTAGCGCTACACTTGGCGGATGGGGCTGCAGCTTTGGGAATATCAAAGCTAAGCAGCAGCAGCCGTTCCGATGAAAGCATTGTGGCCCCCACTTTTCCCTCGCTCACCATTTCCTCGATGCTCTTGATCGGGTCCAAGTGCTCGAAGACAAGGATCTCATTGGTCATAATCGCCTCCAACTTTTTTCGCGGGTGCTCGTTGGCACCAGATATGCCGCCTGGGAGGCGACGGGAGACAGGCAGCCCGCAGGAGACCGCAGGGGGGGCGGCCTTGGTGCTGCCCGCGAGACCGACGAGACAGGCGTCCGGCTTATCTTCCCGCAGGTGGGCCACACGAACCGCAAAAGAGACACTTTCCCACGCTTTAAAAACAGCAGCGCGCAGATTGCTCTCTCGTTTCAAAGTGTCCAGCATCTGGTAGTTCGGTTCATCAGCTTCCAACCCCACAAAATCCTTCATCACTTGGAAGTGCCATGTCCAAACCTCCTGGCGCCAAACCACCTCCCATTCCGTTAGGAACCTGATCCACTGTGCCTGAACTTCCATCGCCCTTTTGTAACTGGGGCTACTGAGCACCGCCTCCCGCAGCCGGTTGCCGAGGCTCGTGCGAGTCCCGAGGAGCTCGGAAAGGTTGTGCCGTTGGCTGGTCAGTGTTAGGTCCAGCAGCTGCAGGCTACCAAGGTAGGAAACCCGCGCACCTCGATACGTGTGCGCGAGGCAGTCGTTAAACTTGTCAAACCTTTCATCTGGTGCATCACCAAAAGCGCTGCTCTCGAGGAAGGTCCACAAAGCGTCATCGATAGACACCTCGACCGCTTCGTCAAGGGTGATTCGGTCTTGCTGCCTCTCTCGGTAGAAAATCTTCAACTGGCCTCGCTCCACTTCTTCTTGCCAATTCGGTCGGAAGACAAACTTCAGGGACTGAAGCCTGTTCCTGTTATCATATTCAAACCCTACCGCCGGACAATTGTGTTGCTGCAGACGCTCGGCAAATTCGTTCTTCCACAAGGTCGGCACGCAAGGAGTTGTTGAGGATACGGGAGCACCCCTAGGCGAGGGCGCAACATCAGCCTCCTCCTGTCCACAGATGCGGATGAGATTCTTTTTCATGGTGTGCGACAAATCGTTCAGCACCCCGACTACGATATCATCGTCCGACTGCGCTTTCTCTAAACGCGTCGCTATGCATTGCAAAAGCTGTGTCTTAATACCTGTCTGCATGTGAGACTCCTTATCGCAGCAGTAGGCTCTCGTTCTTTTTCAAAAAAATCCAGACATACATTACGAATAAACTTTAAGAGAGCCTTTATCTTCCTTCTTGTTGCAATTAGAACAGACAAGACTTTGCACAGAGGATAATCTCAAGGCGCCGAATGTCTGCCTCTACGCGCCGCCAGGCTTGTGGCCGTCGGTGCCGGCCTTGCAATATCGCTTCCGCAATTCGTTGCACCAGGGCTTTGTCCAGTTTACTTTTGAAGAGCTTGCGCTTCGCCTTCTGCTGGTCTTGGTGTCTAGCCTCTTCCAAAAAATTCCGGGTCAGGCCCTTGTCTTATCAGAGTGGAAAACTACTCGTCGTCCCCCTCGTCCCCTCATTTGCATGGCGTCTTCAGCAACACAAGCAACAACAACGCTTTCGCCTCCTAACGACAAAGCTACTCCATGTCGAATGCAGTGCTTTTTGGCAACATTGGTAATAAATATCATCTAGATCATGTTGAATAACTTGCCATGCAAAAAATGCCAAAAGAGAAAAACCAGGTGTGCCATATTACGCGGTGTTCGTTCAATATTACTTACTTAATTTGCACCATCACAAATGAAACGAGAAGCGGGGACGGAGGTGTCGTGCACTCCGGTATCTCTTTTTGCTCTTTCAGAAACATCTCGGCCTCTTCTCGACCTTCTTCCAGCATTTTTTCAAGCATTTCTCGTTCTTCCGCGTTAGCAAGCTTTTTTTTCTCATCGTCAATCCTGTTTTTCGTCGCTTGCTTAATCCTTTCCTCGGAGTGTTTGGTGTTTTCCCCCCCCGATGAATCAGAGTCAGATAGCTCGTATCAAATGTAAAAATGTCTGGGTCTGGAAGAATGCAAGTTTGTCATGCTTGTCTGGCATGACTCTTAAATCTGTCATGCACATTACCAAAGAGCCCCACTTTTCTGTCATGCATGTAGTAGTAGTAGTGACCATTTCACTCCTGGCGGGTGGGCGTTAGAACAGATTTAGCCTCTGCCGATACCTTGGGCGTTAGAACAGATTTAGCCTCTGCCGATACCCCTAGGTGGATACTTGCTCCACGTCCTAGCTACCACCCGGCCGCAGCCGCAAAACCGCTATCGATTGCTAGAATGCAGAAACGTAGTTTGTCATGCAGAATAGGCAACACCTAGAAGCTCAGAAACTTGTCATGCTGAGCCAGCAATTGTCGCCTCCTCATGATACGCCACACAGCATCACAAGTTTCCAGACCCAGACATTTTTACATTTGATAGCTCGTCGTCGTCCGGTGATGTGGAGATAGTTGGATCGTCCACACTATGAACTGCAAAAGTGTGGTCTGGGTCTGGAAGAATGCAAACTTGTGATGCGCATTTCAGAACACAGAAAAATCTCTCATGCATAGGTAGCAAAAGGTACCCACTTTCTGTCACCAAATTGGGGGATTTGTCATGCGGATTCGGCATTGCGGAAGCTTCTCGAAACCGGTGATGCTACAGCTTCCATGCCAGACCTTCTGTGTCATGCAAAAACAGGATGACTCTTCCAGACCCAGACATTTTTACATTTGATACACACCAGTTGTGAGGCCTCCTTCGGGCAGCTGCACTACCGCGGGACGAGCAGCAGAAGCCTCCACGGCCATCGCCAGCTGGCGCTTCCGGACCTGCCTCACGAGCTCTTGAAACAATTCCACCTCGACCTCCCGCTTTTTTGCTTCCGCTTCGCGTACGTAATTGTCTAGCAGGTCTCGGTCTGTAAACTGTGAGTCAGCCCAGTCGTGGTCTCTGTTTTCTTTCAGATGCAAAACCTCTTTACACTCCTTATCCACGAAAATCGTGCGTGGCTCCAGGCATTTGTGGGCGGCGGAGACGACCCGGTGAAGGCCAAATGCTAAGTTGACGTCAAGGACGAAGGGCATTAGCAGCTCCGCAAATTTGGCCCACATGCGCTTGTAGTCCCCAAAGGTGCCACGAAAAGACTTCCGCTTCTTAATGCCGAATTCTGCTTCGACATAGCTGCGGAATTCCTGCCACGTCTCCAGAAAGTAGACTCGCTCCTGACCATGCTTTTCTCCTTCTACTGCAGTTGTTCCTACCTCAAACACCTCCTTAACTTTCACTGTCAGGTGTTCGCTAAACTGACCCAGAAAGTCTTTCACCCAAGTGATCTTTTGCTGCACCGACGCGGGAGCAGGAGCTGCACCAGGGTTCGAAGATGAAGTCATATCTCCGAGAACTTTATCCAGCGATATCGTACGAAAAAAGTGTTTCACTGTAACTAAGGGTTTGGCACGTTTTGCATCACAAGTTTAATCTACATGACCGAGAAAATTTTCCATGCAAGCTTCTTAAGGGAAAACCCAGCTGAAAACCCACTGTCTTGCATGTGCAGCAAGACAATAAATACTTCACTGTTCCATTTTACTACGCATCACAAGTTTACAGTGAAACAGTTTTTCCTTGCGATAAGCGAGTCCACCTGAGCATTGTGACACCACTCCTGAATTTCGGACGCGTACACAACACACTGACCCACCAGACGAGCATCCTGCGTTCTTGTGCTCGTTGAACTACTACCCTTTGCAGCCTGAACTTGCACGGCTGCTGCGAAAAGATTGAAACCTGTGGACGAGGAGGTGGACATCAATGCCGTCAACTGCAACACAACTACAATGGCAGCAACAAGAATCGGAGCGCGGGTGCTTCCTGCGCTGGAGAAAACCATCTTCGAGTTCTTGTGAAAGGCCATGTTGGTACAGAGACAGATACAATTGCAGATCGAAATATCGAAGAAAAAAAAATAGTGACTGTGGGGGTAAAAATTTTTGACGAGTAGATGAAGAAACTTGCCAAGTTGCTAGTAAGCGCCTGGAATAACAATGGGTTTATAAAAAAAAGTGAATTATAGCACTACGTTTATGTTTCACAGATGAGTAGTGGTGCAACAACTTCCAGTATAAGGACAACTTTGCTGGTCCTGGTGGTGCAGCAAAGATTATATGTCGAAGCTTTTATTTTGGAAGCCTTTGTTCCTACCTTTTCTGTGATCAATACGAAATACTATAAATCGTTGGACTTATGGTGATGTGTTGAATGACTGCAAAGATGAGCTATACAAAAAAGCGCGTGCACGAGGGTTTTTTCGGTCTTCAAAAATCTGCTTTCCGGCTTTATTCGCAAGCTTGAAAAGGCGGCTCGTGCGGTCGTTACGAGGTACTTGACTCTTCTTTAGGCTTTTAGTACTCGTAAATTTTCGATATCGTTGTTGAGTTTCAAAATAATAAGTCGGACTTGATGCTACAGTTTGTGTTTCTTGAGACTGATAGAAGTCGAGTGCTGCTCTACTTTCCTGCTTTGATTGTGATCCCAAGCTCTGAGTCTGAAGAGTGTCAACGCGAAGAAAAATTTCTGCGAGGAGGAGGACCGAGTTGTTTAAGCGACCGAAGAACATTTGACCAATTGTTCAAGCGCCCGAGAAGTTGACAATGCTGATCTCGGACCATAATTTTGATCGCCGTAAGTAGTTGTGCAATCATTTGCTCATTTGACTTTACCTATGATCCTTTCAGATTTTCGTACCTCTGGCGAAAGAGATCATGACTTCATCAAATTTTGCTCCATAAACATCAACAATTTGATCGAACTTGCTTGATTTTATTACACCGATAGTTCTTACCAAAGTCAAAAATTAAAATGTTGGCAAGGCACTTTAGGTTGTTGCGCTTTTTGAATGCTCATATACACAAGAACTGTTCTCCTGCTTACTCGTGAGACGGATCGTCCACAACTCAATTGTAAGTAGACTGAGGTTGTATAGAAGACAACGCGCTCTCCAAGCAATCACATCGCAGCTTCTCTCTTTCATCGCGACCTGCGCACCTCTCATCACTGTGCTTGGGGCTGATACTAGTATAGGGAAGGCACTACTTTTTCATTTTTCACGTGGTACGGGACCGCGCTTGTTGTCCCAGAACTTCGCACGGAAAACACTTCCAGGCTGACAGCAAGCGACACTGGGCAGCCATGTCAGTAGCAGGCTTCCGCAGGACCCACTCTTCAAAATGCTAACAGCCAGATGCAGGACAGGGACAGCGTCCGGCCAAGGCACACCGGCCGCGCAACCGTTCGGTTGGCCTAGAAAGGTTGCGTGGCGTAAGTAGGTGCCGCGCACCATGATTGAGCACAAGTAGCTGCGCGCGGCGCCAGTGCCAATGGTTTCAAATGATCCATCGTTCGATCGGGCTGAGGCGAAGGCGCGGGCCCTGTTCGCCGCGCGCGCGCGCGCGCCATCCACCACGTGCGAGGGAGCGCCCCGACCCGGCCGGCCCAGCCTCGCCCGCCGCGGAGGCGGCGCGGAGGAAAACATGGATGCCCGAAAGGGGCCAGCGCCACACGCCCACGCACGACGCGCAGGAGCGGCCGAGACTATGCCTATCCAAGCACAAGGAAGGAGAGGCCCGCGCGCCGCCCCCGGCGCCCGGTGCGCACATTCCAGCTAGGCTAGCAATCGAAGAAGCGGCCAAGGAAGTGGGACCGCGCCGCGGGCGGCGTAAAATTCCCGGCCCGCGACTGACTAGACGCCGACGACCCGCTCGCAGATAAAGCGTTCGATCGTCTGGAGGGACTGCTTTGGCAGAAGCCAGCCTGGACACCGACCCACGGGGCCGGGCCGACCGGGTCCGCCCTGGCGGCCACCCCACGCCACGGACGCACGTGGGGGCGCCGGCGGCGCGCGGCCGACGCAGGCAGGCAAGAAAACAACACGCAGAGGGCGCGGGGCCTCCGTTTTCTGCTTGAATTTACTGGAGCCTGCCGGCCCCGACGGGCGCCGGCCCGGCAAAATTTCCCAGCCCGTTTCAAAATACCCGCGCAACGGCCTCCGTCTTCCTGCCGCCAACATGGGACCCCCCACGGCCCCCTCGCCCGCCCCCCTGCGTCACGGACGAGCCAACACAATAACCAATCTGGCCCCCGCGGGCCTGCGCCAGGGCTTCGCTTTTTCCGACGAGGCGCCAGACGCTGAAACTCGCCCCAGCGCCGTAAAACCGTTTTGCGACTTCGTTGCACGGCAGCGCGGCGCCGGGACTCCCGGCGCCGCAGGGCGGCGCCTTGTTGGCTGCCAACAAGGCGCCACGGCTTTTACCGCCCCGCGCCGCCCCAATTGTATGATGGCCGGCGCCGCGACGCGCAACCTGCAAGGCCCGCGGCGTGCCCCAACCAGCGCGCGCGCGGGCGCCTAAGCTTGGCAGCGCCCCTCGGCCCAAAGAACCAACGGAAGCCCTGCGCCGGCCCGCCGGTCGCTGCTTTGTGCGGGGGGCCCACACGAAACAACTTGCCGCGGGCAGTTCCTTCTCCGCGTGCCCTGCGGCCTGGGGCGGAGCGAAAACTTGGCGCCAATGGCGTAGAGCCGCCGGGCTGGCTGGGTGGTTGGCTGAAGTTGTGCCTAACAGTTCGCCGGGCTGGCTCGGCGCTGCTGGCGGCGCCGAAGCTGTAACAGGCGGCGGACCCGCCGCGCAGGTAGGTCCAAAAAGAAAGCCGCGGCCCCTTTCTTTCTCGGGCGGCCCCGAAGGCGCGCCGCTTAGCAGCTCAAACAACAGGGCCAGGGCAAGCGCGCCCGGCCCTATGCATTGGGTGGCGGCCATCCTTCGGCGGTCTGCGTGCCCGATTTTGGCAAGAGTGGGCGCCTTTCCGTGGTCCTTTCAGGCTCAGCAAGTATTTCATACTTCTGGCAAAAGCCTCCACGATTCCAAATTTTGCTGCAACTACACCGAGAATACAGCTACTCTACATGACGTAATTAGCGGCCCTTTCATAAAGGTCACAGGTCAAATGACTTTTCACATTCTGGCCCACACCACTGACGGTAGAAACCAAATGCAGCGCTGCAGCCCCTGCGCCCGCGCGTTGGCGCGACTTACCCGATGCGACCCCCTGAGGCTTACGTGGGGTTTTGGTTTTCGGAACCTGACATAGCGCTCCGCGAACCAAAATAAAAAAACTCCTTCGCGGCGCTGCCACGCCGCCCAAATTTTGAGGGGGCTATCCAAGGTTTTGGCTTCCAAAACCTCGCATAGCCCTCCGCGAACCAAAAAAAATTCTTCACGACGCTGCCGCGCCGCCCAAATTTAGAGGGGGCTATGCGAGGTTTTAGTTTTCAAAACCTCACATAGCCATCCGGGAACCAAAAAAAAAATATGCCGCCCAGATTTCGGAGAGGCTATACGAGGTTTTGAAAAAAAAAGGCCCGGGTAGGAAATATACTTTTCGTGGCGCTGCTACGCCGCCCAAATTTCGAGAAGGCTATACGAGGTTTTGATTTTCAAAACCTCGCATAGCTATCCGCGAACCAAAAAAAATTCTCCGCGGCGCTGCCGCGCCGCCCAAATTTCGAGGAGGCTATACGAGGTTTTGGCTTTCAAAACCTCACATAGCCCTCCGCGAACCCAAAAAAAAAAATCTTCGCGGCGCTGCCGCGCCGCCCGAATTTCGAGGGGGCTATACGAGGTTTTGGTTTTCAAAACCTCACATAGCTCTCCGCGATCCAAAAAAAAAAAAATTCGCGGCGCTGCCGCGCCGCCCAGATTTCGGAGGGCCTATACGAGGTTTTGAAAATAAAAAGCCCGGGTAGGAAATATGAGTTTTGATTTTTTTCCTACCCGGGGTTTTTATTTTCAAAACCCCGGGTAGGAAATATTTATCAGCTGTTATCACCCTCACAGACGTGCAGAGCAGCGGATAAATATTTCCTACCCGGGGTTTTGAAAATAAAAACCCCGGGTAGGAAAAAACGCAAAATGCATTTTTCCTACCCGGGCTTTTTTTATTTTGCTTACAGTGCGAGCCCCCGAGCATTGCAACCTATCTACGCCGCTTGCCCACCTATTTTCTACGTCTAAGTACGCGCGCACTGCTTTGGTGCGTTTCAGAGGGCTGCTTACTCGAAGTTCATGCCCCAATACTCCCCGCGCAAATTTTTCTCCTAAGCTTCCATCCAGCAGTCCCCCCGCAGAGCAGCCGCCCCCGCGTAGCACTCCGAAGCGCTCACCTGAGTATTTAGTCAGTACAGCGCAGCGTGGCGCATCCAGGTCCAGAACGAGAGCTGCCCGCTTAGTTACTACACTGCGCGCGCCTACACAGTCACAACCTGTAGAAATGTGCGGACTATCAGTTTTCTTGTTTTGTCGTGTTTGTGTATTCCTGATGCCTACACTGTGCAAGGTGTTGCAGATGCGGCGCCGATAGACAAAGGAACAGGCGTCGCAAATGCGCAACGCACTTGCGTGGTTTATTATACGGAAACACAAACACCAAAGCCGCCCGGCGCACTGCATTGGGTGGCAGCCGACGGGGACTAAAGTTTCCGAGCTGTCGAGAGCTTTCTTTGGCTGGCTGTTTCTACTTCTTCCATCACGTTATTTCCCTGTGCAAGCTGCTTCAGAAGCCTACGCCACTGATAAAGCGTAGGCTCCTTGTAAACAAGCCTCTTGCTTCTTTTATTGTACGGAACTAAAGGAAGCGCGCCTGCTGCACAAGAGCGAGTAGCTGCAGACGCAGCTCCTGGCCACGTTCCGACCTATTTAAAGTTCTTTTTTTTTTCTTCAGCGTTGGGTATGTGACAAGAGGTGAAAGGTCCGGACTTATGAAAGGGCCGCTAATTAAATATCTGGGAGTATTGCCCAGGACGAACACGAAACTACAAATGAGCCTGCATCAAGCAAGCACTTGTCAAGAAGTCAACAAGCGATGGTGTTCGGTTGTTGCAAGAAGCACCAAAACAGGAGTCTTTAGTTGTAAGTATGGCCACAATTTTTTCATCAACGTCTGCAGTACAGTTCTTGTCAAGATCAAGTAGCACAGTCACCTTGACTACTTTCTTTTTCAAGCTCCAGCAAGAGTTGCGTCTTTTTTCATTTTCCCATCCTCCTCCTCTTCCTCATCCTCTTCTTCCTCCGGAAACAGGCAGTAAATTTTGATCGGATCGCGGACGCCCGGCACTTCTAATTCCTCGTCCGACTCATTTTCGCCGGCTTCCTCACAATCACTTCCAATGTAGTCTATTTCGCGGTCGTCAGCCTGACCACTGCAGTCCATAGTACCTCCCACGACCTCCATCGGATCATCATCAACGTCGACGTCGGCTCCAATATTATTCAAGCGGGGTCCATCAGCTGCTTCATCTTTAATTCCTTTCTCCTCCTCCATATGATCATCCGCAACCAGGAGTTTTTTCACCTCTTGCCTCTTCCTTCTCCTTTCCTGCCTCTCCAGTCGGGTCTGAAACTATGGAATGCAAAAGTGTCTGGGTCTGGAAGATTTCGAGATTTCTCATGCTAGTTTGGCATGACTCTGAACTCTGTATTGCGTGGCCACGAAGACCTCCTCTTGTCTGTCATGCAAAAACGATGTTTCTCATGCGGAATACGCAACAGATACAGAGAGCCACGAGAAAATCTGTCATGCTTGGCGGTGCATTACAAGGCGCTTTCTGTTCACTGACATGCATCACAAGTTTCCAGACCCAGACATTTTTGCATTTGATAGAAACACCGCCTTCGCTAAATCCACCCAGGTTGCGTGGCCAAAATCGGGCTTGTTTTGCAAATCGGGGTGGATCTGCGAGATCGAGTTTGAAGACAGTTTCGTGGTCGGGTAGTTGCTGGTGGTTCTTTTTGTCGGTTTCTCCACGACGGTTTGCAGTTCCTCCACCCAGAATTTGGCTTCTGTGAAGTCTGCCTCCCGCGGATTATACTTGGAGACCACACAGACACACGGCAACCACGGCGGACAGATGCTTTTCGCAAGGGCGCCATCAAGCGAAAAGTTGTTCTTAAGCGTCGTTTATGCAGTGCAGAAGCATCGCACTCGTATAAATGCATTACAAATTATTATCATTTCCTCAGCATGAGAAATTAAATAAAAATTTGTAATGCTGATTGAACTTGAGAAAATGAAAAAGATTTGTATAAATGCATGATTGCAATACGATTACGATACTTTTGCACAGGATATCGTCTTTCCCAAGTTTCTCTTGTACGTCCACAACATTTTCGCGAACAATTTCAAATCCTCTAGGAAGTTTACTGCTTCTTGTTCCGTTCCGAACCAAATATCGGCCCGGCACGGGTCACTCGCCGCTCGCGCAAGGATATCCTGCGCTAAAGGAAAAATGTCGCACCCGGCTCGAATAAAAATTGCACTTGCAGCCAGGCATCACAGATCTTCTTCCGCCGGTAAACTTAAAGCTCAATGTATCAAATCAGCACCACAAGATGCATTCCTCCATTTCAGGTTTCTACACAATTGCAACTTCCACAGCGAGTGCGACCCTTTACAACAACTTCCATGGCATAGCGAAGAAACAGGTACCACACGCGGCCTGGGAACGGTTCTGCGTAATTCAGATCGTCTATCCCACAGAAAAAAGCTGGCAGGGCATGTTTGTAATGCAAAAATAAATACAGATACACAGAGAGATCTGTCATGGGCGGCCTCATAGCATGCTATTTAGGATATGCAATACAAATTTTTTTGTCTATAATAGACAAAAAAATTTGTATTTTTTTATTCTATAATGCGAGCAATGCGACAAACCGCTGCCGGTTTTGCGATCAATGCGAGTCGCATTGCTTATATAATTCTCTGTCTATTTATTTTTGCGTTACAAATATGACCTGCCAGTTTTTTTCTGTGTGATATCGTCCCATCTCTTGACGGTAATGGAGTCGAGAAAAGCTTCGAAATGTTCTTTTTCGATCTCGCCTCTTGTTGCGGTCGCGCCAGTGCTACGCTGCGCAAAAGTATCGCACTCGTACTAATTGCAACTGCAAATATGCATGACAAATCTCCCTTCTAAGGTAAAACAGCATTACAAATTCCAGTTTTCTTCTTGCCAAAATTTGTGATGCAATATATACTAGGACGTTACTTTTGCAATGCATAAGCGCCGCCCGTACTGTCTTTGAAAATTCTCCCCGAAAGACGAGAATTATCCACATCAGCGTATCCCTGGAAATACCAAGTGAGCAGAATCTCGTTCAGGCCATAGTACCCGCCCGCCTTGAATTGCGCCTGCTTTAAGCTGTACTGGTCGCGAACGTCCTCGTCAGTTGCTGAGGAAGTAGTTGTCCCGGATTTCTTCTTGTTGTGCTCCATCTTAATGTAGCACAGACCGCAATCGACCAGAACCCCGCTCTATGGAGTGCAAATGTGTCTGGGTCTGAAAAGTTGTGATGCAGGTAGGACAATCATGAGGACGGCTCAATTGGCAGCGCAGCATGACAAGTTTCTGAGTACCTGCGTGTTGTGTATTCTGCATGACAATAAAGCGCGTTTCTGCATGACAGAAAAATGGGGCTTTTGGGTACTGTGCATGACAGACTTTGGAGTCATGCTAGCAGGGCATGACAGACCTTGGATTCTTCCAGACCCAGACATGTTTGCATTTGATACGCTCGCTGCGTTGCATTTGAATCCGAGGGAAAAACACTTCCCGTGGCTCCCCAGCACGTCGTTTTGGGGATACATTTTCTCGTATCGGATGCAGTCCTCAGGTTCCAAAAATGAACTGAAATAATACCGGAAAGACAACCGGTGCCGGCGACAGAGTGTGAAACGCAGTACCTCCGACTGAGCTAACTTCCGACGCTGATTCGCCAACTGCCTGGCCACATTGCGATAGGCACTAGGACTCGTTCCAGAGTTTTCCATTTCATCCGCGGGGATCTTCAAGTTCGGAGGAGCACTGCTAGAACTAGAAGATGCGCTGGAAGCAGTAGTAGCAGTAGTAGTTGATGAGGGAACAAGTCGTTGTCCTGTTCCTGATGAGGACGTAGTGCCTCCCGTTGAGGTCGCTGGTTTATTTTGTTTCGTTTCCCCGTCGGCGCCTACTATGCACAAGTCCTCCTCCTCGTCGTCGTTCTCTTCAGCAAGAAGCGTGAAAAGCGGATCACACTCGAGAACACCAGGACCCAAGTCCAGGTGTTTCTCCATCGCACAAAGTGACGCTTTGCTGAACGCATGCAGTGCGGCGGCCACCTCGCGAGCAAGGGCGCATTCGTATGCAAGAAAAAAACTGTGTAAGTGTAACTTTCTTGGAGGAACAGCATCACAAGTTTGCTCTGCATGACGGAGAAAACCTGTGATGCGTAGCTAGTGGCTGAAAACACGTACGAAAGGAGCCTCTGACGCATGCCCAGCATGCCAGTTGTAAGTGTCTTGCATCGTCTGCAACACAAAGTTACACTTACACAGTTTTTTTCTTGGATAATTCGAGCGTCCAAACGATCGGAACGTTGAGGAACACGTAGTCTTGCAAGAGGTATGTATTGCAAATATGTCTGGGTCTGGAAGGTTGGAACTTGTAATGCTAGCTTTCCATTCCTAGGAAATCTGTATTGCAAGACCAACAAAAGTCGCAGCCTCTTTTGTACATTCAAACACGCAGTTTCTCATGCGGATTGCCTATGAGAAAGCGTTCTGGAAAGTTGTCATGCTAAGTTGCATTCTGAACTGTTTCCATCGTTCACATTTTAGCATCACAAGTTTCCAGACCCAGACATTTTTACATTTGATAAGACGCGCGTGTTCGCTGCGTTTTCTTCGAAAAGCTGCAACCTGTCGGTAATTTCCCGCCGCAAATCACACAAAAAGCTTGTCCTGACGCATTCCGCTTTCCCACTAGCCATGCGATTGCCACCGAGATTCACAATTTCGAAGTCGACTAGCGGGAGGGAGGTATTTTTGCAGCCGAAAATATCGTTCGCGACTGAAGCAAAAGTGGCGTGAATGAATTGCATGTTCTGGAGTTCTTGGGTCATGGAGATGTTTCGGTGCCGCTTCTGGTCAATGATACTTTGGTCCAACACGCCGATATCCCTAGTGTTGTAGTTCGTCGGGCAACTGTTCACGTTCCTGCCAGTGCCAGTTGTCTGAGAGGACTGAAGATCGTTTTCTCTTGATGTCGTGTCACTGTCAGCATTATTGCCTCGTGTTTGCGCTGCACTGACATCGTTGTGAAGATAGTAGTTTACATCTTCAACCGACCACTCCCGATCGCCGCACGCTGCGGCGTAAAATTGATAGACGTTATAAAGCAGGCCTTGGACCTTGTCGGAGCGGTCCATAACGGCGGAGGCGTAGAAGAACTCTTCGTCACCAGCAGTCAAGACCTTGTTCTGTGTGCAGCTGCTGATCTTCGAAGATGCTGTCGTTGAAGTTGTGGTCGCGCGCTGTGCAGTTGACGTCGGCGAGACTTCTACCACCAGTTCTCTCCGCAACTGCTCCACTTGCTGATCCAAGGTCGCACGCCCAACTATCGGATGCTGCGCGACGGTAAGGTCGTAGCCGCGCCACAGCACCACCTCATTTCCAACGTGCTGCGGCCACGCTGTTAATGCCGAATCGGCTTCACAGTGGTCAAGGGCGATCTTCTTGGAAGCCTGCGGAGTATCTTGTTCCACTACGCGCTGTTTTACCTGTTCCTGCCTCGCAAAGGGAATACTAACCGATGCCCCCGCTGCGGCGGGGGTCGAAGAGGAAGAAGTACTTCTACCTGTGCCTGTTTCTCCTGGTGTTCTACTTGTAGAAGTGTCGCCACCAGCATCTTTCTGGTAAAACGACGTCAATTTTTTCTCTATGACCTGCTCAGCTGTTACAATCTCAAACGTTACAATAGAATATGGAAATCTGTGATGCATGGGCGCATGATCTGGCCAACTCTCATAGGATTGCGCATGACAAGTTCTGGAGTCCTAATCCGCACTACAATATGGCGAAATTTGTATTGCAGAAAGTGGAATGCTGTCCGAGTCTGTCATGTTCATCATGCAAGACAAATCTCAGACTCTATTGTAACGTTTGAGATTGTAACGCTTGAGCAAGTCATATTCTCCCAGTACGCTTTTCTATGCGCCTTCGCTTTTTCCATGAAGTCCTCGAAGGTTGTGATAGGACAGGTTTTGATATTGCTAGAACTGCCGTGCGTGTGGTCATTAATATCATCTGGTGTACCACTTTGACTTCCGCGCCGATTTCCCAAAAAGGGCTTGATTTCCGCGTCAAAGAAGCTGCGGCACGTCACCACGGCATCTTCTTCGAGGTAGAAGTTGCACTGTCGCAACTCCGGCGGGGGGTTAGGACAAAATTTGTGGATCGATGCTGAGGAGGCCATCTTCATGCAGTTTTGTTTCTGCTGGTGAGATTCTGTATTTCTTCTAGTAGTGTAATTGGAGCAGTTCTTGCTCTTGCAACAGTGCCGATGTATAGAATTGTCGAAGTAGAAGTTTAGGCGCAACTCGTGGCGCTGCGTGGTGTAGTGCTTCTTCGCGGTCCTTTACATCGCTATCTTGCTTTTCATCGCTATCTTAATTTTGCTTCTGAATAAAAAGTTTGTTGCTGTTGACCACGACTTTGTTGTGCACTAGGGATAAAGAACCGGAGTCGGACAATCGATATAGTACGCAAGTCCAAATTGTAAAACGCTGCGCAAGATGTACATAATCCGCTTGAGGTCTTTATTTCCTCCGCCTGTTGTGGCCGGGTCTTGATCTTTTGAGTGTTTGGAGAAAAACACACCGAGTGAGAACGAGGATCCTCAAGAAATTCAACGGAGAACTACTAAGAGAGGTAGCTGACCAAGGAGCGCTGCGAGAAGAACTGAAACAGAACTGCATGGATCGCTGAGCGACAATACAAATGTCTAATAGGGCTCATGAAATCTGCCTTGAAGATCCGGCGCCACGACGCTCAGATCTAACGACAGATCTTTTTTCTTCCTTCTACTTGCAGGGCGGTTCAAGTTGTGCTCCCTATCGCATCTTCCTATATCTGTCGTTCGACACTGGAACAACTATCAGAGTTGCTTGATCCGACAGATGAAGCACCTTCAGAGAACACAAACTTTTGACATCAGAGCCTTTTACAGAACGCTAAAGCGATTTTCCGGACTAGCGCAGACCAGCATAGCCGAATACTGGCACATGGATCGTGGATATAAAAATGTTGAGAGCAAGGCAAATGAGGAAGGACAAGGAGTAGAGGATCCTCATCGCAACGAAAACTTCTTTACACACGTCGTTCAATCAAAAACGCGGCGGAAGTAAGTTGTATCTGTCCGATGGATTCACGCACTATTCCTCCGACGATTCATCTCCGTATTCACTCTCATCGTCATCTTCATTCTCGTCTTTATTCTCGTCTTCTTCCGGAAACACGCAGTAAAACCGGATCGGATCCCGGACTCCTACGCATTCTTCGTCGTCGTGATCGTCCACTGCGCATAATTCTTCGTTTTCAAAAGCAGTGTCTTCTTCCTTCACTTCCTGATGTTCCACGTTATCATCTTCCGTCAAACAGGTTGTAACTTTCGACACAACTTTGGTATTTTTGCTCTTTCTCCTTTCCTGTTTTTCCAAGCGGTTTGGAAAAACCGCTTTCGCTAAGTCCACCCAGGTTGCGTTCCCGAAATTCGGTTTGTGCAGGTCCGGGTGCGCGTCTGCCGGCAACCCGTCGATCCAAAAACGGGCTTTTTCGAAGCTGATGGGGGCATCTTGATCAGGAAAAACTGTGGAAAACCAGGGACAAATTCCTCGCGCAAGGTCGGAGTCAAATCGCATGCTCTCTCGCAGTTTTTCCAGGTCAGCGTCGAATTTGTACCGGCGCAGGACGGTGATCATAGTTTTCAACTCGTCAAAAAAATCTTTCGCCTCTTCTTCTGTTCTGAAGCAGCACTCGAGGTCGTACTCTAAGCAATACTCAAACGTCCCGGGCCCGGACGGAGGGCCTGCAGGAAGATGCAGCTTCCAGGGCAGCGGTGGCGTGTGTAGCATTTTCTCTTGACACTTCTCAATCGCAAGTCGTTTCCAAAAATCCTCGCTCGTGCGCTGAATCAATTGAAGGAACATAGCCTCGAGATGATAAAGATCGTCTTTGACTTCGATCTGATCAGGTGGGGGCCTCCTTCGGAGCCCCGCGGAGATGATGGCGCCATCCGTTGGCCCGATGGTAAAGCCAAGAGCGAGCGGGTGGGCGCAGACAGAGAGGTTCTTGTACTCGCGCCACTTGAGAGGTTCATCTTTCTTATCTCCGTTTGAGAAGTCTACCAACCGGTAGCTGAGGCGGTGACGCCTACGACAAACGTACCTGTGCACTCTCTTACGCAGAGTAGCGCGTCTCAAATCCGACCACGCCAGTCGCACCCCGCGGAAAGTTTGTCGCTGGCCCGAAGACGAGACGTTAGAAGGAGCACAACTGCTTGCAGCGGAAGCGGCCGCACGATTGCTATTCTCATTGCCGCCGGTTGTATGATGATTCGATGCTCCGGTTGATGCAGAGGAGCCGGAGGCACCGCCGGCCGCGGGAAGATCGATGCATGGAGACCCCAAGAACGACAGAACGCTCGCGCATTTTGGCTCGACCTCGAGGAAGTCTGGTGGAATTTCTAGATCCTGGGTAAATTGTCTGAAAGCAGCTGTTTGAAACTTGCACAGAGACCGGAGTATCTTACACCCAAACGCGCATTCCAAGGTCCACCGCAGAGGAATTTGGAGAAAGCCGTGATAGCCCTCCCAATATTCATTGGTGTAGTCGTCGAACAGCTCGAACAGTTCTTCTTCTGCACGGCTACTAAGGCACAAAGCGTCAGCCACGAGGTGGAAGGCGGAGCCGGTGATAAGATTTTTTGCAACGCACTCCGCTCTGCCTCCGGCGATTGTGTTTCCTCCAAGATCGATGAGTTCGAAGTCGATCAGCGGAATAGACGCGTTCTGAGAACTAGTGTCCACGGTGTAGTTGTTGTGCCCGGGGAGAAGCTGCGGGTACAGTGGCCGAAAAAACGCTGATTCTTTTTGCAAACCGGTTACAAGACAGTAAGCAAGCTTGAAATCCTTGTCGGCGGCATATCTCTCTAACCGTCGTTCCTGCTTTTCGATCAACCTTTTCAAATTGGAGTAGCTGAGCACACCAGAACACTTTCGCAGTTCGGAAAGAAAGTTTTCTACCTTTCTGGTTCGGTCGAGGAGCGCAGCCACGTACTCCTGATCGGAAAGTTTGTCGTCAATTGGTGGTAGCTCTTCCAGCTCTCTCCGGCGCTGGTTGAGACTTTCACGTGCGATTTCTGGTTTCTGTGTGAGAATCAGGAGGGAGCCCTGGTAGAAGATGCCGGCGCCTTGAGATCCGTGCTCATCGTCTTTTTTATTATCAGCTTGCGCATCTTCTGAATCTGAAAGAAGTGCTTTGCTTTTACTCGATCCTTGCGACGATCGCTGCGCTGATTCTATGTCCGCGTTCTCATCTCCAGCGAGCTCCGGCTTAGCAACTTTGTAGTCCTCCTTCGCTTTCGCCCGTTTCGCCCTCTCATGTGCCGCTCCTTTCGCACAGAAAGCCTCGAAATCGGGAAAGACACTACCCTCCTCGCACTCTGCCGGGGGCTTCAGATTGGGCTTGATGTACAGGTCGAAAAAACTGCGCGGCACCATCGTCGCATCTTCATCCAGCATCCAATCATGCGCCTTGATTTCCGGCTGCGGCCGGATACGACCGAGGCCGAAGGGGAGCGTCTTCTCGCGCTCTATCTGTTCAGAAACGGAGTGGTGTTCTTTCGCCATCTTTGCGACGGTTTATTTGGTTTGCTCTTATCTCTAATAACCAACGACCATCAAGAAGCAAACGCTTACTCTACGACGTACAAGAATCCCAATATTTTCTCCAAGAAGGTCGCAAAATGTTGCTCTTCATCTGCTTCTGCACCACTTCCAACAACACGAATAAATCCGTTTCCAACTACAAATGAACATTGAAAATTGAAAGAATATATGGCTATCTGCGGATCGTCGGTACTTCTCTATGCATGATCTGCGTGCGTTTCGGTTCTAAACTTCAAAGAAATGCATTTTTGACAGTCGTGAGGTAGATCAACAATGAACAGAACGAATCAACACGGTGACTGTGGAGAAAGGCCATCATGCCACCGTGGCCTAATTGTAATTGTACATGCTTTATTGATACAAATAAAAACTCGGTCGACAGGAGCATGCTCTTGACTCAGCGATGTCTACTCGTGATTCAGGACCGTCCGGGGTACGAAACAAAGGAATCATATCAAGCTGTTGCACATCGGTGTCTTGGCACTTTTCGACGCCCCTTTTTCGACGGAGCACTGCACGAGCACGGAAGTCGATTACTGCTTGCCAACAAAGTTCACTCGTAGAAGAGAAACAAACGGGGATCTTTTTAAAGCTCTACTTCTGGAAACATTATTTGGTTTTACGGAAAAGCTGTATGATTGAAGTTTCGACGTTGTGTTCATCTCAAGTCTTCTTCAATACCCGGAATTCCCCCCTTCCCGCTCCTCAATCGCCCTCTTCTCGGGCGGTTTCATGCCCCGCCACAAATCCTCCGAGACCCCGACGAAAACGTTGTGGACTTTATTGCCTTGATTTCTGGAAGATGATAAACTCGAAGCGACATGATACTGGCGTCTCTCCGGGTGGGTTTGATACTTTTCCCACTTTGGCTTTAGCAGAGGAACAAGGAGGTGGGCATCGTCGTTATTACAGGCAGGTGTTGCACCAGTAGCTGAAGATGAAGACGCCCCTCCGCGTATATTAACGCTCGACCCCAGGACCGGTCCACCTCCACTCAAGCCAGCGAACTGCAACAATCCCTGCGGACAGAATCGCCGGATGGGCTCCAAACTGTTGCACCTGCCCAGATCGATGAAAGACTTTTGGATCTTCCGGAATGTCGCCTTTCCGTCTGTGGTCGTCGCGTTGGCTGTCGTCGCAATGACTGCTGGTTCTACTTGTACTTGTTGGGACGACGACGAGCTGTGGTGCATGTTAATATTCGGCCAAGCGTAATTTGCCAACAGCTCCACTTCCTGCGCACAGGTTTCGCAGTCCTGCCAGAAAATCCTCCGCATGATCTCCTGCTGTTTTCGCTCAACTTCTCGGTCATAAAGGTGGTCGTCTGTTGCGTTGGTGGTGAAATTCATTTTTCTTCCTTGTTCGTCCATACCCTGTGCTACTTCGTGAAGCACTTGCAGCCGGAACTCCTCTGGGGAAAGGTCATGAGCCAGCAAGGGGGTCAGCATCTCGCTGGTATTGTCGTGATATGATTCCCCCCGACCAGCAGAAGTTGAATTAGCAGCGGACCGTTCATCGCGTTGCTTGTCATACCGGCACACCGCCAAAACGTCCTCCTCGGTTAGATTGTTAAAATTCCGGAAGAAAGGCTTAGCATTGCCGCCTGTTCTGTCTCTCGTCGTATTGTTGACAACGCTTGATGGTTTACAAGACAGATTCTGTTGCAGCTCTTCGACCAAATCTCCAAACCACTCTCTCGTCCCCCTGACTTCCACCAAAATCTCCATCGTTTGCCACCTTAATTGTCGGATTTCCCTGTTCACAAACTCGTGCAAAACTCTGTAATCCGCGGCGAGTAGAAGCAAAAATCCCGGATGGCCCGCTTTGGCGAAGCCAAAAATGTGGTTTGTCTTGCAGTAGTCGCAAATGAACTCCCGCTTCTGGTCGCTGAGGAGGTGGTGGAAGAAGAGGAGGAGGGAACCGGATTTGTGAATGCTGTCATCCAATATCAGGGTCGACATGGATGAGCCATTTTGTGAGTGATCGCCTGTTCTACTTCCAGTGATGGATGTAGTTCCTGCGATTACGCTGGAGGTAGTTGTCCCGCTATTCTGCTGTTGCAAGGCTCCTGTGGTTGCGTCACTTGTAGTCGCTTTATTTTTCTTGCCACCACCACCCCACCGGGATCGCTTGGGCTGCTGTGGTCCTTGTTCGGAAGATGCTGCGGCGCTCATTGTTGGAATAGATTGGTTTGTGATCGGGGAAAAGTAGCGAGGCTTATCACGGATAACGACAATCTACATCATCGGCGCCAATGAAAACCGAAGCACGACTCTGCTCCAAAAAGCTCGTCGTGTGCCCTGTCTTACTCATCAAAACTAAGTAGTACACCAGCAGAACAGTCCTTTCTTCCGCGAACCTGGTCTGTTTGTCAGTGGAAAGAAGGAAGATCGATCCGATGACCTTGTCACAAAAGGGGGATCTTTTTGGAAGTCTTGGCCCTGGATTTATTCATCAGAAATTCGGCGGGAAGACATCAGAGAGGAGACGATCCTGTTGCAGCTCCAACTGTGCTAGCTGTGCGGTAACTGTGCTAGCTGTGCTTGCAGCTCTAACATTCGGCGGGAACTGTCCTAGTGCTATGGCGAGAACATCACACACTGCAACTACACCCAACCTAGTCTGTCGGGGCACAAACACTGCGGTCGGCCACAAATGGGGCATGCTGCCGAGCGTGCGTGAAGGACCTCCCGGGCCCACGGTGTGTCAGTGAGAGTGAAGTGCACGTCGCTGGCATCACATCTTACTTGCGAGCAGGCCGCGCGGCGCCTCCCTGTCAATGCAATATAGATGCGCGAGACAGAACCCCAAGCAAGCGGTGCGCGGCAAAAATGCCGGCGTGCGGAAGACATCGATCATGTCATCCGTGCCAACACTATTCCATGCCCGCGGGAGGGTGGGACGACACAACACAGGGCGCCCAAGCAAGCCCACCCCACCGGGCGTTGTCTTCAACGAGGGGCCCCAAGGCGCGGGGGGGCGGGGAGGCTGCTAGGAACGCAGCGAGGCTGCCAGAGGCGGCCCCGGGACGGCGAAGAAACACGACAGCCGGGGGCGCCAGGCCAGGGCGAGGAGGAAGGTGGGAGGGACACAACCAGGCCGGCGGGGCGGCCCGGGGCGGACACCCACCGAGAGGGCGCCTGCGGTCAAAACCAACCCGGGCGCCCACCGCTGCATACTTGCCATGCCGCCGGCGGACGCGGGCAGAGCTGCGCCATCTCGGGGCCAACTTCTTCCCCAAAAATTCTCGCGCCTCGGCGCGGGTTGCCGGGCCGAATCCGTCACCCTCGGGCCGCCCGAGCAGGCACGCCCGCCGTCTTCGGCGGGCGGCAGTCAGACCGTGAACTGAAGGCGAACCCCCTCGGCGTCCGCGACCACAGCCCACAACAAAAAGACAGGGGGGGGGGCCGCCAAACCCCGCGGGGCATGCTGGCGATACCGGGGGCCCGCCTCCCTACGGTATGCATCTGCATGCTTAGGCCTTTGCCCTGCCCTTCGTTCCCTCCCTGCGTCGCCACGGCCACCAAGTCGTGGCCCTGCGCCACGCAGCGAGCAAGCTGCCGCCCGGGCGGAGGCACGGGCGCCGGCCCGGGCCCGCCGGCATGCTTGCCGGTGGCGGGGCCAAACGCCCAAACAAACAATCAAAGCCTCCGCGGGGCGGCCGGGCCACAGAGTGCGGGCCCTCCGCCTTCCCGAGGGGCGAACACCTAGCCGGCGCCCGGCGGCTGAGCTGCCTCCGCGCGGCCGTGGAAGCTCCTGCGCCGGCCCACCATTTTTTTCCTGCGCGCCGGCGTGCGGCCCATCGATCGTTCGAAGAGGCCGGCGCGGCCGCCACGGAATTTCATTGGAACGAAGGGTGGGTGGGCGGCCGGTCGGCATATCACAGGCGCGGCCCCCGACGCCCGGGGGGGGGCTCCACCCGAGCGGCCCCACAACTCCGGGCCCGCGACACAAGTGGAGCAGCAACAACCCGAAGGGGCGGCACAGGCTGGGGGCCCCTTGCGATGCAGCTGGGGCGCGTCGATAACCGCTGACGGCCTTCACGGGGCAATTGCGTCTGCAACTCCCCAGGGCTGGCCTCCCGAATTGACTCGCGGGCGTTTCTTTGCGCCTGCCGCTTCTGGGGCGCCTCCGGCTCATGGGCGCAGCCGGGCCCCCGCCTCACGGGCCGCCCCGGTGGGCTTTCGGCGCCAATAGGCCGCTGGCCACCTGCCCCCTGCAAAGCCAAGCCGCCACCCCGCCGCGCTTTGATTTGCCCCGCGACATAGAACGGCGCGGCCTCCTGCCAAAAACCGCCCGCGTCGGCCTTGTTCGTAACGATATCGCCACTTTCCTGGCTGATCCGTACTTACGAAAAAAGGGCATGAAAATGAGCATCTTCGAACAAAGTGCGTCTATCCGATCACGCCACACAAGGACAAGCGGCTTCGCTTTCCAACAGTGTTTAGCCTCCTGGGTCGTATTATTCATTCAACATACTGACTGGCATGATAATAATTCCTGTCTGATTCACCCAATAACTGCTCATTTTTATCTTTCTGGCGCCCTATATTCAAATTTGTTCTTTCTGATCTAGCTTCTGTGTTAGGTTTATCGCAGCTATTTGCTGAGGACGATGATGAACTTGGGAAATACAAATGTGCTCTATGAATAACAGCGCGCGGACCACGTTGTGATGCCCCATGCGAGATGAAGGCATCTTGATAAAATAATGTAGATCATATCGATCATTATCATAGTCGTACTCATCTGTGGCGATCCAAAGTCTCCGCCAAAATCAAAAAGTCAAAGCTAGCTCGTCCGATAGTAATTCCTTACACCTACGCAAGGCTATCGTAGCTATTAAATTGTCCATCCTTTAGAACATCATCCATTTCGATTCGTTCTATCCTCCAAAGCCAAGCTTCCCCACGTCATCATAAATTCCCGCTCGGCGGGTAGATCAACTGCCTACTCAAGGCTTCCGGATGCACCGGCAGCCCCGTTTCGTATTTGTAAAAGACGCCCAAACTCCGTTTTGTGTCCACTTTCTCCAACGGGAGAGTAGCCATCTCCTCCAAAAACCGGTAAAACAGCAACTTCGCACTCATACTCGCCGCTCGAGCGTTATCTGCTGCGAAATTTCCTTCTCCTTTTGCTTGAGCTTCTCCGTCTCCCGCATCAGGAGCAGAAGAAGATGCTAAATCAACATCCGCAACCGCCAAAAAGTTGTTTTCGTAAAAGTAGTTCGGCGGGGGTCCCTGGGGAAGAGTGTAGCCGAAATGGTACAAAGATCGCAACAAACTTTCTCCGAACTGTTGCTCGTAGCGGTCTGGGAGTTTCACGTCTAAATCTAGCATGACCCCCTGCTCGAACGTCACAATTGCGTGCTTCAAGACGTCAATTGCCGAGAAAAACGCCGTCTGTTCCGGCCCGCGGGACAGCAGCGTGGGGCAAATGGCGTGCAGCCACTGTTGGAGGGGTGTGGTACTCGCATCTGACGTCGATGAGTAGACTGTTTTCTTATTTCCCTGCTTCGGAAGATTTTCGTTTCCTTGTTCCCCTTGATGTTCCCGATCTTCCCGACGTACTATTTGCACATTTCGCATGACAACTTTCTCCGCTTCTTTCCGATATTGGCGCACCAAATCTTGGTGCATTTTCGGGTGGAAGCCCTCCATGCCGAGGAGGTCTGAGGTGAAGGAAATGTGCTTCTCGTTTTCGTTCCGAACATAGCTGCTTTTTTCGATGAAAGATTGATGCATAATTGTTTCTGCGCTATTCTTCAATTCTCCCCCTCGGGATCTCGACTGCTGCAGCTCTTCTGCGACGCTACTACTGCTGGATGAAAGTGGACCACTTCCGGGCTCCGCTTGGGCTACTTGTTGCACTCGTCCTCCCAGCTCGACGTCTTTTCGTACTTTTTTCAAAAACCTCGTCTCCGATTCGAGCAAATCAGTTTGGATCGGTCGCACCGAGAATTTCATGTACTTGTTGTTTTTCCACAAGAAATCGTCTGGGCCCCGCCCGCGCCCGCCCCTGAACTTAATCAAAGCCTCTTGGACAGCGGGTTCATTATTGGTCCACAGGTTCACTTCGAAGGATAAATTGTCCAGAAATTCGTCGGCACTGGCACTGCCCGGTTTCTTGCACAGGTGCATCACCAGCAGCGTCTTGCGAAACTTCTTGACCCAATAGAAGACAGTCTCGTGAAACTTCTTTGGGTTGAAAGTCGTTGGGCTTTTCGGTCTCTCGACATCGACATCAGAACCGCGTCGATCAGAAGCAGCTTCCTGTGGAGATCGTCCGGCAAATAAGTCCTCCGCCGTACCAGGAACTACATCACCCGCCACCTCGACGGGAACTGCATCCACCCACAGAAAGTGCAGCTTTCTCGGCAACAAAACTGATAGGTCGATAGCGGACTGCCTGGACATCATCAGATCTTGTGCCCTCTCCATGGGGCTAAATTGGGCGAGAATAGCACTTTTGTTCAGTTGTTCTTCTTCTTTCTGCGCCAACTTATTCTCCAATAGCAGGGAGATGTAGGCACCGCTGCCTCTCGACGTCGCAGTTGTATCACTGAAAATGTAGAAATTTTCTTCTGGATCTTTAATACTGCGGTCAAAAACCCGATGACTAGTCGTTGCGCCAGCACCTGTTGAAAGCCTGCTCCCGTCTTCAACATGTTGCGGCGTTGTGGCTCCGTGCTGCCCGTGTGAAGTAGGTGCAGCTCCTGCTGGCAAAAAAACTTCTTCAAATTCTTCCTCTTCCTCAATCCACTCGCCCACCCTTTTCGAAAACCTCCAACCTCGGAACCTCCTCTTCCCGGAGGTAAATCGCATTCCCATCATGGTTTCCTGCAGAATCAAGTGACTTTCGGTGATTCTTCCATCGTTATCCACTACTTCCATTCGAAGTAGAAAAAGTTCCTCCGCTAGCAGGCTACAGTGGTAGGACGGCGCGGTGCAGAACGCGGCTTGGTAGGAAGAATTTTGACCACCCTTTTTAGCTCGTGCCAAAACGGTGGGTGCGAAGAAGTTGCCCGTGCTAGCAAGCCGGTTGCCGAATTTCTTCAGCGCTGCATTCAATTTCAGAGTCCGGAGGTCGAGGTCTACTGGACGAGTACTAGTACCTTCTGCTGGGTTCATCGACTTGTTTCCATCTGCAGCAGCTTCATCGTCTTCGAAGACCCGCACGATCCGGAAGTCGTGTCCGTCTAAAGTTTTCTGCTCGTAATTATCACTACCGCTAGATGAAGTAGAAGGTTTTTCTTGGTAAAACCACCGTCCGTTCTCGTGCAGAAACTCTTTCGCCTGCGCCAGATTCAACAGCTTTGGTGGAGAAAGGAGCCGCGGGTTCTGCTCCTTGACAACGTCGCGGCGCACTTCGGGCGCAGCTGCTGTAGAAGCACTGTGGACGGTTTTTACGTTTTCGAAAAAAATCTGCAGCCGCAAATTCTTGTCCGCAGCAAGTCGGTCGAGGAGGAATTTTTCCGTTACTAGGCGGCGGGAAGGAGAGGAAGCGGATGCGCCAGTAGTTGGCACCTCCAGCGGGGCTGCCGTAGTTGTGCCAAGCCCTGAAAATAAGCGTGCGCGAGCGCGACCCTGCTTTGGGAAAAATGTACTTAGTATCACGCTCGGGAAGATCAAGATGAAAGCTAGAAGATGCGTACGGCTCCTCATAGAGGCGAGAACCCGTTGCATTTCCTGTCCCGCCCAAAAAATCCGGAGAGCGCTGCTCGTGCAGCTGCTGCGAGAAATCCGTGCTGAAGAAAGGACGTCTGCCGAAGTCGGTGCTATAATTATAGAAGAGGTCGGCGCTATAACCGAAGGCGGAGGAGGTGGAAGTGCTGGAAGCAACTCCTGGAGGCAAAATTCTACGGTGTTCGCTGATAGACATGTAGTGCTCTAGGTCCGGTACGGCGTCGTCTCTTTCTTCTTCATCTTCTACTAGTCCCCAGTCTTCTTGTTGAACACGGTCGTACTCCTGCTGCACACGAGGCCGAGGATCAAAATAACCAGGTCTAGTGACTCGTCGCTCCTGGTTTTCTACCACAGTCGTGTCTGTTTGTTCATCTAATAGCACGGAAGATTCGCAAGCGTCAACATCCTCAGCACGCAACTGCGCGCTGGTTCTTGGACTAGTTTCTGTCTCAGCGCCCGTAGTTTCTGCTTCCTCTATCGGGGCGACATCACGAGCCACGTCATGTGGCCGGTCGTCTGGAGTTCTTGTGCTTCCTCCGGAAGATGTTGTTCCGGTTGCGCTGAAAGGCAGCCGGTACGCACTCACCCCGATTGATGTGTGCGTGCTGCTCCAGTTGCTGGTCGTGTTAAAAATAAGTATGATCTTTATGTACACAAGAAATAAAAAAGGGACAGTAGCTGTCGCTGTCCCACCCATGTTGAGCACTTGCTGTCTCATCCTTGCGACTGTCGTGTCAGTCTGACGGACGTGTGGTGGAAAAACAAAAATTGCAATCGTTCTCGATATAATACCACTTTCGCGGCCTCGGCCTGGAATCGTGTTTCGATTAGGTATGTCGAGCTTTTTCTAGGATGGCATCTAGCGGAAAAATGTTGCAGGTCTGATGTGCCGCGCAGCGCTCTGTCAGGAAAAAATTAGCGAACTTTTTCTGAATTAGAGATGTCTAGTCGACCACGGTGTGCCGCCAGAAGTAAGTAAATACAGCAGCAAAGGAACGACTACATGTTGCTTCAACCAAATGCGTTCGACGAAATAGGTTATTGTAACTAGACCTTCTCCTTGACCTTGTGGTGTCAACATGGATCTTAGCTGAAGATGCTCAACAGCAACTCGGCTGCTCTAATGAAGATCCTCGTGTTCCTAGTGTTAGTTTACTCTACTACACAACGCCCTCAATGAAGATCCGATCTTTTTTTGACTGATCTACAACACGCCAACGCCACGAATTCTTTGCAGCGAGACACAGGCCGCGCCACGAGGAGCTGCTCCAATCCATAGCAATCCTCTACTGTGCTTGCTCGTCCAAGATGTGTACGTTCTTCGGATCTGTTGACCGCAATTGGCTAACTAGACCTGCATGCCTTTCGACGACCAAGAAACCGGGCTATTAGTAATTACATACATACGCTTGCACTTTGCCCGGTGCGTCGTGGTGCTGGGTTTTTTGATCGTGACACCTGGAAAGTGATCCACTCAAAAATCGTCGATTGCTGACGGACAAGCAAGAGTGTAGTGCGACCCTCTGTGTTCTTGATCTTCCAAGACCTGGTGATCATGGTGGACAACATCTCCAGAGGTGAACAACGGAGCCAGGAGGCGCGTTTGCGCCATCCTGTTCGGGGGCGGGCGTCTTCAAGCGCGCCGGCAATCTCTCTATAATTTCTTGTTTCTGATGGGAGCTCCAGTGGCAGTGCGTGTTGCGCTTTAAGCGACGTCGTGGTCGTCGTGTTGATTGATTTTACTATATAGATACCACGGTTTTATTTCGATACGAGGAAGCTTCAGCTGCGAGCTGATTGCTGCACCTCGCATCATGCATCCTGCGGCCCGCTAGCGGATGATGCTACTGCCTGGGTAATAAATAATACCGGGAGCGTTATCATACAAAATTCCTAGACGATGCGAGGGGTGTCAGAGCTCTACTTCATCGGTGGTGGGTTCTTCGTGTGCCGCGTAGGCGGAGACCTTAGCAAGACACGCTCCGGGCAGGAGAGTTTTTGTGTGTGCAGCAGGTTTGCTTGTTTTCTTCCGATGACTGTTGTAAGGGCCCCCCCCGTGGAGGGTTTTTCTTCTCTCCCATCGCCAATAGGGGACTTCGGCTCTGTAGCTCGCGGTTTCTACTTTGATAGAAAAAGAAAATCATACACGGTGTTTATACATTACTTTACTCCTACTCCTCCGCTGTTCTCCATCATGGGCGTTGTTAAAAACTATGTTCTCCTTGGGCGTTCTTGGCTCCTTATTCATCAAACTTGATGATAGACTACTGCGCGTGCGCCTGACAGACCACTGCGCCCCAAAAATGGAGATCGAGATAAACTCCCCCGCAGGTCTCTAAGGAAGAGACCACAAGGGAGAAAAAATATGATGGTGTACTTACTCTACTTAGACATAGACTTACTCACTCTTCCCGACCTTGTGCTGGAGAGTGGAGTTCTCTTCAGGCTGGTGTCGCGATAGAATTGTTGTTCGGCTCGAGCTCACTTGTGAGTACAATACTTATATGTAGAAAAATTATGGCCAAAAAACGCTAAATGCTTGAGTATCACAACATGATGACAATTATGAGGCTAAACGTGTTGGTTCATGTCGACAGACATGAGTGGATCGAAAATTATGATGTAAAACTGTTAGTGTGAACTTTCTCTGTGAAGACTTACTTAAAATTAAACGAATGAACTGATGAAAGGCTTTTGAATACATGAACTTCGTTTACTTTTCTGCGTCTGGAAAAATTTTGAATATCGACGCCTACATTTGGTTTATTTCGACTCGTCTGCTGATGTTGTTCATCTTTCTGTGGTTGGTATAGTACTTTGTCTTTTATACGAGTACTTATCTTAATACCCCTCGGCTCCTCGTTGTCCTTCTACCTCAAGGCGGCGGTAAGGCTGCCATCTATCCGGAGTAAAAACGTCCCCATCCCAGAAGTCGTGCGTGACAAGTTCCTCTCTGTAGTTTCGTGATGCAGCAGGTTAGCAAGGAGATGGAGGGCAGCATCGCAAAACCATTTTCTCATTCTATTTGCAACATTACAAATGCAAAAACACGATTGGAAATAATGGAAATGCCTCTCCTCTTGGGGATTCGCATTACAAGTGCTCCTGCAAAAATTGGAAGTCTGCCTGACGAACTCTGGAAAGGGGACGTTTTGGCCCTCAGGATAACATCTCGACTTCCGCCGCGGGCGGCGCGGACGGCTGCAGTCCCTGCACGTGCAGCCCTTCCAACAGGTGCTGCGCAATCGTCTGGTCAGCGGGGGGCTTGATGAAATGGTTTTCAAAGAAGTGAAACGCGTCAAACACGTCCCCTATCCTGAGTAAAAACGTCCCCGCCCCATAGTCAAGATGGGAAATCTGCAAGACAAATCAGCCAGCTTAGGCTGTTGCGCATGACAAACTTGGCCCCGTAGTGTAGTCGTGTTCAGCTTGTTCAGAAGCATCACAGATCTAGCCTATTATGCTGATTGGCGCATTAGAAATTCCAAAGCACGCCTAGAGAATGCCTGTCATGGGGCTCCGCATGAGAAACATTTTGAGCATGCAGAATTGCATGACAATTGTGGGGTGGGGACGTTTTTACATAGGATATCCCCCTCTTGTTTCTCATTCTTCGCAAACCACGCGCCGGTCTTCGGCGGCTTGAACTTGAAAAAGGTGTCCCCCGTGAACGGCTGCTGCGAATCTTGCATGGGGTCCGGCGCCTCGAAACGGGTCCCGAGCACGCGGAAATACTCGCGAGCGCCGAGCAAACCCGGACGGCCGAACAGTATCCCGTGTGAAAAAAACGGAGCCCAGCACGCGACCCCAGTGTGAAGATCATGCTCATGGCGCTTATCTCGCTACACAAATAATAGCAAGTTTTGGGTTTGGCGTTAATATTGTTATAATTTGCGCATGACAACGAAGTTTGGGCTCTTTGCAGGGTACAAACAATCCGATGTTTAGTACCTACTGCATACTAAGTCGAGCGAATTTTTATCCTGCTTTTTAGAGCACAACAATAAACTACTCCCAGATGATTGCGTCACAACACGAACACGCTCCTCAACAACATATGGCTGCGCAACATTAGAAACACGCCTGTAGAGTTGCAGATTTGCATGATCGAAGCATGGGGTTTTAATGCCAGGCACGTTTTTACGCAGGATAGAAAGCACGCGGCGCTTGCGCATCTGCGTGTACATTTCCCAGCCAACAATCTTGTCGTACCTGAGGTGTGATGAATTTGTGATCATGCAAGAGCGAATTTATAAACCGAAGTCCTTCAGTTTCAACCACGTCTGACCATGAAACCTGTCTATGGTTGCAAAAGTTCAACTTTAGCTTTTTGTTGAAAACGTAGTAGAACAACATGACAAACGGTAAAGAAATAAAATTGAAAAATCTATGCATACCGCCAGGAATGTAGCTCCATCGCGTATCCCAGAGGCCCAATCACGTTTTTGTAGAAGAAGCGGCCCGTCGGGGTTTGACCACCTGATGGGCAGCAGATTTTTAGGTGGATCGTCATCATGCCATTCCCATTGCCAAACAACACTACGAAAAAATAAACACGGCAATGTGATAGATTTAGATATCAATGAATATGTCACGCATACCCGACTGCACCTCATCAAAAAGAAAAACCTTTGCACCGTCGCCGCAAGCAGCTACGGACGCAGGAGATCTAGGGTCAGAACCGCGAAAAGTATCGCGAGTATATCTTCATCCCCGAGCGCTTATATCATCTTTTCCTTACTTCTCGCTGACACTGTATGCCAATACTTCGACAATGCTTCGACAATGCTTGGGCTCTAAGAAAAGCAAGCTTTGAAAGTGAGTGAGTAACACGCTAGCGCTTTCCAATCAGAAGCAAAAAAGCATGCACAAAAGGATCAAAATATAATCACCAATATGATATACCGTCCGCTTCTTGCGGCTTCGGGAAGTACAGCCAATCCCGCGGCTTGCGGAACGCAAGGGCACCGTCCGTATTCGCTTCGTGTCCGAGCATGCACCGAGGGTGTGCTTCGTACAGTTCTTTCTTTGCCTCGGCCTGCGAGACTTTGGAGAACTGGTCGCTTGTATGCAGTGCAAAGATGTCTAAATCTTTAAAGACGGAACTTGTGATGCACATCCCACACCACACAAAAATTTCTCATGCATAGACAGCAAGAGTTGCGTAATTTTGTCACCGAACAAATAGGCGGTTTGTCATGCGGATTAGGCATCGACGCAGCTTCTCAACAAAACCTGTAATGCTAGACCTTGCATGCCAGACCTTCTGGGTCAAGTAGGAAAAACAGCATGACAAAAATCTGCATTCTTCCAGACTCAGACATATTTCCAGTTGATAGCTTGTGTCGACCATAGACCACTGCCCGCGCCAGCCGTTGTGCGACAGAGCGCCAGCCGCGCCAGAATCGACGCTTTGCGATAAAGTATCGTCAGATTTGCCCACAATCGCGGAGGAGAGAAAGCGGTACAGGGGTAACGCGGCCGCGCAGGATTCTTTCAGCCGAAAGCGCTCCGTGCGGAGCCCGAAATTGATGGTCAGAACCGATTCCGCCGTGGCAAAGGCCCGCGACAACCCGCCGGGGGTGCGTAACTTCCAGTATATCCTGAGTAAAAACGTCCCCACGACCCCATAGTCGGGTTGGGAAATCTGCTAGACAAATCAGCAACCTGTGGCTGTTGCGCATGACAAGATTGGGCTCGTTGTGTAATGATCCTGTTTGGCTAGTTCAGCAGCATTCCAGAAGTAGCATATCGCGCTGATTGGAGCATGGAAAATTACGAAAAAACACGAGTAAAAAATGCTTCTCGTGGGGCTCCGCACGAGAAACATTTTGAGCATGCAAATTTGCATGACAACTATGTATCACTATGCTGGGGTGGGGACGTTTTTACATAGGATACAGTAGTGGATTTCCTCATAGGGAATAGATTCCGTCCAGCTGCTGCTGCCCTGCCGTTTGGACAAGGGCCCAGATCGGAGGAACTGGGACCACCAGTTCGTGTAGTCGCGATACACGATGCGGTAGTTGGTAAACAGCACGATGTCCATGCGGTTTTGCGCAGTGAACGCAAAGTGGACTTCCTCACCCGGCAAAAACATCATCTGGGCGTAACCGCTTTCCTTGTATGGATTGCAAAAGTGTCTGTGTCTGGAAGCTTCTGACACCTGTCATGCACGTTTTGCATGAGCCATGATGTCTGTGATGCATACCCTAGCAATCCAGATTTTCTGAGGGCTTCTTGATGCCTGTTCCGCATGACAAATGCCTTCTCAGCGTAGCAAAAATTGCATTCCCTTCTTTGCTTCTCATGCAATACAGATTTTTTTGGAATCCAAATGCAGCATCACAAGTTGCATTTTTCCAGACCCAGACATTTTTGCACTTGATACCTTGCCCTTTTTCACCATCTCATCGCCTCCCATTTTGTGCATGATATGCGTGAGCAAGCGGCCTATCAAATGCAAAAGTGTCTGGGTCTGGAAAAATGCAACTTGTGATGCTGCATGTGGATTCCAAAAAAGTTTGTCATGCAGGTTGTCCATGACCACCCGTGAGGTCTGGCATACCGAACCTAGCATGACAGATTCATCTGTGGGATCTCTGTCATGCCTCTCCTGCATGAGAGACTGCGTCGCAAGAACTTTGGCAAAAATGGATACCTTGTTTTGGTAAGCACGCAACGCAGGTTTGTGCACGATTCCAGAGCTAGCATGACAAGTTGCTTTCTTCCAGACGACCCAGACATACTTGCAATGCATACGGTCCGTGACTTCCACGGGGTCCTCCTGGTAGTACTGGTTTTTCATCCAAGAGACGCTCTTCTGCCAGATCTTGCCCGGGTTGCACTGCGGCAAGTTTTGAAACGTGAGCGCCGTGTTCTTGTCCGCCTCAGCAGGCTATGAACTGCAAAAGCATCGTACTAGTATAAATTGCATTACAAATCAGCCCAGCATTACAAATTAAATTTGTAATGCTGATTTACTTTGAAAAAGACATTTCTAATGCAAAAATGCAATTACTACGAGTACGATGCTTTTGCATTTCATACAGGCAGCACGTTCCCGCCTGCGTGTCCGATCCGGGTGAGGCGAAAAGTGAGGTAGGCTTGCAATTTAAACAGCGCTATCAACTGTAAAAGTGTCTGGGTCTGAAAGAATCCAACTTGTCATGCTGATTTTGGATTCTAAAAATATCTGTATTGCATGAGCAGCAGGGACAAAGAGAGTCCAAGTTTTGCTACACGGAAAGAGCATTTGTCATGCGGTAATATAGGCATCACAAAGCCCTCACAAAATCCGTGATGCTAACGCATGCATCACAGACATCAGGAGTCATGCAAAATGTGCATGACAAACCTGGCAATCTTCCAGACCCAGACATTTTTACATTTGGTAAGCGCTTGCTGGCCGGCAAACTGGATCCGGATACTGTTTAAACCCGGGCTTTTACCCCACTGCATAAAGGCTTGACAGATCCACAAGGTATCAACTGCAAATATCGATCTGCGTCATCTGGAAGATTGCAAGACAACTTGTCATTCGGCTGGAAGATTGTAGTAGGTTGGCATGTTGACTCTGCGCTCTGGATTGCGTGGGGCCATCGTTGGAACAGCCTCTCTCGCCTGTCATGATGCAAAAAGAAACGCAGTTTCTCATGCAGAATGCGCAGCACAGAAGCACGAAAAATAAACTTGTCATGCTTGGCTGCGCATTACAGTTGTTCACTTTAATTATTCACTGACCTGCATCACAAGCTGCCAGACCCAGATCGATATTTGCATTTGATAGAAGGTGTCGCAATGCGACTCCACGCCGCCGTCTACCTGCGCCCGTTTTTGAGCATAGTTGTAGGTGGTCGTGAGTTATCAAACGCAGAAATGTCTGGGTCTGGAAGATTCTGAGACTTGTCATGCATGTTCTGCATGACCCAGGACGTCTCTAATGCACGTCCTAGCATCACAGATTTTTAGCGGGCTTCTCGATGCCTACTCCGCATGACAAACGCCTTCCCCGCGTGGCACAAACTAGACTCCTCTTGCTGGTCATGCAAAAATACAGATTTTTTTAGAGTCCAAAGTTAGCGTCACAAGTTCCAACCTTCCAGACCCAGACATTTTTGCAGTTGATATGAATGCGACATTGATGGCGGCCGCGATCACCGCAGCTTCTGCGCCATCACTACCCCCAGCCCTCCCGGCGCGCGCCGCACCGTCCGCAGTAGCCGCGGCAACCTATGCATTGGAAAAATGTCTGGGTCCGGAAGTAGAGTGCTAGTTTGTCATGCTTGCCTGGCATGACTCGAGAGTCTGTGTTGCATAGGCACGAAAAGGCCCTCTTAGTACCTGTCATGCAAAAACGCAGTTTGATGCCATGCGGAATACGTAACAACACATGGCAGCCAAACAATTTGTCACGCATCGCTGCGTTTTGCAGTACGTCTATCATTCAATTTCAGCATCACAAGTTTCCAGACCCAGTAGATATTTTTGCATTTGATACAACCGGCATCGGAACAAAAACATCCGGGATGTCGGTGTTCAGCTGCAAAAAAGTACTCCCGAAGGACTTCGCGATCCCCTGCAGTTTCTGCTCCACGGTTGTCATATCTTTCACCTTGAAACTATGAGAGTGCACAACTCCCAGCTCCCCTCATTTGTATTGCATGAACAGCAATACAAACCCCAACACACATGGAGTCTGTGCACGACAAATTCATGAGGCTAGTGTAGTACTGCTTGGGCTTCCGGGTTCGTCATGCATAATAGAGATACAAGGGAAACACTTGGGTTTGGGATTTTGCATGAGAAATGAGAACGAGGGGGAGTTCTTGTGCACGGTCATAGAAACTCTGAATCGCGTCGTACGTCAGCGTCACGTAGCGCTTACCCCCGAGGAACTCCAGGCCTGCTCCGAGTTTAAAGCCGATTCCTTTGTTGCGAATCAAAACGATACGGCGGTTCGTGAACACGCACAGGCCAATGGACATCTCGAAGATCAGCTCGACGGTTTCGAAGCCGTCGCCCAGCACGAGGTACTTGTCCGTCAACGCATTGTAGATTGGTATCCTGAGTAAAAGCGTCCCCATAGCAGAGTCAAGATGGGAAATCTGCTAGACAAATCAGCCAACTTTGGTTGTTTCGCATACCAAGTTCGTCCTCGTAGTGTAATCCTGTTTAGCTAGTTCAGCAGCAGCACAGATCTAGCATATCATGCTATTTCTAGAATCACAAATCCCAAAACACGAATAGAAGAAGCTTCTTATGGGGCTTCGCATGAGAAACTTTTTCGGCATGCAGATTTGCATGACAACTCTGGGGTGGGGACGTTTTTGCTCAGGATAATTGGAACGTTGTCTTTTCCGATGTGGAGCTCCACGTTGTTGCGCGACTGCAGAATCCAGTCAAACCAGTTCACCGGATTTCCGTCTTCGGTGTATCGTTTGTAAAAACGTCCCCACCTCATTCTCATAAGTCAAGATGGGAAACCTGCTAGACAAATCTACTAGCTTTGGTTGCTGCGCATGACAAGTTTGGCCTCGTGTATGTAATCCTGTTTAGCTATTTCAAGTAGCATCACAGATCTAGCATATCATGCTGCTTCGAGCGTCACAAATTCCAAAACACGACTAGCAAAGAATGCTTCTCATGGGGCTCCGCATGAGAAACATTTACATTTTTACCACGCAGAGAGAGTGACAACTATGTGATGGGGACGTTTTTACATAGGATACGTTGTCGATTTCACTCTTCGCGCCCCGGAGATTTTCCAATGCTGGGTCCAAAGGCGGCGCCTCGCGCAACCCCAGGACCCGCCAGGCAAGTAAATTCGTGATCACCGTCGGATCAGTGCCCTCTCCCCAAATCCGGTTGTACAGCCAGGTTGCACCGGCGCCGTCAACCTGCCCATTCACGTTCAAATTCATCGCCATCGGCCCCCACGCGAGCCCGCCATCGACATATTGCTCCTCGCGGACTTTTATGCTCTGAAAAAGTATCGCACTCGTAGTAATTGCATTTATGCATTACAAATCTTTTTCTCAAGGGAAATCAGCATTACAAATTTAATTTGTAATGCTGGGCTAACTTGTAATGCAATGCATACTAGTACGATACTTTGTTTTGCATTGCATAACTTTGGTGTAAAGCTTGATCACCGAACCTTTCATGTCGAAAAAACTGTTATGAAATGCAAAAATGTCTGGGTCTGGAAGAGTGTGAACTTGTCATGCAGGTTTTCCATGGCCCTTGAGGTCTGGAATGCGGGACCTAGTATGACAGAGTCTGTCAGGTCTCTTTCACTTTCATGCCTATCCTGCATGAGAAACTCCCTCCCAACTTGGTCGAAAGTGGACAGCTTTTGGCACTCATGCAACGCAGATTTTTGCATGGTTCGGATTTAGCATGACAAGTTGCAATCTTCCAGACCCAGACATTTTTACAGTTGATAACTCTTCGGCAGATACAGGGTCCACGCGCGGATGGAATGGTAAGTGTAGGAAGAATACAGCGCCTTCGAGGTCCCAAGGAAGTTGCCAACGACGTTTGGCACTTCAATGACGATGATGCGGTACTTATCCTGAGTAAAAACGTACCCACACCAGAGTCAACATGGGAAATCTGCTAGACAAATCACACAGCTTTGGTTGTTTGGCATGACCAATTCCGACGCGTAGTGTAGTGCTGTTTGAGCTAGTTTAGCAGCATTACAGATCCAGTATCTCATGCTGATTAATGGAGCATGACAAATTTCAAAACCGCATTAGAAAATGCTTCTCATGGGGCTCCGCATGAGAAACATTTTAAGCATGCAGAGTTGCATGACAACTATGGTGTGAGTACGTTTTTACTCAGGATAGTACTGGGTAAAGACGATCGAATCCCGCATGTGAATGTCTTTGTCAATCGCCCCGCCGGTCGCGGACAATGCCAAATCCACATTCTCGTCCATCTATGCATTGCAAATGTGTCTGGGTCGTGGAAGAATGCATGCTTGTCATGCTTGTCTGGCATGACTCTTAAATCTGTCATGCACGTTACCCAAGAGCCTCGTTTTTCTGTCATGCAGAAACGCAGTTTGTCATGCAGAATAGGCAACACGACCTAGAAGCTCCGAAACTTGTCATGCTGAGCCAGCACTTGTGGCCTCCTCATGATACGCCACCCAGCATCACAAGTTTCCAGACCCATACATATTTGCATTTGATACCGTCATCAAAACCTTCTCGCGCAACAAAATGTTTTGAACGCAAACCGGGTTCACGATCGCACGCCGGGTTTTCCAGGGAAGCAGCTGCGTCTTGGAAAGAATCCCCTGGTTTTCCCCACCTTTCTTGAACTTCTCCATCTCAGGGCTGCCCTCATCGCAGGGGTTGTTTTCTTGAAACTGCGCGAACTCTTCCGCATACTTTCGCGGCGCCTTCAAGTTTAGCGAGGCCACCGAGGTGATGCGCCAAGAGAGGAAGTAAAACAGGTCGTACGCGGCCCCCCCCTCGATGCTGTTGTACGACACGGAGAGATATGGATTGCAAATATGTCTGGGTCTGGAAAAATGCAAGGCTTGTCATGCTTGTCTGGCATGACTGAAGAGTTTGTGATGCGTGTCCAAGACGAGGCCCTTTTGCGTGTCATGCAAAAACGCGTTTACCATGCGGAAAACGCAACACGGAGCCGCGCAAATATTTCTCATGCTCGGCTGAGCATTACAGAGCATTATACTATTCACAACTCAGCATCACAAGTTCCCAGACCCAGACATTTTTGCAGTGCATAAGAGATCAATTTCGTCCCGTTCCGTTTGCAACGTGAAAGTGGTCGACCACGACAGGTGTTTCGCGACAGGCTTGAAGCTCCACGCGAGAATGTTCGCCCACCGGATGGCCCGGAACTCGGTCTTCGGCTGCTCTGTGCCGATAAACTTCAGTCCGCGAATGTAGTAGGACCAACCTTCGTGGATTTGCACGTGCAGAATCTGCTCGCTGGTCCACAGCATGACATTTTGATCCGCCGCGGACTCGAACATAAAATACACTTTCTCGTTTTCATGCAGCAATTTCCGCCGCTGGATCAGTTTCTGCCGCTCGGCTTCGGGTTCCACGCTGGCGTAGCGGAGCGCCATCATGTTGTCCACGTAGAACTGCAACTTATCCAACCGGTCTTGCATTTTGTCGTCCGGCACTTTGTCCCAGGTCCAATATTGTGAGAAAAAATCACTTCTCCCCATATTGAAAGCGCACCCCTCTGAAAATTTGTCCACAAATCCTGTCTCTCTTGCAAGAGGGCAAGCCCAGAGACTGCGCCGCATTACACAGGCGGTTTGTGATGCTGCTCGGCTTACAGCATAGACATTTGCCATGTTAGGCGCCTTAGTCAAAACCCCTCAGCTCAGGTTTGGCATTTGTCTGCAGTAGTGCTCTACTGCAAGACACATCCGATTCGTGTACGGAAATCGAGCATCAGAAACTTCGTTTCGATATGGGGAGGGGGCATTTTTCCTTTTGATATCCAACCCGCCCACTTTGTAAAGGCGGCAATCGGGGACCACTTCCGGTTCTTGTTTTCCGTCACCTGCCTGGGCCCGTTGGCCACGACGGCATGATCTTGGGGCGCCCCCGGATCTACTTGTTCAGCCTCCTGGACCTCTTGCACCACAGGCGGGGCCGGAAGCAGCCCTTGGGTAGCTGGCGCAACTGGGATCGGACCTAGTTGGGCAGCTCTCGCATCTTGCTCGGCCCTTTGTTTCGCTTCTTCCGCGGCGATTGTTTTGCGAGCTTGCGTCGGCCCGGAAATAAGCGCCCCAATATCCGCGCCATGGGCAGCGGTAATTATGGTGGCGAATACGCGAACCGACCTCATTTTGCTTCGTTTTTTTTTGTGTACAATTACGTCGGGGTACGGGTAATTCTATAGCCTAAGCACTTGTAGTACTAGTAGAGTAATAATGGATGCTAGAAATCTTTTGATGATGAAAATGAAATAAATCTGGAAAGTGTCGAAAATTGATTTTTTGCTTTTCCTAGTTCAGTTTCTGTACAAATCGTTTTACGTCGTGTATCTTGTTTGTTTGTTTGATTGTTTGTTGTGGGTGGTTTATCTTGTTTGTTGTGGTTGTGTCTATAATCTTGTTTGTTTTGTTTACGTTTATCTTGTTCCCCCAACGTGGTTGTGTAATTTTTTTCGCCCGAAACTAAAAGTTAACTTTTCGTTCTACCAAAAGGACTACTCAATGATAGGATAAGGTGTTCATAAGAAGTTTCTAGTTTGTAAGGCGTCTCCAAGAATCGTTTAAATACCTACTACTTCTCGCGGTATTTTTTGCCCAGGCTGCATGGTCCGAGATTTCAATGAAACATGTTTTGTCGGTATTTGTATCCAGCGACATCTTCACTAGTGAAGCGGAAAAACAAACTCATGCACTTGCTCTAAACCGACCCGGCGGCTGCAAATGCAGTTGTTGATCTTCCATAGTACTTTGCACCGACAACGTACTTTATTTCATGGTAACCTTCACTTCCGACTTTTTTCGATTTTGCTCGATCTATTGACCGACCATGAATTCGCGTCTGAATTTCGATCAAATTTGTAGTTGTCAACAGATTTTGCAGTCGTACCTCAAGGAGGTTCGACCGAAGATGAGCAGGAGCTGCACCCAGACTGACCGACTATCAGATCGATGACATTTTCCATTCCAGAAGAGGACCGAGGGAAAAATAAGATTAAGTGTGGCAGGACCGAAAAGCTATTCTGGAAGGGACTGCTTGCATCCATTGCAGCTCAGACCGCACGACAAATTTCCTATTTTTTTCACAAACAACGGAACGTGATCCCATGCGTGCTTACTGCAGGAGAAACAAAACACGGATGGGGATGGCGAAACCGACCTTTCTCGCATTTTCAACAAGACTGACGATATAATCGCGTCGCAAGTTAATTATTGTATTTCTGCGATACATGACTGTTGAAAAAGTTGTTGTTGAGAATTTGATTCCTTCCTCGCGCTAGCAAAAATATTTTCGTAAGATTTTTCGACGCTCATTGAAAAAGTTTTTCGCGATAGTTAGTACTTCTCAACAGCGATCCTGTCGCCTGCTTTCGCCTGTAGATGGCTAGTTGTACAACCTGGATTCTATTCATCTGTAGCGGCATAATATTCAACGTGCCCTGTCGCGGAAAATTTACATTTATCAAGTCTTCATTTCGTGATTCTGTCGTGAGACTGTGAAGAGACATAATGATGTTCGAAGCATCTTCGTTGGTCTTCTCTACTAGCCGACACTGCAAGATGCCAAAAATTTGTCCTTGTTCAGCTGATAGAAACGAAAACTTTCGTTCGCCAAAAACTCGATAAATTCATCTAGACGTAATAAACTAAAACCACTATTTTTAGCTAGGGAAGATGAAGATCTTTTTCTTTGTGGTGCAGTGCTAGCACCCGCACCGATGGACATCTTGACCATGCGAAGAGGCCGCGCCGGCTGCAACCAGTGCGCGTAGTAAAAATAGAATTCTAAGTCTTGTCTGCAATAAAGCTTTTACTTCTTCAATGCCTCGACGATCAACTTGGCCACCGCCTCGGAGGACTGCGGGTTTTGCCCCGTGATTAACTGCCCATCGCACACCGCCGCGGAGTATGAACTGCAAAAGTATCGTATTCGTATAAATGCAATTTTCTCAGCATGAGAAATAAAATTTGTAAGAGCGGGGTAACAAAAAAAAAATAGTAGTTGCAGGCCAACTTCCCATCCACCCGGCCGGGTGGATGAGAAGTTGGCCTGGTTGGCCTGTCCGCGTCGCTCGCCCACCCGGCTCCGGATCCCGGATCTCCGAGAGCGTCCCCACGGTCATCTATCTGCAACGCAAATCTTCACTCTCCCAGAATTCGTGCCCACGCCCCATAGTCAAGGTCGTCTATCTGCAACAAAAAAACATATCTTCAATAGATGCATGGCGCAGATGCAAACTTTTAAGGCAACACAGAACAGACACAAGCTTCTATAACGATGCAAGTTGAAATCTCCAGCTACTATTTTTTTTTTGCGAATTTACCTTAACCTTAAGAAAAAGATTTGTAATGCATGATTACAATACGAGTACGATACTTTTGCACAGGATACGGAGTTCCAATCGTCAGCGGATTCGTACTTGCACCCGAGCTATCAAATGCAAATATGTCTGGGTCTGGATCTGGAAGATTTAGATTGTCACGCACATATTGCATTACACATGATGCCTGCAATGCGAATGCATGACCTAGCATTACAGATTTTTAGATAGCTCTCTGATGCCTATCCCGCATGAGAAACGCCCTTTTTGCGCAGCACGAACTGGACTCCTCTTGCTGGTCATGCAATACTACAGATTTTTCTAGAATCGAAAAACAGCATCACAAGTTGCAACCTTCCCGACCCAGACATATTTGCTTTTGATACGAGCTCTTTCATCTTGGCCTCCAGCAGCCACGCAACCTTCTCCGTGTGCCCAACAGCGGCTTCCTCGGTGTCCTTGAAGTATCCTGAGTAAAAACGTACCCACACCAGAGTCAGGATGGGGATTTTGCAAGACAAACCTAGGAGTTTTGTGAGTCAAGCATGAGAAGTTGCACTCTGCAGTGTAGTGCAGGTTAGCAAGAGCAGCCGCATCACAGATTCATCGGCTCATCCTGTTCACAGCATCACAAATTCCAAAACACGATTGGAAATGGCTCTTATGGGGATGCGCATTACAAGTCTTCCTGTCTTGGCAAATCTGCACTACAACTCTGGTGTGGGTACGTTTTTCCTCAGGATATGAAGGCGCACACTTTCAAATCCTTCACCAAGGGGGTACCTGAAGGGGGGTATATGTTGGGGTGGATTCGCGCAAAAACATGTAATGAAAAACTGCACGGACTAATGCTAGTTTTTGTTTTAGATTGGAGACAAGCTTAGTATCATTCCTTGCAAGAAGAGCTGCCTCCGCGAGAAACGAAAAAAGTACCGTCTGGCTTGCAGCACTGCGCGAGTCCGACCGGGCCGTGGCAGCAAGCAGAAACCACCTTTCCCGAAGCGTACATTTTCTCGACGCAAGCCTTCAAACCGTCGTGCGCAAGAGCTATGGTGAGCAAAAGCAAAAGCGTCGCAAGTTTAAACGCGCAAACTCTATCTTGGAATACTGCATGACAGATCTTTATTCTTCGGGTCGTGTTCATAGTGACAGGGCTACATCTACTTCAAACAAATCGCAATTTCTTCGTTGGCATTCTCGTGCAACACAGCTTTTGCAATGCCTAACAAAATCCGTGCAGCAACCATGCCCGCCGGGGAGGTACACGGCATCAAATTCGTCGCCGGCCTGATAGAAATTTTATTTTGGCATGCGTTACATACATGAGAAACTGCTGTGCTTTATTTGTCATGGGTACAAGCTACATGCATCATTCGCATATCTCTACTTCTCATGCAGAACTGCATCGCAAGCTCTACTTCAAACATACAATATTACCACGTCCGCCAAGTTCTTGCTAGTCTTGAGCACACCCGTCGCCGTTTCGTCCGCATCAAATTTCTTCGCCGCATTATTACAATGAAAAATGCCCCCTCCCCATATCAAAACGGAAATCTGTGATGCAGATTTGTGGTCACAAGTCAGCTTTGTGATGCTAGAAGGCAAAAGGTGCGGACTGTAGTGCTGTCTAGCGTGGGACAGCCTTGCAGCTCCAGGATGACAGGAGGCAACTGGAAGCGGGAAACAGCATGACAGATTACCTGCAATTTAGGCCGCAGCTTCGTCTCTTGGCCTTCTAGCAATACAAGTCGATTTGTGTACTCAAATACAGCATCACAAATTCGCGCATCTTCCGTTTCCGCTATGGGGTGGAGGCTTTTTTCACTTTGATACGCATCCGTGTAAAACCCCTCACTGCGGGAAGCGGCGTCGACGGGGATTTCGCCTCCCGCCAGACTCGCGACGGTCACATTGAACCCAGCGTCTAAGATATGCATTGCAACTATGTCTGGGTCTGGAAGATTTGGGGAGTTTGTCATGCACGTTTTGCATTAGCCATGATGTCTGTGATGCATGCCCTAGCATCACATATATTATCAGGGCTTCTTGATGCCTATTCCGCATGACAAATGTCCTCTCCGCGTAGCAAAAATTGCATTCCCTTTGCTGCTCATGCAATACAAATTTTTTTGGAATCCAAATGCAGCATCACAAGTTCGGACTCTTCCAGACCGAGACATATTTGCATTTGATAGAAGAAAGCGTAATACGGAGAAGCGAGTTCTTCAATCCAGACGCCCGTCTATACTGTGCAAAAGTATCGCACTCGTACTAATCGCAGTCATGCAAGACAGATTTCTTTTTCAACCTAAATCAGCATGAGAAATTCCATTTCTCTTCCTGAGCTAATTTGTATTTCTTCTCCTACGATTAAGATACTTTTGCAGTTCATACCGTCGGGGACTTTTCCGGCCCGAACTCGGCCGCGGAAGTACAGACAATCAGGACGGAGGGCATGTTGTTCGTGATTTTTTCTGTTCTATCGCGACTTTATAATTTCCAATCAACTATAGTAGGTACCAAAGGTCGATTTGAATTGCAATTAATTTTGCAGCACTCCTGTCGTCTGCGACACGGGAAAGGATATTTTCCTTTGGAGAATCTTTTTCTGTTCCTGTCGTTTTCTTTGCGCAATGAATATCGGCTCTCGCTTCGTTTCTGTCTTCTGACTTAGTAGCGCTAAAAAAAGCTCCTGTGAAACTTCCAGAGCCGCGTTTCTCTCCACAACTTTGGCAGCACACGAAATAAAAAACCATACCGATTGTAACAAACAGAGGCTGTAGAAGTTGAGACTACACTCGGGGGATAGAAGCAAGTACTGCATACAACTCGAACACAGATAGAGGTGACCACCACCCAGCGGCTTGATCACATCAAAGAAAAGTCATCATTTCTAGAACCTAGAATGCTTTCCCTGTTACTTGGCGATGGAATTTTTCGAGAACTTGTTTGCGTGATATTAACTTTTATTCGAGGTTGAGCTGTTCAAAAGCAAAGTTAGTGATGGTTCTGATCTGTGACCTGGATAGAGGAGCTCGTCTTCATACTCCTCACACCAGAGAAGCGATGTCATCGAGTCGCGAAGAGACAAACGCGGAGGTTTCGTAAGTGTAGTGGTGTCATTCGCAAACGGAAGTTTCATGTTTCCCTTTATTTTTCCACATTCAACACTACATATAGCCTTCTCATGTCGACGATTCTGCCTTTACGCTCCAGCCTCCACCGCCTTCTCCGTGGCGGTCTTCGCTTGTTCTCCCTCAACAACGGCCTTAGCGGCTTCCTTCTCGGCAACGGCGGGCGCAGGAGCTTCGGTCTTCGTCTCTGCAGTGGCACAAGCAGCCGCAGCTTCCTCCTTCTTCTCCTCCGCCTTCTTCTCGACTCCCGTGGTACTACTCGCAGCGGCATATCCTGTGCAAAAGTATCGCACTCCTATTGCAATCATGCATTACGAATTTTTTTCTCAACGTAAATCCGCATTACAAATTTTATTTCTCATGCTGAGAGAATGCGTAATGCATTTATGAGAGTGCGATACTTTTGCAGTTCATACAGCAGCCTTCTCCGCTTTTTTCGCCTGGTTCGCCTTCTCCCGGCTCCGGTGCTTTTCCGCTTCCTTCGCGGCCTATCAAAAGAAAAAAGCTCACCACGATCATTCATGTGCATTGTTGCAATACAAAAAATGCCTGACTGTCATGCATAAAAATGCCCCACAGCCAAACTTCCTACGGGATTTCCCTTGGTGTTCCAGCAATACAAGCAAAAGCTGTGATGATGCAAAAAATTTGTAATGCAGAACCGCCAAGATAGATAGTGACTGTAACAAACTTTTTCCTCCCCATAGGGCCTGCGCCGGATTCAACACCGATTGCACGTTGTACTTGATAAACTTCCCCCACTGGTGGTTGTCAATCAAAGCCAACCCGATGAAAACCGGGTTCACCTCGATCTGGATGCACACTTCGGGGTTGTCCAGGGAAACCTTGTACCCATCGGTCCATTTATCAAACGCAAAAATGTCTGGGTCTGGAAGGATCCGAACTTGTGATATGTGTTTCGGATCCTACAAAGATCTGTGATGCATAACGTGCAAAAGGTGCCCACTTCTGGCCATGCTGAGAGAGCATTTCTCATGCAGAATACGCATCACCAAGGAGCTGCAGAACCTGTGATGCTAGGCCCTGCATTCCAGACGTGGGGGAGCTTGGAAAAACTGCATGACAAATCTCGGAATCTCCCAGACCCAGACATTTTTGCATTTGATACCACTGGTCGATCACTTGCAGGATCAGGTCCTTGTTGATCTTCTTCAAGTATGGAGTGGGAAAGTCGAAATTGTTCGGAGACAATTTGAGGTACTAGGACGGCGGGTCAAATAGATTCATAATCGAAAAAAATTGCACCATTGTTGCGTCACATAGAGCAAGCGCATGTTATTTTCAATCAGAAAAATCATGCATCACCATGGTGCTGCGATTTTTTTGATTGTCTGAGCCAAAACTTGCTAGTTTGCGTGAAGGCTGCAAAAGCTGGCCGTTCGACATCCTTGGAAAAGCCGCAGCATAATTGTCCTCGAATGGTCTTTCGCATGCAGGCACTTATTAAATCGAAAAAGCGCCCCGTCCTGTGCGTAAAAATTGCAAACAATCTCCGAAAAATTTATTTCACATTCCATACCACCGCCCGGGTTTTGAAGTTCAGCGCCCACGTCAACTTTTTGTCTTCCGCTTTTTCCGTTTTCGGGAACAAGGGTTTGATGTGTTTCTCCGCGAGCTTTTTGAACTCCTCAATGTCCGGCTTACAGAGGAAGTCGCACGGCAGTAGCCGGAAAATATGGTGGGAGTTTTCCTGCTTGTTTTGGAATTTCTCGAACATCTGGCTGCAGCAGGCGGACGCGGTTAACGGAGCGGTAGGAGACTGATTGCACTTCACGAAGCCGATACCTAGCAGAATTTGTTGTGCGGTTTTGTAAGTAGTGCAAGTGAGCATGAACAGATTGGCATGCGATGTTGACATCAGGTTCAGGAGGAAGAAGTGGAAGAATTACTGTGACTGTCATGCGAAAACAACCAACAGCAAATGCAAAAGGAACATTCTCATCAATACCGAACGGCAGCTTGTGATCGTTGCAGAGTTCGAATCTTTTTCCAGCCTTGTCGTCGGCACCTGCTTATCCTGTGCAAAAGCATCGCACTCGTATTGCAATCATGCATTAAATCCTTTTGTTACGGTAAATCCGCATTACAAATTTTATTTCTCATGCTGAGGAAATTTGTAATGCATTTATACGAGTACGATACTTTTGCAATGCATACTGCTGTAGCAGTGTCCGGAAAAGCGCGCTTCAAAATGTTCAAGCAATCGTGAATGGCCGGCTTCAACGCGTGGGAGTTCGCCGCCGTGATCAAAATTCCCTGGTCAGTCGCGACATTTAACTTATTGTTGTTCAACTTCTGTTTCTTCGCCGGCGGGGCACTAGCCGCAGCAGTTTGTTCCTCGGCCGCAGGTTTCTGCTCTTGTTCGCCATCCTTTTTCTCTTCCTTTTTCTCTTCGGCAGCCACAACACTATCTTCGGCGGGGCGCTTGTTGGAAGTGGTGGTTTGTTCTACTTTTTCCTCGGTAGCGGGAGCGGCAGCCGCGGTAGTTGTACTAGCGGTGGTTTCTTCGGCTTGTTTCGGCTTTTCTTCCGTGCCGGCAGCGACCTTCTGCTCCTCAGCCTTCTTCTCCTCAGCGGGGGCCACAGTGGCCTGCTGCTGTTCCTGGACTTTCGGCTCTTCGGCAGGAGCGCTCATTTTGTTTCTTGGCGGGATGAAATTGCTGAAAATTATATCCAAGAGCCTCTAGAAAAAGTTCAGAAAGCTAGGTAATACTTCCTAGTGTCGTGGTCGGGTCGAAAGGAGCTTCGCAACGTTCTCGTTCAGTGTCTAGAAGTTGTGTCAGATAGAATCTGGCGAAATTGTTCGAGGAAAAAAACGCTAGTCGAGTTTGTTTGGAAGAAAAATACTCAAAACTCGTGCGATCCAGTCAAGAACCACATAACGCGTCTTTTGGCCCAGTTGAGATCGAGTTCAAACAGTGCTGGCGCTGTGGCTAAATGTGTCGCGGGCGTTCGTGTAAATGTTCAGAGTTACTCCTGGTCCTGCTAGAACGAGCACCCTAGCTGTGCTTTTTGCAGCTGAAAAGCGCGCAAAGGAAAGGCGCACTTTTTCAGCTGAAAAAAACCGCCAAGACGCTTTGTTCGAGCGGGAATTCATGGCTCAATTTCCAGCCTCGACGAGACTCGAGAAGTGCGCAGATGATGAGCAACACATCGAGATTGAACCAAGATCGAGCGGAGAGGGAGCAAGCTGGAACCGAGTTGGGATCTAGTTGAGATCGAGCAAGCTGGCATCGAGTTGGCATCGAGTTGACATCGAGTTGGCATCGAGTTGACATCGAGTTGACATCGAGCTGAGACCGAGTTGAGACCGAGTTGAGATTTTCACTTTTTTGTCACTGAAAAATCGAACGAGGTGTGACCTCATACGGCGCTTTTTTCAGCTGAAAACTTACCCCCTTGCGCTTTTTTTCAGCTGAAAAATTGCGCCCTTGTGCTTTTTTTCAGTTGAAAAGTTGCGCCCTTGTACTTTTTTTCACCTGAAAAATTACAAGGCGCAGTTTTTCAGCTGGAAAAAACCGCGGAAATGCTTTTTTTCAGCTGGAAAGAGGCGCGCAGCCCAAATGTGCTCTTTTTCAGCTGAAAAAAAACGCAAGTGAGCTTTTTTTCAGCTGAAAAAAAACGCAAGTGTGCCTTTTTTCAGCTGAAAAAAAGCGCCGCGTGATTTTTCAGCTGAAAAAAAGCTTGCTCCTTTTTTCAGTGAAAAAAGGGTGAAAATCTCAACTCGAGGATGGCTCAATCTCAACTCGATCTCAACTCGATGTCAAGTCGATCTTAACTCGGTCTCAACTCGATTCCAGCGAGCGCGATCGCAACTCGGTCTCAACTCCGTCCGTGTCCACTCGGTCTCAACTTACTCTTGATTCGATCTCGACGGAGTGGAAACATTGCAGCTTTTTTCACCCGAAAAAAAGCTCGCCCTGAATATGCAAGATCCAGATTTACTGCCCACCCGGTCGAGCACGAGGGAGCTCATCCTCACGCTTTGGACAGAAGCAACAATGGGGACGCACAAAAGCACCTCGCACAGCTATCCTATCCACATACACGCTTCTGGAAATTTTGGGCACTAGAAACGTCGCTGCTAATGAATGCCCAGATCATGCAAATTTCGACTCGATCTCAACTCGGGTCTTAAGTCAATCTCAACTTTTTTACTTTGTCGAAGTGGTTCAGTGCCTAAAATACTCAAAACTCGTACGATCCAGTCAAGAACCACATAACGCGTCTTTTGGCGAGCTTCCAAATCATTTTTCAGAACAGGAACTATCCAAATGATCTACAACAGGTCGTCATGGAGGTCATGATCAGCTACTTTCAGATCTTGACATTCATTCGGATGATCGATGCTGATTTTGTGTGGTTTTCCAACTCCAGACACAGACATGATAACCTCCTATTCCCAAATGATCGTTGTGCATTTATTTATTTTTCGAAATACTTTATTTTATGCACTTGTCAAATACTTCCGTGGATAGATCATCCTGTGGATGATCAACTTTGGATATGCGTCCCGGGTATCAGGAGGTGAATCCGCTCGCAGACAAAGCATGGGCGAGCCTACCCCAATTTCCCGAAAGCAAGTGATGGGCTTCTGTCACACTCCTGATGCGAAGTGGCGCGAAGCCTCATGATCCATCCACTTCAAACCAAAGTAAATCAGCATGACAAATAAGGGCTGGGAGGGAGGGAAAAATTAACGCGAATGCGCGTCCCTCATGCTGCATATCGTGCTTCGTAAGTTTTGGTTACCGTGAAGTAGAGCGGGTTTGTCCCGCCCATAAAATATAGACCGACCAACGTCGGCCTTGACTCACAGGCTCGCAAGACCTTGCTTGCCCGGTCATACATTTTATGCACTTGTCAAATACTTCCGTGGATAGATCATCCTGTGGATGATCAACTTTGGATATGCGTCCCGGGTATCAGGAGGTGAATCCGCTCGCAGACAAAGCATGGGCGAGCCTACCCCACCGGCGGAGACGCAAAGCAACGACGCGACCCAAAGAACCCTCTAAACGAAGGACTGGAGATGAATTTGGGTACCGAAAAGCCGCCCCACCGAGTTTGAGATGAAAATAACCAAGGTCAAAAAGTCCTCGAATGCCTTGAGGAACTCAACCAAGATAGAAGTACTTCGGTGTCGGAAAGTACACCAAGGGGAAGTCATGTGCTGGTGCCGGAAAGTACACCAGACAAAATCAAATTCAAATCGTCTCCGGAAAACTAGGAGCACGTTGGACAAGGTCCAAAAATTGCCTGAGCCTCGGGCCGAGCGGGGAATGCGCTCTAATAACCCTAGATCAAAAATGGCGAACTTGAAACTCCAATGGAGAAAAGAGCTTAGAGCTACCATCGGCAGGGGCGCAAGTCCCTGAAAACCTAGAAAGCACTGCAGTAAACTAGAGGAAAATTAACGCGAATGCGCGTCCCTCATGCTGCATATCGTGCTTCGTAAGTTTTGGTTACCGTGAAGTAGAGCGGGTTTGTCCCGCCCATAAAATATAGACCGACCAACGTCGGCCTTGACTCACAGGCTCGCAAGACCTTGCTTGCCCGGTCATACATTTACTTTTGGATCGAAGAGCGACTCCTGCCAATCTGGGAAATAACCTCGGTGTACTTCACCACATGTCCGACAAAAAAATGAACAGCAACTCTGCAATGCCACGACGTGAAGCCAGCAGATGAAGCTCGATGCAGTGGCGTCGTTTTTATGTGTGCAACTATATCCTCTCGACAAAAAAATATAGTGATTGTCATGTATGATTTGGAACGTGATGAATGGTGGGTGTTTGTGTGTGTTCGGTTGGTGAGTGACGTAGCGCGAGAAAGTTTTTGGTGGTGGGTACTACTACTATGGATTTATGATTGCTGATGATACTACAAACATGCCTGATGTTCCGCTCTACTCGTCATGGATGTGATTGCGTCTTTCACCGAATTGGCGAGTACAACCGGGGTACGGATTTTTTATTCGTTCATCTGAGGTAGTTTTGAACTACTTCTAGATGAAAACAGCAGGGCTATTCTGATTCCAGACGGAGACAGGGGCAGAAAACAAGGATTTACCTAAATGGCATAAAGATGTCGACCACCACGGAAAATGTTGACAAAATTTGAGGTCTACTATCCTCATCAAAACGCGCCCCCGTAACTATTTTTCACCCCCAGTGACCATTTCGGCGTCCATTCCAGCGTCGGATCTTTTGCCAACGCAATCGCGGGGTACTTCCCCGGCCCAGGTCCAGCAGAATCAAATGTCGGAAATCTCACGTCGATCCCGAACACCGGCCTGCCGTCCTGTTTCCACAGCGGATGCCCTTTTCCGCTCTTCCCAATACCCAACGTCGTCGGCTGGCGGTAGTGGCCAGGCCCGGGGACTTTCTGCTTGTTTTCTGGTAAGGGGAATTTCTCCCGGATCTTGAACTTCGGGAAGGCTTTGAGAGTGAAGTTTACCCCTCGCACAATGCTGTCGTCGAACGCGGCGTTTGCCTGGTATTCAATCTCCTTGCATTTCAACTCGTTGAAAAGTGATTCCGCGATTTCTCTCGGTAAGGTTTCGCCCCCACCGGGGATGTTTTGCTCGAAGTCGTGCAGCTTCCAATTTTCGAGTGTCTGCCCAGGGACAGGTTGGAAATTGGACAAGTCGTAAAGGGCGGACTTTTGTTTTTGAAGTTGCTTTTCCAATTCTTTTTCAATCGAATCTGGATTTTTACTATCCGAATCGGCTGGACTATTTTCTTCTTCGGTTTTTTGATTTCCTGTTTCAATCAAGCCCCGCCTGAGCATCGCGGACGTCACCCACTCTTTCACCCCCTGCTCCGTCCAGACCCGACAAGATTTCCCGTTGAAGACGTTGTCCCCCGGGAATCCCGCCCAGGACCGGCGGTCGGCGTAGGATTTCTTTCGCTTGATGAAATATTTCTCCTCCGCTAGGCCGGGTGGGACGCCGAAGTTGGTTCTCGTTCGGCAGGAATACTTCGCAGCGGTGGGGGTATTGCTGCTGCTGTCCATGTAACGGGTGGTGTAGGTGGACCGATCGGCATCGATTTTGCGTCTCCTTTCCTCGACTGTATCCTGCGGGCGGGGTTTGCGCAGCGTCCAGGGCTGGAGAAGCGGTTCGGAAACGAGGATGGGCATCTTGTTTGGTGGTGAGGGTGGAGGAAAATGTGCTACGTTGAAAGAAGAGAGTTTTAGGTTTCTTTGGGAAGAGCCGTCAGGTAGGTGGGGGAAAACGGAAAGACGTATGCTTGTAGTGTAGGGGGACAACACAAAATCAGTTCAAAGCTGGACGTACGGAATAGAAGCCTTGGTAAGGCGCAACCCACTTGTGGTTGAGAACTGCAGCTGGTGAGTTGAATAAACACGAGGTGGATGCTCTTCAAAGTCAGTAGAATAGCAAGCATGTTTAATGACAAAAACAATAGAGAAAATTCACAATAACGTCGCTCCGTTGCAGCCAGGGATGTCTGCGTTGTTGCTGTGGTACGACAGATTAGTGCGGAACGATCGAATGTTGTCACGGTTGATGGACGATTTTTCTGAGTCTTGCTGTACCGACGATGAGCGAAGTCTTTGTTGCACGATTAAGACTGAAAATACTTCAGTGTCGCGACAGCGTGTTGCTTCGGAACGAGCATGGTGCTACGTACATCTAGATCTACCTACTCAATAAAGCTGACTCGATGACTGCTGCTCGTCCTCGAGCCGTGAGCATACGACAAAACCGACATTGGTACCGTATCCGGAAGCACGAAAATATCCGACGGAACCAACATTCAGTGCGCCATACCATCGGAAAACGCATTCGCCGGGGGCAAATTTAGGCTCCCGCCCGGAGGCGCAAAAAGATTCGCCGGGGCGCACTTTTAACACACCATAGCATCGGGAAAGCCATTCGTCGGGAGCAAATTTAGGCTCCAGTCCAGAGGCACAAAAAGGTTCGCTGGGGCCAACTTTCGATGCGCCATACCATCGGGGAACCCATTCGCCGGGGGCAAATCTAGGCTCTCGTCCAGAGGCGCAAAAAGATTCGCTGGGGCCAACTTCCAATGCGCCATACCATCGCGGAACCCATTCGCCGGGGGCAAATCTAGGCTCCTCTCCAGAGGCGCAAAAACATTCACCGGGGGCAACTTTCAATGCGCCATACCATGGGGAAGCCCATGTGTCGGGGGCAAATTTAGGCTCACATCCAGAGGCGCAAATAGATTCGCGGGGGCGGCGCGCAAACTAATGAGCTTAACGTCTCTTTGAGTTCAATAAAAATAAAATTTTAGTATTTCGCGGATGCGCGAAGCAAATAAAAAGAACATTTTGAAATTTCGCGTAAGACAGAAGGCAAATTCCGCACCCCACACGACGCGTGGCGCTAATACAGACGACGCGATAAAAATAAAAAATTTGAATTTTCATAACGACGACTACATTTTTGAAACGGTGTCTGTCCTCGAGCTTTGCACACTTCCAAAACTTTTTGTTTGGGCAGAACGATAAAAATAAATTTTTGAAATTTCGCGGATTTGCAGGGATCATAAAAACAAAATTTTGAAAATTCGTGGTTGACCGACTACTTCTTAATGGGAACGTCATGGCTCTTTCGACATTGCGGGCGGTGGACGGAGCCAGATGAACCTGATGTCATGACAAACATGCACATGGAGAAAGTCCTGACTTCCTACATAGTCTTGGTCTTTATTCCCACCTCGTGATGAACAGAACACCAAAACCGTAACGCAGCACCTGTATTTGCTGCATCAACATCGCCGCCCCTTCGCTGCAAAATAAAATGTAGTTTCTTCACAACTCACAAGGACGTACTTGCTGCTCTCGTCATTGTAGACCCGTGTAAAAGAAGATTCAAACGGTCTGATTCTTCAGCGGGTCGCCTCCTCGTGTAGTGTTTTTGTTCGGCGAGTTTCCCCTCCTGTCGTTGAAGAAAAACCACTTTCTTGTTTTCCGGGAGGACAAAAATGTAGTAAAATATTTACTGGAAAGAAATGCATGACATGTTGTTGTTTTCACCTTAGGTGCTACGATCGGTATGCGAGGGCCACTTGCACTTCCTGAGATGAGCCACGAGTTGTGCGGCTCTTCGAGAAGCGCTGTTCGCGGAATTTTCTAGGAATAAGAAGCAGCAGTATGCCTCATTTACATACCAAAGGGGTGTCATCTTGTTCATAAGGGCAGACATGAGATGAAAAACGCTGTCTTCTCTGTCTTTGTTTTCTGCTTTTATCTTCTAAATCTAATCGTCTATCCTGATGATTATCACGCATTTGCATCCTTGTCCACAAAATCAAAAATGTTGAGGGTATTGTACAGAAGCCAGCGTGATCCTTGCTTCTTGATCACACATGAAAGGGTAGCTGTACTACTTCATCACAAAAAGAGCAGCGCCAATATTAGTACAGCGAAGAAAAAGCAGCTATCAAGCCTCATCAACTTCGCTGTACGTGCTCGGCCTTCTTGGTAGAGTAGTAGTGATGGTACTAAAACCGTAATAAGTATGCAAATGATTAATAAATATCTCCAATTCTCGTATACAATTGACCTACTAGTAGAAAGAACTATATGCGCCAAAAGATGAGATTTACAGTGCTGCCATGATTGGTTTAGCTAGAGTAGAAGTTAGAGCTCGCACACTAGTACAGCATGTGCTTTTTCCGTCCTTTGATACTGAAACTGCTCACGTTATTTCTTGCACGTACTAGTAAGTACTCTGCACCATTGCGTTCTCGTTGTAGCTCCGCCGTGTAGTTTCAGATATCCTATCGTCAACAAATCCCAAACCGCTCTAACAAATTTGTTTTTTCCGTGTTACATCGTAACTCATTTTCCTTTCGTTACTTATACTTTTTAATACTTTTTGAAAAATTCAGATTCTAATTTTTTCCACCACTGATCGCAAGCTCAACATGCACACTTCTGTGCTAGTTCGTCGTCGTGCCTCCCGAGCCGCCCGACGGTGTGTTACTTCCGTCGGAACAAGCCACACAACAGCTCCCAAACCAGCAAAAGCTCATGATGACCAGGATTATCAGCATGATGCTGCACGTCCCCGCTGCAGCCCAGAAGAGCCAGAGCCGCTTGTTCATGTAATTTGCTTGATGCTCCTCAGCTTCGTGAAGTTTGATCACACCCGCGCCAATGAATTCGTCGGTGACATCCACGTGGTTCTCGATAGACGCGAGAAGTTCCGTCTGTTCTTGCTGGACCTGTTTTTGATAAGTGATTAATTTTGCATGAGAATTGGGACTTTCGCTGTGTCAAATAATGCATGACAAAGAGACAGAGTCGAACTGTCATCTATCAGTTGCAAATTGAAATTCCGCAACGACCAAGGTTCTTCAACAACTCCACAAAGAAAGCGAATATCATGATCTATACCGCCGCGCAATATTCCACCATTTCTGCCAACTGATTTATCTCCTGCTCGAATTTTTTCATTGACCCTTTATGCATTGCAAAAGCATCGCATTTGTATAATTAAATGCATTACAAATAATTTCCTCAGCATGACAAATGGAATTTGTGATGCGAATTTATCTTGAGAAAAAAATTTGTAATGCATGATTGCAATACGCTTACGCGTACGATGCTTTTGCATTGCATACTCTTGCACAGAGAGCAAGTTGTGAAGCTTCTGGGTCTCCTCGTCTATGTAGTATTGCTGTTGGATCCCCTGCATATTCCCTCCCTTCATGGAAAACCGGTTGTTTCCCTTTTGCGTTTGCATCTGCAGGTTGTTGAGGTTACCAGAGGCGCCCATTTGCGCAGGACTGCCAGGGGGCGACACGGCTCCGTAGTTGTTGGTCATAGTGGGTGAAGACGCGCCGCCTTTTGATGATCCTTGCTTCCCGTTCTTCCTGATCTGATCATTTACCATGTCTCGGTACCGGGACTCCAGGTCGAGAAAATCGGTTAGAGCTTCTTTAAAAGCCTGCGACGCCATCGTGATCGACCGGGCCACCATCTGCTTTTCCGCTGGGGTCTTTGCCTCGGTTTGCTCCTCACGGAGGTCATGGATCACATTCTGGATGGATTCGCAGAACCTGTCGCGTATTTGTCATTTTATGTTATGCAATAGAGATTGAGAATGAGATAGAGATTGTCTTGCATGAAAGTAGCGATTACAAATACAAGTAGTACAGTACAACTGGAGCAGAGCTGCAGCTGCAAGAAAACCAAATCAGTTTCGCTTTATACCCTTTCCCTCTCCGCAGCAACTGGTCTAAAGGTAGCTCCCTCAAAGCCTGTTCCTGGGGCGTCAACCCACCTGCTTTCGTCCCGCTGTTCTGTTGCCTTGTTCCTGACGCTTCTTCCACTACTCGCCTATAGATTTCCGCCCGGATGTATTGTAATTCCAACATCAAGCTGTTTATCGTCCCGGTCAGTGTCTGTAGTTGCCCCATGAGAGGCGTTGTGCCAGACGCTGACCCGAGTTTGTAGTCCCGGGAATTGACCGCGGAGCCTGGATTCACGCCGGCGAGTTTCTGCAGTAAGGCTTTCTTATCCGACACCGTGTTCGCATCGTCATTTTGTTTTAACCTGTTGGTGTTCTGCGGGAGGAGATTCGTGTACTCCATAGTACTATCGTCATCGTTATCTCCGCCACCGGCTATCAACTGCAATAATGTCTGGGTCTGGAAGAGTGTGAACTTGTCATGCAGGTTGTCCATGACCCAGGAGGTCTGTTAGCGGGCCCCGGCATGACAGACTCTGGGGCGTCTCTGTCATGCCTATCCTGCATGAGAAACTCCCTTCCAACTTGGTCGCAAGTGGACAGCTTTTGGCACTCATGCAACACAGATTTTAGCATGATTCGGATTTAGCACGACAAGTTGCAATGATCTTCCAGACCCAGACATTTTTGCAATCCATACCGGCTGCCGCCGCACCGTGATAGCGCCGGTCCCGCGGCTTCGAACCGCGAGGCATGATCGATGGGATGTCTTGCGCTCGTGGACGAGAAGTAAGTGAGCACTGTTCTTCCTGCTGTGAACTTCTCCTTGGTAGTTCAACTGCAGCAGTACAGTTCGTGGTTCCAAATTATGGACCACTTCATCTTCATGTCATGCTGTTAGTTGCATCGCAACATCGAGTGGAAAAAAAAGAATTTGGTTGTTCTAAAAAGTATGTAAGTAATATTTTTGTCAAAGGTGTTTAAGTTTATCGCGTATTCAAAATGGGTTACGATCTAAGGAAAAAAATTTGCCGCGGCGGAGGTCCTCTCGCGAGGGTTCAAAAAGAAACTTTTTCTTGCACAATTTCTTATTCTTTCACCTATGTGCATGTGAGAGTGTAGTGCTTGTTGTTCTACTTCCCGTGCCTGAAACGGAGTTTTGTGCAGAAATGAGAAAAATTGGTCCCACGACTCGAAGGTGTCAAACGGCCCTTGTTGTTCCACCGAGAATCAAATGGTAGTGAGTAGGAACCATGAGAAATAAAGCTGTGTGCTAGTAGCTTCCGTATATCATCTTTGGATCTTTCTTGTCCTCCGAGGTTTTGTAGAAGTTGAGCCTCATACAGCATCGCGCTTCAGCTACGGCCCAACTACTACACTGCGACAGAGAGTAGATCGTGTTCCTTTACTGATGTAGCCTCCGCCATCAGGAGAAAGCGACTTGGCATATTACAGGACACCGACAGTAGAGCGTTTATGCACGCACGAGTGAAGTATTGACCCCAGCACGACGTAGCGATTCTGATTCACAAACCGAAGTACTATACACCTTGTTATGATAATCCAAACCGAGGCGAACAATACATTCGCTGGAAAAACTAAACCGAAAAAATCGTCCGTATGACATCACTGATCATTGAGTCTATCGCTTTCGTTAGCAAGAGGACAGCACTCAGAGAAGGAACGCATCATGAGTATCGTGGTCCTACAGTGCGTCGGAGGAAGTGGCGATACGTAGTTCGTCTTTCAAGTATTTGCGTGGTCCCGCTTTTCTCATCGTACTTACTAGACGATGCGTCGTAGTGATAGCACTTTATCTGGCGTTTTTTGAAAAGCTGTTCAGTTTTCAAAGGGGTTTCACGGTCAAATTTCCGTCTCGAACTTTTGCGTGAGTAGTAAGCTCGTCTGTCGTATTCTATTTTCACTTGTCGTGTGGTGTAGTAGAAGTTGTTTACAGATAATTTTCGTCATAATTCAACAAAGGCGCGTGTAATTCAATTAAAGTGGACAATCTTTGTTTCAGTTTCACTCCAAACAACTCGTCAATACCAATCCTCATCCCAATTCTCGTAATTCCCACCATTTCCATTGTTCCCATACGTGGCATATTCCTCCCCCCAATCGTCGTCATCTTCTTGGCCGAATTTCCCTCTTGGGTCCTGCGTTCCGCCACGGTAGCCCCGGATGTCTTCGTCGAAGTCGATCTCTCTTGTCGGCTTTTTGTAGTTGTTACCTGTGTTGAGGAGGACAATGACAAAATGAGAGCAGCTTTATGCTGATGCACGTGTCTGGCATGATCATCTCTATTTCAAGTACCGGACAAAAAAATGGCATGATAGACAAAAAATGCCGACTTCAGCCGAGCCAGAAACTCATAAGTAAAATCCTACCTCCTCGTCCGCCGCCGCCTTTTCCCCCGCCGCCGCCGCCTTTCCAATCGTTTCCACCTCCACCGTTACCCCGATTGTCGTAACCACCACGACCGCCTCCTCTGTCGTTATTGTGTCTTCCACCCCCACCGCCTTTCTCATCTTTCGGCTCTAGGATAAACCTGACTTCGTCCAACCTCGTCCAAAATTCGTTGAACCTGGATTCAAACAGATCCAAATTCTCGCTCACCACCCGTTCTTTCGACTCGATGCCCTCGGAAATCAACGCGCACTGCTTTTCCATAAAGCTCCTCACCTTCGGCTGCACTACGTCGGGGACAATGCGCTCCAACATGTCTAAGATCGCCAAACCCAGACCGGTGGGGACCATGTGCCGGGACGTTGGGCGGTCGCCCTGCCTCGTTTTTCCCTTGCCTTTGCCTTTCGTGGAGATCGGGTCGCCGGCGTTGCCGGAACCTGAGAGAAGAGTTAGAAGGAAATAATTCTTTGTAAGAACTCATGGAACTCCTGAAATTGTTCTGCATAACAAGCGACGCAAACGCAAATAACCTTAATTTAATATTACCGTCCGTACACGGTCCGCAGACCTTGCAATAGTTTCGAGCAACGACGTTATCGATGTGGCCCGCCATCGATGCGTCCGTGCCGATCCCGTGTTTGTCCATCAACGCAATTAGTTCCGACTCCTTTAAATACTGTGGCGGCTCCGTTTGTCCCTCGACGATTTTGAAATCCTGCACGTCGATCCTCAAATTCCCCTGCGCAGAGAACAATCCCTTCTTCTCCATCTTTCGCCACATATCCGTCTTGTCGTTGAACACATCGCCCTTCCACGGCGTGGCGAACAAGAATCCCTTATCGTGGAAAGTTTGGAAGGTGGAGGTGAAAATGTCACTGGAATTGTTCCCGATTTGTGCCTATCAAATGCAAAAGTGTCTGGTTCTGGAAGAGCACAGCTTTGTCATGCACATTTTCCATGATCCATGACGTCTGTGATGTAATATGCCATAGCATCACAGATTTTTTGAGCGCTTATCTATGCGCATCCAGCATGATAAATGCCCTCTCCGCGTAGCCAAATTTGAATTCTCTTGCTGGTCACGCAATACAGGTTTTTTTAGCATCCAAACGCAGCACCAGCATCACAAGTTTGGCTCTTTCAGACCCAGACATTTTTGCATTTGATAGTGCCTCCACAGTGAACTCCGTGTAATAAGCGTCGTCCATCACCGACGCAACGAAGTGCCGGCACACGTACTCGTAGAGTTTCCACTATGGCGCTCTCAACTGTTACATTCTCAACTGCTACATGAAGTTGTGATGCAAGAATGGCAAAAGTGAAAGGCGTGACCTTCCGCGTCTTGCATGACAGATTTGGCACAGAAGATCCTCAGCCTGTTCGGTATTTCGAGAATTTGCCATGCGAACCAGCTTGATCGTGTCGATTCTGATGGGAATTTTTCTGCATGACAAACCATGTAACAGTTGAGAATGTAACATTTGAGAACGCCATATCCACTGGTTTCCCTTCTTCATGTCATCCCGGCGAGCAAGCGGTCCGCAGGGGGTGATTGGCGGGTGGTCCCCCGCGTCGTGGCCGTGAGAGGGGGTTGGGACGTTCCAGTTTTTCTTCTTCTGTCCCACGAAAAAACTGTTTCACATTCACTGTCATGGTTTTGCAAGATCTGCATCACAAGTTTGTTACACATGAGACAGAAAATTTGCCATGCACGTTTATTTTTCCCATAGGGAAAAACACGGTTGAAACTCCAATGCTCTATGCAGGTGTAGCAAAACAAACAGTTTGGTGTTTCGTTCTCTGCATCACAGGTTCACAGTGAAACAGTTTTTTCTTGCGATATCTTCAGGAAGACTTCTACCGTCTTCCCCCAACCAGGAGCTCTGCTTTGCTCCTCTAAAACCTCCAAGACGTTGTAAGAATCAGCGTATTTTGTCGATTCCGTTCTCGGGTAGGAGATGTAGCCCATGGAATAAAGATCCTCGGCGACCTTCATCGCCGTACCCGGGCTGATATGAAGTGCAAAAGCATCGCGCTCGTACTAATTGCAAACATGCATGACAAATCTTCCTCCTAAGGTACTAAAACAGCACTACAAACTCCATTTCTAATGCTGAGGGAATTTGTGATGCTATTTATACTAAGTACGTTACCTTTGCAATGCATAGCTGAGACCCAAAGCTGACGCGGCCTTGAGCATCTGGACCGTGTTCAACCCGACCGGTTTCTTCATCTGCTTTTCCTCCTCCCGCGTGCGGAGAATCGTGGCGGTGGTAGAGCTGCTACCACCATAACTGCTACTGCCGTAGTTGTTTCTGCCGTAATTGTTGCTCCTTCCGTAACTACTGCTGTTGTTCCCGTATCCTGTGTAAAAACGTCCCTACCCCAGAGTCAAGTTGGGATCTCGGCAAGACAAATCGAGCGTCTTTGGGACTCACGCATGACAAGTTTGGCTTCGCAGTCTAGTCGTGCCTAGCTAGTCCAAACGCATCACAGAACCAGTCTGTGATCCTGATTATCGCATGACAGATTCTCAAACGCCACTAGGTAATGCCTCTCATGGAGAGCCGCATGACACACATCCTGAGCATGCGCACCAGCATAACAACTCTGGGGTGGGGACGTTTTAACACAGGATATCCCACCTCTTGATGTAAACTGCTCAAACTGACCCGGGTAGCGTCATATGAACTGCATAAGTATCGTACTCGTATAAATGCATTACAAATTTCCCCTGCATGAGAAATAAAATCTGTAGTGCTGATTTACCTTTAAGAAAAAGATTTGTAATGCACGATTGCAATACGAGTACGATACTTTTGCACAGGATACGCCAAAGTTTCTCGGTTGTGAAGACTAAAATGTTTTCCGGAACTTCCTCCTCTTCATCGCGACTGTTTTTGTTCCCACCTTTCCCGCCCTTGTTCCCTTTCCCACCGCCTTTATTGTTACTCCTACCGTAATCATCGCTAGAACTACTGCTATACTGCCACTTGAATTTCGGCAAAAACCACTTTTCCCGTTTAAATCCCTTGATCTCCTTGTGTCTTTCCACACAAAACCACAAGGTCGGGGTTTGGCACGGCCCGTAGGTCAGCATCTTCAAATCCATCCGCGGGAATTTCTGCTTCGCGAGGTCTAAAAAATTGTACTTCAATAGAGTATATCAAATGTAAAAATCCCTGGATGTCTGGAAGAATGCAACTTGTGATGCTATTTTTGGAATCCAAAAAAATCTGTATTGCATGAGCATCAAGAGGCGTCCAGTTTTTGCTCTGGGAGAGGGGATTTCTCATGCGGGATAGGCATCAAGATGCTCGCAAAAAATTTGTGATGCTGGTGCATACATCACAGACATCACGGGTAATGCAAAATGTGCATGACAAACCTTGCAATCTTCCAGACCCAGACATTTTTACATTTGATAGAGTAGAAAAGCTAATCCCGACCTTCAAATCCAATTCCTGTATCCTATGTAAAAACGTCCCCGCCCCAGAGTCAAGATGGGGATTTTGCAACACAAACCTTGAAGTTTTGGGAACCACGCATGACAAATTGCAGGCTGTAGCGTAGTGCAGTTTAGCAAGGGAAGCCGCATAACAAATCGATCTCCTTATGCTCTTTACAGCATTACAAGTTCCAAAACACAATTGATAATGCCCCGCATGGGATCGCGCATTACAAACGCTCCTGTGCTTGCAGATCTGCATCACAACTCTGGGGTGGGGACGTTTTTACTCAGGATATCCTGCCGCGCGTCGACGCTCATGGCCAAAAACTTGTTCGGCCGGCGCAGATCGTCGTAACTTCGTCTAATTTCCTGCTCCGTTATCGCGGAGAAATGCGCTCGGTAAATGTTTTGGTCGGTGGGGAAGTGCTCTCTGATGATGGAAATCACTTCGTAGCAGATGTTCTCCCCCTCCCTGTCGCAATCCAACCACAACGCCAGGTACTCGCAATCTTTCGCTAAATCCTGCAAGTGCTCTGGCACTCGCATCTTCCGACTCCCGTCCTCGATTTCCTTTGATGTTTCCGCGGCGAACATCATTTCCGGACGTAATCCCTTCTGCTTCTTAAACGTCAAGCCGAAGACGTGCCCGATCACGGAGGTGACGATGATCTTGCACTTCTGCCTCTTACTGCTATCGTGCGGGAGGAAGTAGCTGATGAACTCGTAGGTCTGACACGCCCGGGATAAACACCCGTACTTGGTCCGGTACCTCCCGCCGGACAGGTGTTCCGTGATGATTTTCGCGATCGACGGTTTTTCCGCCACCATCAGAACCGCGGGTAAATCATTTCCGGGCTTGCCCTTGTTCTGATAATCTTGGAGGGAAGTTGGGTTGTAATCGGGGAAGTTGGATAAGTACAAGTAGTGCGCGAAATACTCTCTATGCATTGCAAAAGTATCGTACTGCTAGTTCTCATCGCACTCCTGCATTACAAATTTCTTTCTGAAGTTAAATCCGCACGACAAATTTCACTTCTCATGCTGAGGAAATTTGTCATGCGATTTACACAACTAGTACCAGTACGATACTTTTGCACTTCATACTCTCCTCTCTTGTACAATCTTTGCAACAACTCCAATTCCACCCTCCTCATCTGCTCGTCCCGGACCGTGAAGCCGATTTTCTGAATCACGTCCCACAACTCCTCCGATTCATACACCGGCTGCTCTTTTTGCGGCATTTTTCCCTGCTGTTGCGAGAACAAATCCAGCATCTCGCTCCACCCCCTCGCGCAGTTCTCCAATCCGCCGTGATCCTCGAGTATTGGGATCAATGAGGTTCTTTTGTTGATCACCTCGTCGTTTTTCGCGGTTCTGCTAACTTCCAAAGCGGATAGAAACTTGGTCATGGTCGTGTCTGGATCATTTTTGCTATCAAACACCGGTTCGAGCATCTGTTTTATCTCCCCGACGGTCTTTGCGTGCGCGCGGTTGTGGTAGGTATTGTAGTCATCGTAGTCGTAGTGGTCGTTGTGGTGACTGTCATTTTTTCCACCACCGCGGTCGCTGGGCTGGAATTTGCCGTAAGAACCTCCTCCACTGCTTTTGCCGCCGCTTTTGCCGTTCCCCCCACCGCCTTTGCCGCCACCTCCCATCCTGAGTTCTGTGGGAGAAGCTGCTTCAAAGAAGCAATAGGTCCTCTTCAAGTGCTTTGTAGTTCTTGATGGCTTCAGAGTAAGAGAAGTTAATTAGGGTTTTTCTTTTTACTCACTCAGAAACTAAACGCAAACTTGACCTCCGACGTCGTGGCTAAAACAGCCCCCAAAAGATGAAACTCATGTCGCTGGAGCGTTACCATAAAATCGATATCAGATAAAATGAAGGCCTAGCTTCGAATATGCCGCATCTTCAAGAACATTGAGCGAACTTCTTTTGGTCTTCTATCCACCGTAGATAGCATGAGTTTGAGCTTCAACACGACTTAATTGAAAGTTTCAGTCTACTTAACCAAAGGTCTGGTCTCATCAAACTCGATCTGCTTGTGGCACTAGCCACCGACTGCTCCACATAAGGACTTTTGAAGAACTCGCGTGTCTCAACACCAGTCGTATCGGAGTTTACCTCTTTTGATGCTTTGATGATCTTTGATGAACCTGCTCGACCGAAGTGCGGTAGTTTGCAGGAGCGAGAAGAGAACTTCTTCAACTTTTCTCACTACTAAACGAGGAGAAGAACATGATGAACTAAAGGCCCAGTCGCGCTACTATTGGCGTATCAACTAGTACCTCATCTCCGCAGCAGCCACGAGAAGCTGCGAGGGTAACGAGATTTGATGAATGGCGACACAGATACAATTGTTCGCTTTCCAGTTGAGGATGAGTCTCTGAAATGAACTTCATCGAGTACTTCTGGCGAGGGGGGGGTGAGTGCTTAGAGTATGCAAAGTCGAGGGGTTCCCAAGACCTTTACTCGTAAAATCCAAATAGAAGTTTACTCTTATAAAACAATTCCGACGTCATATTCGGTTTCGGATTGGTACTACTAACTTAGGATGTTATCAGGCACAAAAACGACTACGATCTCGATTTTCAAAAAAATCCTGAATTTTTGAAAAAGTTTTTCTACACGAAAATAAACACCGTCGTGGAAAATTAACAACGCGTCAGACACTGTAGTGTGAAGGACCTCCTGCGGCCCTCATTTCTGCCCTCTGGGACTGGAGCTCGGGCTGGGAGGCTTGGACGTGGTGGGACTGGGGGGCTTGGAGCCTGTGGGGCTGGGTGGCTTGGAGCTGGTGGGGCTCGGTGGCTTCGGAACCGGCAGTGGGACAGCAGCGGCGGCACTCTTTTTTCGCTGCAACGTTGACTTTGTTCCTTGCTTCTGCGCGACTATCTTTTTCCCCCCGGCGACCTTTCTCCCCGCGGCCCCTTTCGTCCTCCGTTTTGATGTCGCCACCCCGGCACACCGCGCTTGCAACAATGATATCGGATATTGCTCTTCGTCCATTCCGCTAGTTAAGACTTTCTGTTGCACGTCTTTTTGGGATTCTAAACTCATCGCGTCCGCGAAAAAGTGCGCTTTCTGGGCCACTAAAGCTTCCGTTAGATCCTGTAAGTCTTCGATGGATACTAGTACGATACTTTTGCAATGCATACTTGCTTTTTAATACCGATCATTCTGTGCTCCTTGCTCGATCTCTGCACGGTGAAGGACAAGGCGTGAGCGACTGAAGGTTTTATTACACCATCTTCAGCTCCTCGTGGGCCATAGGAATTATGTCCAAGAAGATCATGATGAAAGAGTACCACTAGTTGAAGGCGGATCAGCATCCTCCTTTGACGAGTGCGAGGAACTACACTGTCAAAAAAGCGAGAGGTGGAGGACATCATCTTATTTTATTCAACTGACTGTGACTGAAAAAAAAACGCCCGATAAAAATAGTTATTTTTCTCTAGCGGAATTCTAGTTGTACGAGAAGACGAATAAATCTAAATAGTACATCTTCCTGGACTTGACGCCGGAAGAAACGAATCCAGAGGGGGGTGAGTGCTGAATTTTAAAAAAAAGAAAAACTGCAGAAAAAAGAAGGGGCAGCTGCAATAAAACAGGTGCTTTAATACTTCTGGTTGTTGTAAGTATTGCAGAGCGACGTATGCTTTTGCGCTGCAATATATAAATGTTCTCAGGGTCGTCGTCAGGGGGTGCCTGTGGTACAGCCTGTAGCTTGGGATGAAAAAGCCGAAGATATTTGCACCCATGCGGATTTTATTTTAGGTGGTACAAGGACGACAAGTGATAACGATAAATGCAATAAGTAAAAGTATTGTTTTTGTTCATCCTACAACAACGACACGAAAGTCATGACGATTTTTATCATCAAGCAACGCACGACAGATTTTTCTCAATTTTTACGACGTCGTTCTCGTTTCATGTTCCAATAGTGCGCGTTCCGAGAGGACGACTGCAGTAGATTGGCAGAACCTTTATGAATATATGACGATGACAACGATGAAAACGCGTAAGTAGCAGTAGAACGACTGCGACCGAACATTGTTTGTTTGTAGAAACTTGGGCGTGAAGACGAAACGGAAACAGATGGACGACAAATTTCGGCCCTTGTTGAGAGCTCGGTTTTAATACCGAAAATCTTTTTACTCTTCTCGTAAACTACAAGTCGTGGACGACCACACGGAACGAGTAAGGGTGTGGCTTGCAGCGCAAAAAGCTGATTTTTGCACTTCTGCCAGAGAACTGAGAACGCAAACGAGTACAACAAGGCCGCGCATTTGCGCAAGTATCTCCATAGTCTTTTCGAAAATTTTTGTACAGTTGTGACAATTTTTCATCTCGAGTGGCTTGCGCTTGTTCTAGCAAGTGAGTGTCTGGTCATTTACATTTTCTTGGTTCAAATCATAAACTAAAACACGGCCTAGGAGAAATTGAAGTTGAATTGACATAACATAGGATTGTTCCGAATCGACCTTATTAGTGGTTGTTCCGAGGCAAGCTTTGGAAAACAATTGTAACAACCGTATTTTTTCGGGCGGCGCATAGATACCATCTTCGCGAGTAAAAGAACAAGCACCAGAGTACTTTTATTTCTGCCCACCTTCTCGGGCAATTGCACGTGCAACTTTTCCTTCGTTCTTCATAAGTGGAAGTGCAATCCCTGCATCCGCGTCTCCTCGTCGACGATCAAAGTTTTTCCTAGTACTCACGCTTGTTGTTTTTCTCTTCCGGGTAGTAGCAGAACCTTCTGCTGTCATCGTACTGCCAGACCGGCATGCGGTTCTTCAGTCCACGGGCGAACTTCTGCTGGGGGTGGCAGTTATGGATTGCAAAAGTAACGTACTACGTAGTCTCAATTGCATTACATTGATGTAATACAAATTAGCTCCTCAGCATGACAAATGGAAATTTTCATGCTGATTTACCTTGAGAGAGAGACTTCTCATGCATAATTGCAATTACTACGAGTACGATACTTTTGCAGGGCATAGTAGTAGTGCGACCCGTAGTTGTAGCTGGTGGTGCTCCATTTCGGGACGTTCTCGGCCACCAGGAAGGGGTCCATGTTGTTGCGGACGTCCCAGTATCAACTGCAAATATGTCTGGGTCTGGAAGAGTGCAAGTTTGGAATGCACGTTTTGCATGAGTCATTGTGTCTGTCATGTCTGGCCTAGCATCACAGATTCTCATCTGAGGGCTTCTTGATGCCTATCCCGCACGAAGACAGATGCCCTGTCCGCGTAGCAAAAGTTCGACTCTTCTTGCTGGTCAAGCAATACAGACTTTTTTCGAATCCAAATGGAGCATCACAAACTCCGACTTCCCCTTTCCAGACCCAGACAGATTATTGCATTTGATACCCAGTGTCCGAAATTGTTGTACGCGTTGTAGAGGTGGTGTTTGTGGCTTTGGCGCACGATATGAATTGCAAAAGTATCGTACTCGTATAAATGCATTACAAATTTCCTCAGACAGCATGAGGAATAAAATTTGTTAAATGCTAATTTGCCTTAAGAACAGGATTTGTAACGCATGATTGCAATACGAGTACGATACTTTTGCACAGGATACATGATTCTCGGGATGGGGGTCTTCGACGGGACGTATTCCCGCGACGCCGGTCCCGGTTCGCCAATGATTTCAATGCCCGCTGTATCGAAAGGAAAAATCCCCCCTCCCCATATCAAACCGGAAATCTGTGATGCAGATTTGTGGCCACGTATTGGCTTTGTCATGCTAGAAGGGAAAAGATGCGGACTGTAGTGCTGGGTTGCGTGGGAAAGGCTTGCATCTTCAGTATGACAGGAGGCAGCTGGAAGTGGGAAGCAGCATGACAAATTGCCTGCAAACGAGGCCACAACTGCGCCTCTTTGCCTTCTAGCAATACAAGTCGACTTGTGTACTCAACTACAGCATTACAAGTCTCGTTTTCGAGATGGGGAGGGAGGATTTTTCCTTTCGATACGCGGCGGTGAGGATGTAGGGGATCTCCGGTTTTATCAAATACAAATATTTCTGGGTCTGGAAGAGTGTAAACTTGTCATGCAGGTTTTCCATGACCCATGAGGTCTGGAATTCGGGACCTAGCATGACAAACTCTGTGAGGTCTCTAATATCATGCCTATCCTGCATGAGGAACTCCACCCCATTTTGGGCGAAAGTGGACAGCTTTTGCCACTCATGCAACACAGATTTTTGCATGATTCGGATTTAGCATGACAAGTTGCATCCTTCCAGACCCAGACATATTTGCAATTCATACGTTTGTCGCCCTGCTTATACGCCGCCGTCTGCGATCTCGAGCTGCGGGACGACGAGATGGCACTGGGCGCGGGAGACGGGAGCGGAGTGCCGCCAAACGGGAACGTCCGGCGCTCGCGCGGCTCCGGTAAGGCGTCCCGCGGTACGGTGTGCATTTTTTTTGCAGCTGTTGCTGGTGTTTTTTTCCGAGAAAAAAAAATTTTTGCTATTGAGGGTTTAGGATTTAGGATTCATTGGACATAGGCGGTTTGTGTTATTTCAAGGAGATACAACCTCTTTGGAGGAGTGAGGATTTCTCGGGAAGTACAAGGTCGATTATATTACAAAACGACTGCGGTTTTTAATCCGGTGAATGCATAAAAATTCTGCTCCCATAAAACCCACACTCACAAGCATCTTCTGTCTCAGGACGATTTTCATCATCACTTAAGGCGCGGCATTTTTTCGAGTTTTACGGTTATGTCGCTTGTAGTTCCAAGTACGTGGTGTCTCGAAAGGGACGAATACGGGTGCTGGGCAGAACGTTTACTCATCCGACTAGAAACCTGAAAGTAAATGCGAGGTCCCGAATACAGATACACAGAAACAGACGGACGACAAAATTCGTTCCCTGTAGTGAGCTCGATTTTACGAAAAATGGTTTAGCTCTTCGTGGACGAAAGGAGCGAAAGGGGGCCGATACTAGAATGAATCATGTAGGTTGCTGCACCATCAATCGCAGAGAGAAAGAGAATCGGTTTTCACACCCCTATGAAATAAAAACGCGAACGACGAGTAGAACAAGGCCCCCCCTGATGGCGTAAATATCTTCATCGTGGATTTCCAAATTGAAATCATACAGCTGTGACAATTACAATTAGCGAGTACTACCTTGTCTAGCTCTAGCAAGAAGTGAGTGTCTACTTCTATTTGCCAGACCCAAAAACAATGAAAGAACGAGCTAGAACAAGAAAATGTTTCACCGAGCAGGACATTTTTAGAAAAAAACCAATTCTACCCGTACCCGTAGTTGCGGTGCATACCACCGGAACTAAAGTGACGAGCATTGACAGTTGTTGGGACTACAACTAGTTCTTAAATACCTTGTTCTTCAATAAAAAAGCAGCTGAGCAAGGTCATCGATTGCTCTTCTTTCTCGACATGGTTTTACTTGCATTTCCTGCGGCCTTTTTCATTCCCACCCCGCCGAATGGACTTGCTGCAGATTGAATCCTACTCGCAACGACCCCCGCACATCTTGCCTCCAACAACGAAATTGGAAAAAATTCCTGGTCATCTACACCGCTGCTCAGGATCTTCTGTTGCACTTCCTTCTGCGACTCCAAGCTCATCGCCTCGGCGAAGAATTGCGGTTTGTGAGTAACCAAAGCTTTGGTTAAATCCTGCAGATCTTCGATGTTGTTCTCGGTAAAAATATTTAACCCTTTCATCGCGATTTTCTTCTCTTCTTCGGTCAAGTCCATGTCATCCTCCACATCTTCCCGCCTAAACCCGGCGATTTTCCGGGCGAGATCTCTTGCTTTTAGTTTGCTAAAGCCGACGTCCTGTAGTGCGAGCTGGGCGTCGCGGACGAGATCGAGTTTTTTCTGCTCTGGTGTAGTCGTGGAAGCAGGTCTTTTGCCTTGTTTGCTTCTACTTCCAGTATTCTCCTTGTAGATAAAGTCGTCCTGCTCCCGGTCACTGTCTTGACCCGAAGTGGATTGCGGGGTCGAGGTGGGGGACTTCCTGCGCTCACCCCTGCCGCGTTTCGATGCCGTCAGAGACTTTTTAGCAGAAGTGTTTACTTCCTTCTTCTTCTTCCCGTCTTTCTCGTTATACCTCCTTTTCGCCGGCATGAGCACCAGAAAGTTGCTCAGCTGCGTCGCCTATCAAATGCAAAAGTGTCTGGGTCTGGAGGAGTGCCAGACTTGTCATGCTGGTTTTCCATGACCCATGAGGTCTGGTATGTAGGACATAGCATGACAGATTCTGTGAGAGTTCTATCATGCCTATCCTGCTTGGGAAACTGCCTCTCGATTAGGTCAAAAGTGGACAGCTTTTGGTAATCATGCAACACAGGTTTTTACATGATTCAGATTTACCATGACAAGTTGCTTTGTTCCAGACCCAGACATTTTTACAGCTGATATCGCCGTCTCCTTTGCCCCGAAATTCGGCGTGCCCGACAAAGCGGTCAGGTCGATTTCGAAAGTGCTGCTGAGTCGACGGTCTTTGATGTTTGTGTTTAGCTTGTTGGTCTATGAACTGCAAAAGCATCGTACTAGTAGTAATTGCATCACAAATTGGCTTAGCATTACAAATGAAATTTGTGATGCTGTTTCGCCTTTGGAAGGAGATTTGTCATGCATAACAGCAATTACTACGAGTACGATACTTTTGCAGAGCATATGGTCTCTTTACTGCCAACTTGTTCTCTTTCCGAGTCCGTCGTTTCCAGCACCTGCCCGATTAGCCCGTTTAGCAGAGCCACTTTCTCCACCCCGGCGCCCCCAGCACTCCCGTCCGAGTTCAATTGCGACGGCCTTGCTACTGTTTTTGTTTCCAAGGCCTGGGCGTTGATTTTTTCCTTGTCTTGCTTGTCACAATGCTGCTCCCAGTCCTGCCACTCTTCTAGATCCTCGAGCCCGAGTTGGATAAATTTCTTCGACGACCGATTGATACTGCTAGTAGTAGCTCCTCCTGTCGGCAGAAAACTTACTGTTTTAGTTTTCTCCGCTTTATTTTCTCCAATTCCACCGGCTGTTGTATCTGTGCCAGTGGTGGAAACAAGGTACTTTCCTGTTGCAACCAAATCCTTGGTTTTTTTCACGAGCTTGGCCGCCAAAAACCCGGCTTGTTTTTCCGCGAAACCGAGCACTTTCAGCCGGAACTATCCCACGAAAAAAGTGTTTCACTGTAAGGATTTTGCAAGTTTTGCATCACAAGTTTGTTCTACATCCCAGAGAAAATTTGCCATGCGAGATTCCTAAGGGAAAACACAGCTAAAAATCCATTGTCTTGCATGTGTGGCAAGACAAATACTTCTCGGATACATTTTCTGCATTACAAGTTTACAGTGAAACAGTTTTTTCTGGCGATAGGAACATGGCGTCGTCTAAGGTGAAGGTGGTGAGATCGAAATCAAATTCTATGCTGAGTAAAAACGTCCCCACCCCAGAGTTGTCATGCAAATCTGCATGCCAAAAAAGTCTCTCATGCGGAGCCCCATGAGAAGTATTTTCTAGTCGCGTTTTGGAGTTTGTGATGATAGAATCAGCATGATAAGCCAGATCTGTGATGCTGCTGAACTAGCGAAACAGGATCACACTATGAGGGCAAAGTTGTCATGCGAAACAGCGAAAGCTGGTTGATTTGTCTAGCAGATTTCCCATCTTGACTCTGGTGTGGGGACGTTTTTCCTCTCAATAAATTGGGGAAGGACATCATCTTCGTCTGCTTGGCCTGTTGCTCCTTGCTTCTTCTTATCCCTGCTAGAAGTTCTTGTACTACTGCCACCTTTCTGGTCAAAAAACTTCGCTAGCTTCGCTTGTTCCATTTCCGAAACAGAGTCTCCAAACGCCCGTAACAAAACTTCTTGGTTGTTATACAGGAATCTCAACGAGTGAATCTCAACGGTTGCGCCCCAACGCTTTGAGACGCCTCAACGGATTCGCGAAGAGCTCAACGACTGGTCTCAACGGTCTGCGCACAGAAGAACTCCGTGGCGTGAAGGTGCGCATCAAGCCCGGGCAACAAACCTCTCAGAGGTCCCGCCAACACGAATGCCGGCGAGCGGGCTCATAGATAGTTAGAAAAACGCACAGAGGCTGCGCGCATAGTGAGACACAATGCACACAAGCCAACGGGGCGCGCAAAACGGGCCGGGCAACAATGAATAGCGCAGGAGAGCGACACGAGAGTCGTCGGGCAGGGCAGCCGCCGCCGGCCGGAACCCGAAACCCTAAACCACTGCTGGTCGTTGAGATATATTTCTCAACGTTGAGCTGTGAGGTCTCAACGTTGAGATCCACAAGCACAGTTGAGATACCTGTAGTACAACCGTTTTTATTCATGCGGAATACCCAACACAGAGCCACGGAAAAATCTGTCATGCTTGGCGGTGCTGCAGCAACATTACATTGTACTTACTACTCCTTGACATCATGCAGCACAATTTTCCAGCAGACCCACACATACTTGCAATGCATGTTCGTACCGGTTCGATCAAACTGAATCACATGCTCCGAAGATTCATCTGCTCTTGTCGCGACCTCGTCTCCCCCTCCACAGCAGGAGTCTTCCAGCAGATTTGTGATCGGTCCTCCGCGATTCTTTTGCCCAGCGCGCTGGCTCTCGGTTGTGGCGAGAAGAGCTCCTGCCTTGGATGATTGCCGTTGTTCCTCCTCCTGCTGCTGCTCCTGCTGCGCGAAATTATGAACAACTTCGAGCGCACTGTTGGGACGTCGACCTGGTGTGGCCGCGGGGTGGCTGACAGAAGTCGGTGTAACTTCATCTACTTCTCCGAACACCCCAGGTTTGTTGACATGATTCTCCTTCTGCAAAAAGACGTCAGCATCTTGAATTTTGTTCGCTTTTTTCTTGTTCGACGAGTAGGACGTCGACGGCCCAACTTTGATCTTCCGCCCGCCAGAATTTTTGCTGGATTTCTTTTTGTTCCGAACGTTTGAGGATATGGAGAAGGCTTCCGAGCGGTTGATACTAGCGTTCGACGCGAGAAGGGCAAGGAAGAGGCAGGAACTCTTGTAGCGCTGCAGGCGGCAAGCGGAGGTCCCCCGGTTCATCATCCGAATAAACAGGTGGTCCTCGTCGCGAGCAACATCTTTATCATCTTCTCGGAAAGCCACCTGCCGCAGCGACATGATGTAGAAAAGTATAAAAGATAAAGAATCTTCAAGGTTGTGATCAAGGTCGGTGTTTAACAGCAGCGCAAGAGTAAAATTGTAGAAAATTTCGCAAGTTTAGCCAAACTTTTACTGTTTGGTCGAGTTATTTATGGAGATACCGGCGAAAAAAAAATTCTCCTGTGTAGGCTTGTAGAAATTTGTGACGACGTACAGTTCGGTGGCCACAATGCAAGAACTCAGTCGCAAAACTAATCATCGATCACAATTACGATGCTTCTACCTACTTAGCTGAAATACGACCGTTTATTCCAACACCTGTTCGACGGCCCCGGAGATTGAAACGAAAACGAACTACGACAATGTAATACCTTGGAAGATCTTAATCTTCGTATTTTATGAGGAAGACAAGCTACCCACATTGTTTAGACGACCGCGATGGAGGAGCAAGATGAGAAACAGAAACGCACTGACAACTGTATTTGTAAAAAAGTTTTTCTACGTTCTACGAGAGATGAGACGATGCAAATAGAAATAGTGGCAGCCACGAAATGTAGGAAGAGCCAGAACCTACATCAACATCGCATGCTTTATTTCCCGGCAAGCGAGTGGTATTGACGAAGATGATTTCCACAGGGCTTGTTGAAAACAAGCGACAACGACGACTTCTGGTCCTGCTTCTGCACCCAACGAGGTTTGTGCTTGGTATGACAACGAATGCGATATTAACCTCCGAACACTTTTCAAATTCACGACTCCCACAGTAGCAGCTAACCTCCTTACAGCTCATTTGGACGTCGAAGCAAAAGCCACGGTTTTTTTTTGTTTATTTCTACTAACCGGTAAGCGCAAGCACAAACATTCAGAGTAGTTACTGTACGAAGTTGTTCTGGTTCTTTCTTGTTCACGGGGAGGAAAACTTTCTTGCTGCTTGCAACCAATCTCGATGGATCGAAAAGTTTGTAAAGCGACATCAGGGTGACAATAAAAAGTGATGCATGTTGGAATAAAATAAAACTAAAAAGCTCACATTGGTCATGGTTTTGGTACACACAACAGATCTCGAAAAATCTTATTCCTGAATTTTGGTCGTCGTCGTGCAATGAAGATGTTTTGTTCCACCTCTGATTTCTTTGTACGTCGTAGAGTGTTTTTTTGGTGTAAAAACACCAGCAGTTTCATCTATCTCACACTTCTGGGTCTTCATCTCCAGCTTCGTCCTCGATCTCTTTCGTTCTCCCCACCCCAAAAAAGATCTTCTGCTGCAGCGAGTTTAACTCTTGCCCCTTTGCCTGCGATTGTAACACCGACGGTGGCGGGGAAGGAGCTTTATTTTGGGCAGCTGTTGATTGCTTCTGGCTTTTATTTGCAGCTGCTACACTCGAGGACATTGTCTTGGACGGAAAGACTTGCACCGAAGAAGGACCAGGACCGCTTGTACCACTGCTACTCTTAGACGCCGGGCTATAATTTGTTGGCAAGTCATTTTTTCCGCCAGCTGCAGACGGCGGTGGGATCATACTAATGCCGCTTGTTGAAATGGATACTTCGAACCTGGACGCCGCATTGATTGCAGATGCTGCAGCATAAAAATCGTTTACTTTGACCTCACCACCAAAAGCTGGGTTATTTGTTGTACTAGTATTTTTCGTGTCTGACCGATTATTAAAACTCTTCTGCTTTTTCGTCAACGGCGCCTTTCTCTCGTCCTCGCTGGTTGACGTAGACTCACCCTCCGGGTTCTTGATGCGTTCCCCGCGTGCTGCCACCGCCGTGCCGGACACTTGCGGCGGCAACGGTAGCTGCTTCGAAGGCGGTGGAGGAGGAGGGTTATTGATGTTTGTGTTCATCCCTTCGCCTTCGGTTTTGAAAACATTATTCCCGGAACTACTTTTCACTCCGGACGATTTATTTTCGTTCCTGCTCGAGGAAGGCGACGGCATCGGCATGGCTGCGGCTGCTGCTGCGCTCGCCCGAGCTATTGTGGCTGCTGCACTTGCTCGCGCCGCGACAGAGGCAGAAACGTTTCCGGCGTCGGGAGAAGTAGCGACGTCAATTTCGCTTTTCTTCTTCTTCACACTACCAGTACCTTTGTCCTTTAGTTTGAGTTTGTCCTTGGAATTGGATTTATTTATTTGTTGTTCCCCACTGAGCTGGCGCTTGATAGCCGCGCCCTCTTTCGAGGACACTCGCTTGCCATCTGCTTGCTCTCCTTGCTGCGACTGCGAGGTTGATTTTTTACTGCTCTTCCGAGCTACTTGATTCTGTTGCTCGGAGGTTGTGTTTTTGGTGCTAGATCTACTACTTCCACCAGCTCCGTCAACTTTGCGACTACTGGGACGCGAAGTCGCTGTTACCCCGTCAGAAGGTTTTTTGTTCATTACCTTCTCTTGGATTTTCTTCTTCTTCGCTGCTTTCAATGCGGCTTTCGTAACTTCTTCCACGGAACCCGGGTCGGACGACTCCCCTCCGCTCGTCTCTACTTCGGGCGAAAGCGACATGTGTGAATCAATCTCCCCGTGGTGCGAATCCATGTGTTTGTGCGCACTCTCCGGAAAAGCTTGCGGAGCAGGAGGTGCAGCGGCGGGTGCTACAGCAGACGCTGGTTGCTGCTCTTGTGGTCCCGATGATGCTTGTTTCGACCCTGGTGTACTGGAAGTACCAGCACTGGCCCCCGACTTGAAAGAGGATGAGACCCCTGGCGCAACAGAGGACGAAATTTTAGACCCCAGCGCCTGTTTGGAGCCCGGTAATAGTACTGCGCTGGAGGTAGACTTTTTCTTCAAAAGTTTCTTCTTCTTCTTCAAAGAACTACTCGCCACACTACTTCCCCCTTCCGACTGGGAGGCAGCACCACTTCTGCTCGATGCGCCGCCGTCTTGCTGCTCCGTAGCAGTTCCAGCAACCACAGTGGCAGAGCTAAGGTCTTGGATAGCGGAAGGATTCGAAATAGAGGGCTTCGGTAGCTGCGTTGTCTGTCGCTGGCTGCTTATCCTTGTGCTGGGCATAGTAGTGCCAGCTACAGCTGAACTGACACCACCAGAGGTCGTACTAGCCGGCGCAACCGCCGATCGGACAACCGTGCTCCCGGGAGTAGAAGTTGCACTCCGCGTACTACCTAATCCGCTCAACGTCGTGGGCTTTTTCTTCATAATTTTTCTCTTTACAACTTTCTTCTTCCCCGAGATAGACCCGGCTGTGCCTATGCTGCTTTGTCCGCCTTCTGAGAGTTCTCCTTGCTGGTTGTCCACCGGATGTTGTTGTGAAGATGCCATAGAAGCTGCTGTTGCGCTGGCAACTTGCTTCGTATTGTTCCCGGACGAACTGGACAACGGTGGTGCCGTCTGTTGCTGACTGCTCAGTGAACTGTTATTCGCTACACTGCCATTCGCGGAAGGTGCTCCTGCTGCTGCACCAGCTCCTGTACTAACACCAGACGTCGGGGGAAGTAGCACAGCTGCCCCAGCTGAAGATGTTGCGCTGGGAACAACTGCTGAGCTGAGACCAGTGGTGGTAGATTTCTTTTTCACGAGTTTCTTCTTTTTCTTCACATCGGGAAGATCGGAAATATCTGCCGGGACTGTAGTTGCTGCGCCAGTTGTAGTACTATCAGCAGCTGCTGCTGGACTAGTGGTTGTCGTCGCAGCTGCTCCACCGCCGAACACGTTCTTCATCCCCAAGCTAGAATTGTACGCAGTCTTCGGCGACAGCGGTGGCAGATCAGTGGGCAAAATATTACTAGTGGGGCTGGCAGTCGAGGCTGTCGCTACACTAGAAGCCGTAGTTCCGGGTTGTTGCTGGCTGCTCAGCACCTTGCTCATCGCACCAAAACTACTCTGGGCTGATGTCAGGGCGCTCGTGGTCCCCGTCCCAGGGGCCGGAGCAGGAGCTTGTGGCGCATTAATATTTCCTGAGGCGTGCTGGCCAAGAAGAGCATTATTTCCTGCAGATCCTGTCACCTTTGTTCCATCTTCCTGCAATTTGTTGTTTCCATAACTGCCATTTGCGCTGGAGGCGAAGCTTGATGTCTATGGATTGCAAAAGTGTCTGGGTCTGGAAGATTGCAACTTGTCGTGCTAAATCTGAATCATGCAGAAATCTGTGTTGCATGAGTGCCAAAAGGTGTCCACTTTCGACCAAGTTTGAAGGGAGTTTCTCATGCAGGATAGGCATGGCAGAGACCTCACAGACTCTGTCATGCTAGGTCCCGCATTCCAGACCTCACGAGTCATGGAAAACCTGCATGACAAGTTTACACTCTTCCAGACCCAGACATATTTGCAATGCATAATGTCGGAGGAGGTACAACTGCTGGGGCTTTGAACGAATAATCCGATGTCGGCGCACCAGCTGCTGCACCAGCCGGCGGTTGTTCTTTTGCACCCTGATGTGCAGCTGCTGGTCCTGCTGTACCTTTAATGTTCTTACCGCGCAACACCAGCTTTTTCTTCTTCTTTTTCGGCGCTGCCACGCTTCCAGGCTCTGCGGTTCCCGGTTCTTCCGAGGAGGCAGGCACGATACCCGAGGCCATCCCCTCAATGGCACTCTCGCCCGGTTCCAGGGCGCTCGACTCGAATCCGCTGTCCTATCCTGATTAAAAACGTCCCCACGACACCAGAGTCAAGAACAAGATGAGAAATCTGCTAGACAAATCAAGCAGCCCTGGTTGTCTGGCATGACAAATTTGTTCTCGTAGTGTAATCCTGTTATGTTTAGCTAGTTCAGAAGCATCACAGGTCTAGCATAGCATTCTGATTCTAGCACCACAAATTCCAAAATACGAATAGAAAATGCTTCTCATAGGGCTTCGCATGAGAAAGAACTTTTTTGGCATGCAGAATTGCATGACAACTCTGGGGTGGGGACGTTTTTACGCAAAGTATGTCCTCATGTCCGCTCATCGAGCTAGAATGGAGTTCGGAATCAACCTGGGAGGATAAACCGCTGTGGTCTATGCAATGAAAATTTCCTGTACATGTACAAAATACATGACAAATTTTTGTACTCTAGAAATTCCTGCAGCTCGTCTTTATGCGGACTAGCATTGATGAAGTTGAAGGCAACTTTTAGTTTTATCTGTCAACATGCAGCAACAACATTCGCATTTGTCGTTACGTGTACAAGAAAGTTTTATTTTCTGTGGATAGTATCATCGTCTTCCGTACCAGAAGCGTCTTCTTCTTTTAAGCTGACAGTTAAAGCCTTACTCAAGGGCAGACCCTGCTGCACCCACGCTCGTAGATCCGCGGGGTTGGCAAAAACTACGGGCGGGCTGGGATTTATTCCGGCGGCCTTGGCTCCTGTACTAGCTGATGGCCCTTGTGCAAGGACGGTGCTCGGCTTGTTGATAGTAGTACCACGACCTGCCCCAGTGGTTGTACTACGTCCCGCCCTGACCTTCTCGGCGAATTCGTGCTTTGCGGGCATTAATCCTAACCCGTTATCCACACCAGTAACGTGCTCGACTTTCCCGAAGTGCGGCTGCAATCTCGCGATGTGCCCTTTCAGGTTCATTGTATGGAGCTTTTTCATCTTCTTCGCATGTTGCTGCGCCGCGGCTTCGGGTTGTAGTTGTACTCCTGCCGTCCCGACGTCCAAAGCGCCTTGCTGTGCCTGCTGCGGTAGCGGCTGGAGTGCACGAATTGTGTTTTTTATCGCGATGTAATCCTGCCACGTTTTTTTCCGTTTCTGTGCTTCTTGCTGCGGGAAAATTCCCGAGGGTAATGGTTCGGGTGCGCTTGACAAAACGCCGTTCGTCGCAGGCTGTTGCTGTTGCGGTACTTGTTCTACTGCTACGCCGGTTGGGGATGCGGTAGCAGTTGCTGACGTCGGCGGGTAATGTCCCGGGTCTTTCTCCGATTGCAGGTTTGATTCCAGAATTACGTCTTGCAACTTCGCCACATCGGTCGGCTGCGCGATCTCCTGCCACTTCGCGTCTTCGTAGAAGGACTCGCCGAGGGACAAGTCTCTTCTGATTCCGTCCAGCCCGGCTTCTGCGTCTTGCCGCACTTCCTCTTCGTAGTGCTTCTGTTTCACGAGAAGTTTCTCCGCCAAATACCCCGCTGCAGTCGCCGAAAACCCGTCTTGCTCCAGTGCCTCTGCTATCAACTGCAAATATGTCTGGGTCTGGAAGGATGCGAACTTGTGATGCTGCAGCTGGATTCTACAAAAATCTGTATTGCATGAACAGCAAAAGAGGTCTAGTTTTTTGCATTGCGAGAGGGCATTTCTCATGCGGTATAGGCATCAGAAAGCCCTCACAAAATCTGTGTTGTGATGCTAGGATCACAGACATCAGGAGTCATACAAAATGTGCATGACAAACCTTGCATCCTTCCAGACCCAGACATTTTTGCATTTGATATCTGCCACCGCCGCGATTTTCTCCTCCTCCTGCATCAGATTTTCCAAAAACGACCGCATGCGACCCACGAATTCCGGGCCGCTTTCCCAGTCGCAGCCGAACTGCTTCATGATCTTTTCATCGTCGGTATGCAATACAAATTTCCCGTACATGCACAAGATGCATCACAAATTTCACCAATTTGGAGCATAATAAAACTTGTCATGCTAAACTAGGATCGAAGCCAAGTTTTGTCATGCGGAGACCGCATTTGTACGTCGTGTACGGGAGATTTCCTGTGGATAGTCGGCTTTCAAAGGCCGGAAGAGAAACGCCGCATCCCCAACTAGTGGATCGCACAACTGCGCGGCGAGCTTGGCGGCGTACAGCTCCGAGATTCCGGCGTCTAACAAAGCTTTCTCGACGTCCACTATGAAAGCGCACAACTCCCCCTCCCCCTCATTTGTCATGCAAAATTCCAAAATCACCCTTTGCCTGTTAGCACTTGCTTGCATGAGAGATTCCGGAAGCCAAAACAGCACTACGATCCCCTGGTAATTTGTCATGCAGAAGCTGCATCTTTGCCAGCAGTTGTGTTGCTGTTCATGCAACACAAATGAGGGGGAGGGGGAGTTGTGCACTATCGTATCCACGCGGTCAAATTTACTCAAAATCCTCGCCGCATTCTCCTGCTGCATTTTCGCCGCGGAGAGGAGTCTCGCGGCCTCCGCTTCCGTTTCCTCCTGCAACAGGAAAGCGCGATACCCGTATGAGAGTGCACAACCCCCGCTCCCCCTCATTTGTCATGCAAAATACCAAATCCGGGCTGTGCAGCCTCTTGGCACTGTTTGCATGCCAAGTTCTGGCACCTCCAAATAGTTCTACACTCATGTGCAGATTTGTCATGCAAAACCGGCAATCTTGCTACGCTTGTAGTGCCGTTCATGCTATACAAATGAGGGGGAGGGGGGTTGTGCCGTCTCATAACCCCCCTTTATTCGAGTGGAAATTATCGGACTGTTCGGCGCTGGGGCAGAACACGCACTGCGCGATGTATCAACTGTAAAAATGTCTGGGTCTGGAAGATTTCCAGGTTTGTCATGCATATTTCGCATAAGCTATGATGCCTGTAATGCATGACCTAGCATGACAGGTTTTTTGCGGGTATCTTGATGCCTATCCCGCATGACAAATGCCCTCTCCGCGGAGCAAAAACTGGACGCCTCTTGCTGCTCATGCAATACAGATTTTCTTAGATTCCAAAAATAGCATCACAAGTTGCATTCTTCCAGACCCAGACATTTTTGCAATCCATACGATGCAGACCAACACGATCAGCAATACCACGCCGCCAATAATGCCGCCAATGACAAACATCTCCGTGTTATGGATTGCAAAAGTGTCTGGGTCTGGAAGATTGCAACTTGTCATGGTAAATCTGAAGCATGCAAAAATCTGTGTTGCATGAGTGCCAAAAGCTGGCCACTTTTGACCAAGTTGGAAGGGAGTTTCTCATGCAGGACAGGCATGGCGGAGACCTCGTAGAGTCTGTCATGCTAGGTCCCGCATTCCAGACCTCATGGGTCATGGAAAATCTGCATGACAAGTCTACACTTTTCCAGACCCAGACATTTTTACATTTGATACGTGTTGCTCGCTTCTAATTTCGCTACATTTTCAACATCGGAGTTGTTCGTGGCGCTGGCATCTTGGTCGATCTGCTCGAGGATCAGTTTTAACACGGCCTCGACCGCTTTTTCAACATCCGCCTCGACGTTACTTTGCAGCGCCTCTACGACTTTTACCGCAGCGTCTTTCGCTACCCCTTCGTCCACTTTATTGCGCGTCATGATCGGCGTGAGGAGGCTAGTGACGATGGTGTTTTCGTTTTCCTCCACTTCCTCGTTGACAGCACCTCCAGCTGCAGCTGCTCTTTCCACGGCATCTTGCAAGGTGTCCGCCGTGGGGCGCACCGTAGCCACAATGGCGGAGACCGTGGCGTTTAGGTAGAGGGAGCTTATTTGAAGATCTCCGTCTTGTCCTGTCGCTGCCTCGTCGGATATGAATGTCTTTTTACCAGTTCGCACGTCCGCAATTTCTGCGGCCAGCTCCGCGACCAGTTCTTCTCCCGTCGCGCCACCGTCCGTGAGCACAGGCTTCACTGCGGCGGTAATCGCATTTCGCTCGACGTCTTTGTCTTCATCTGGTTCCACGGTGTCTAACGCAGTCATGATCTGGTCGAAGGTGAGGGTCTTAGAACCTGCTCCTCCTCCTTGTTGCGCGGCTTCTTTCTCCTCCTCCTCCACGCTTTCACCATCACCAGTTTGTTTGGTAGCAGTACTATCACCCCTTTCGGTATTTGAGTGTTCTGGTATCCACGGCAAATCGTTTCTTTTTACCGAACACGTTCTTAGATAGAAGAAAAGACGTACACATTGCATGTTGGTACTATCAACTTGTGTCTGCATGACATAATAATACGTTTCCCAACATGAAGTAAGTAGAACTAGAAGAACCGCTGCACTTAGCATGACAGATGATGTTGGAAAAATGTTGCCTACTTAACGTCTACTTCCTCTTGGCGAATAAATTTCGTACGTTTTGTGCAACTAGTTGTACCTGCACTGTAATCGGTAAAAAAATAAAATTTGCGCCTTGCATAGCAGGAGCGGCCGTTGTAGCTTCTTCTATTACCTCGAACACCACTTTCCCTCCGTTGGGAGGCACGGAGTCTCCGTTAACCTCGTCCATCTTTATCTTTGCCGCCGTGGCCTTACGCATGCAGAGCTTGTATGCATTGCAAATATGTCTGGGTCTGGAGGAGTGCGAACTTGTGATGCGCATTTCACAACACATAAAAATCTCTCATGCATAGGCAGCAAAAGCCGCCCACTTTCTGTCACCAAAGTGGGGCATTTGTCATGCATACCCGACTGCACCTCATCAAAAACCTTTGCACCGTCGCCGCAAGCAGCTTCGGACGCAGGGGCATTTGTCATGCGGATTCGGCATTGCGGAAGCTTCTCGAAATCTGTGATGCGAGAGCTTCCATGCCAGACCTTGTGTGCCATGCAAAAGCAGCACAACTCTTCCAGACCCAGACACTTTTGCATTTGATAGCTTGTATTCCGGCGGCATATTATTCGCTTCCGCGTACCCCCAGGAATTTTTCCAGTTCTCGGCACTGTGCAGTCGGCAACTGCCCTCGTTTTTGGTCTTCGGGTCGAGCGTGAAAGAGAAGCCAAGGCATTTGTCGTTGTTGCACAACGAGTCCGCGCAGTGGTCGAATTGGATGGTAGGTGTGTATGTCCAAGCGTAGTAGGACTGGCCGATGACCAGGTTGGGCACCAACTCGAACGTGTCGCCCTCGCCGGGACACTTCAGGTTTTTGATCTCCTGTATGCAATACAAATTTCCTGTACAACATGTACAACAAAATGCATCACAAATTTCACCAACTATAGTGGAAGCACCTTGTCATGCGGAAGAGGTTCTTTCAAGGAAAAGTTTGTCATGCAGAGACCGCTTTGGTAGGTCGTCGTGTAGGGGAAACTTACTGTGGATATCCTGGTCTGTCAAGACCTCGACAGGCTCTTCACTTTCTTTCGGTGGAAGAATCGTGACGTCTACGGGCCCGAACAGCGTATTGGAAAAATCCATCTTGTCGTGGTTTTTCCGATCTGAAGGCGTACAGAAAGCCTCGATTCTGCCCAACCAAGACTGTCCTAAAAAATAATTTTCATCCCAGTTGCATCCTGCGCAAAAGTTCCATCACGCTCGTACGAATTGCATGCGTCCTTGCATGATCTTCATTTTTCTAGAATAAACACTACATTTCCAGGCTGCTCCCTGATAGTAGTAGTCTTAGTTCTCTGACTGAATGATAGTAAATACTAAGAAGTTCATTTTTGACAAATAAATCTGTGATGCATTGGGCAGTTCTTGCGTGAAGATCCTTTTGCAATGCATAAGCTACAGCAGGCCGTTCTTTTGCAGTGCGATTCGTTTTCGTTGCCCTTGTCTCGGAGTTTCATGTACTCGCAACCGTCACCGCCGTACCGAGCGAGCCTCAAGTCGTCCCCCCCTCTCGTAGGGTCTCCGTCCTCAGCCTTTCCACCCGCTACAGTTCTTTGCTTCAGCCGCTGGCATATCGAGTGAAATACTGTCTGGGTCTGGAATACTCATGCTGTTTTTGCATGACATAGAAGGTCTGGCATGGAAGCTCTAGCATCACAGGTTTCGTCGAGAAGCTTCCGCCATGCCGAATTCGCATGACAAATCCCCCATTTTGGTGACAGAAAGTGGGCAGCTTTTGCTACCTATGCATGAGAGATTTTTCTATGTTCTGAAATGCGCATCACAAGTTTGTATTCTCTCAGACCCAGACACTTTTGCAAGCCATATGGCAGCCCAGCGTGAGGACCCTTTCCCGTGCTGATCGGTTGTTGACGGTCTCAATGATTTCTTTTCGCTTCGACGGGACTCCGTACCAGCCCGGCGGCAACCACCACTCGATTTCCTGCCCCGAGTACAGAAATTTTTCCGGTATTACTTGCCCAGACCTCTCCCAACTCGCCCAGTCAGGTCCTTTTCGCGCCTCCCCGGTGCTCGACACAAACTGCGATTGGCAGTGCTTGGGGTTCTCTGAGGTGCCGGTGTCTTCATCACCGGCGTAGCAATATTTTTCTAACTTTTCCATTGCCTCCTTCGCACACCGGTAGGAAATATCTCCGCGCGACTTGTGTCCCTTCTGAACTAATTTCCACTCCTCGGATTCTTTGATGTTCGGACAGTCTTCGAAGTTGGGCGAACCTCCGTAGTGCCACGCTTTCCCCTTCCCTGTAGTAATGTCAATGATCAGCACGGCGCTCTTGTCCGCACACACGGTGCAGAAAGAGTCGGAAGTAGAGGAGATTTTTCGACTCTGCTTTTGCTTTTCTTCTTCCACCATTTGCTGAAATGACGTAGTTTTCTTGATTACCTGTTTCTCCTCCACAGCCTGGGCGGAGGTCTGCTGGTGTTCCTCACCAACACTTGATAATGTGCTGAGCTCGCCGTTCTGAATTCGTTCTTCCCGATCATGATCGGTCCCGAGTATTATGTTCTCCTCCGGCGCCAGTACCGCGGGGTGAGAAAGTTTGTTTTCAATATGAAGGTCCCGCTTTCCATGCTCGTCATGTTGCTCACGACCACGGCTTCCTGTGCTGTCGTGGTCCTCTACTCCGTGTCGACTTGTAGAAGTACTTCTACGTGAAGAAGAAGATTGTTGTTGTACTATCGTCGTTTGCTGTAGCTTCCTGTGTTCTTTCCGCTGCCGCATCACGGAAAAAGACAAAGCGGCCACTTGCGGAACGTTGAACAGGCCTGGCTCTTGCAGAAATGAGAAGCTCCTACCCGGTCGTGCTCCTGTTGTCCTATCTACTTCATGGCTCGACGTTCTTGTTTCATCATCCGGTTCTTGCACCAGTAGGCGGAAGAAATTATGGTTGCACCAGTAGGCGATAGCCGCGGACGCAAACAGAACCCGCCGGAGAAGAACATGATCTACTGTGCGGCGAGACAGGGAAACGGAGCCGAGGTCCGGTCGTCGCGCTCTTCGAACAAAGTCTGCGCGAGAAAGAGGTGTGCTACAACTTAACATGTTGAAGATTTATTGCTCTGGGGAGAGATGGTGTTCACGCTGAGAACAGCAAATGCTGCAAGTTAAAAACTAAAGCAGGCGCAACTAGTACATGTAGGGGGGAATGAGGGAGAGGCAAATTTTCTACCGCCGAGGCCGAAATAATTCAAGGCTGAAGCTGATGAACGACACATGTGTCCTAATCTCCCCTTTCAGAAAAAAAGAAAAAATGAGCATAACAGCTGTAAGAAGGGTATCCAACAGGGTCAATTAGACGCATAGAATTGCTATTTCCTGTATTCGGGGGTTACCTGGAGGTGCACAAAAATTTCAACTTCATCTCTACTGGTGAAAAGGACGAAGACGAACGAAATTGTTGAACAAAAGTCATCAATCTTCCGGTACAACTACAACTTCTGCTGTACTTATACTCAACACAAAAAATCAGAATTGCGCTTTTGTTGGACGACGACCGAAGTGAAAGCGAACTGAACTACGAAGGCAACGAATACGAAGTTCCAGGAGGTAGTGACTCATCAGGTTTTACTGGAGCGAAAAGAACGTAAGGACGAGGACAACACGATGACGTGAGGAAATAAGCAGGACCGATACTTTTTAATGACCATAGTAGCAACATTTGCATTTCTAATAGCAATCGTTTGTTTCGACGAGAAGGATAATTTTCATATACACGCGCGCTCCAACATTGCAGCTCAACACAGGGCAGATATATTTCACCGTCCTGTTATTTTCTACGACGACCGATTGCTGCAGAAGCAGTTTCTTCGTTGAATAAATGTGTTCTTCTCGTCGTCTAAATGTGTTCAATTCCTCAAGCCAATGCAGTGGCATACAATTGGATTGTTTTTTTTTTTTTTCGCAATATACACGACTGAAACAAAACGAAAAGCGACACCTTTATGTAGAATCATGTACGACAACACAAATACTTGTGCAAACACAAAAACAAAAATGAGCATAATATTGTGCAAACACAAAAAATAAAGGTAAACTGTTCTCCCCCTTGCTTGGCATCTCAAAAAACAAAGATGATAAACAAAGATGATGTGGCTTATTTTCCTATAATCGTGCAGCAACTAGAACTACCATACGGGCCGGTACTGAAACCTTTCAAAGCTTTTGCGGGGAGGTAAATCTAAATGTTGTAAGTAAATCTTTTTTTGAAGCACGCAAATGAAATTTTGCATGAAAACAGTAACTACATGTTGTAAGAAGTAAATGTCTGAAGCAAAAGAAAGCGAAAGTCAAAAAAAAGAAGCATCGTGTGTGACAGTAACAGGTATACTAGGGCGCGGCCTTTTGTTTTAACTTCGCCTTTCGCTTTTCCCGTTTCTCCTTCGTAGACGCGGCCGAGCCACCAGAGGACGCGGACGCCGGTTCCACCTCTTGAAAGCCCGACCCCAGTCCGCTGCCCATCATGCTCGACAGCGGCTGTCCGGACACCAGTCGCTTATGAATTGCAAAAGTGTCTGGGTCTGGAAACTTGTAATACTAAAAGTGAATGATAGACGCGCTGCGATACGCAGCTATGCATAACAAATTTTTTGGCTGCTATGTCTTGCGTATTCCGCATGGCAAACTGCGTTGTTGCATGACAGACAGGTATAGAGGACCTTTTCGTGCCTATGCAACACAGAGTCTCGAGTCATGCCAGACAAGCATGACAAACTTGCACTCTTCCAGACCCAGACATTTTTGCAGTTGATATCGCTCACTCAGAAGCGACATCGGCTGTCCCACACCTGACTGCAGACCGGAGCCCGGGGGAGAGGCGGGCTGGCCGGGTAACTCAACAGGGGCCGGCGCTTGAAAAAACTCCGGCTTCTGCGCCACCAATTCGTCGACTAGGTCACTGAGATCGTTCACTCGGACGCCGTTAAGCCCTTTTGCCACAATCGCTTTTTCCCCGTCGCTCAGCGTCATGACCTGCGACCCCAAGTCGACGGCGTTGGTCCCCGCAATCCGGTGCGCGAGTCCCGCGGCCGCCTCGTCCGAGAAGCCAATCGAGAGCAGGGCCGCCGTGGCATCGCGCAGCAACTTCTCCTCCGCCCTCTTGAGCGCGTCATCCACGACCGGGCCCGTGCTGGCAAGCTTGCCCTTGGTGCCCTTCTTCTTCGGCGCCCCAGATTTTTTCCGTTTCAGTTTCTTCTTACCCGAGGATAAAGAGCTGCCTGACGAGGGTGCCTTCTTCTTTCCAGCGGTGGAGCTCCCCCCGGCGGAAGACGGCGCCGGGCTAGTACCGTCGTTATTTTGCAGTTCGTCCGAAGAGACAGCTGGCGACAGCACGGCTGGTGGAATATTAGGAGCGACCTGGGAAGTAGCAGCAGTGCCACCAGACATGTTGGACGACAGCTTCTGGCTCGTCTCCTGCGTGTTAATATCACTCGTCGCACCACCAACTCCCGAAGTAGAAAGGGGCCCGGAGAGCTTCTTTTCAAACCGCTTCTTCGGCGGCATCAACCGGCCGAGAGCGAAACCGTCCAAAGTGCCGGCTTGCTCAGTATGAATTGCAAAAGCCTCGTACTCGTATAAATGCATTACAAATTATTTCGCCAGCGGGAGAAATAAAATTTAAATTTGTAATGCGGATTTACCTCAAGAAAAAGATTTGTCATGCATGACGAGTACGATACTTTTGCACTTCATACTCGGTGCCGCCGAATAAGTCCACACCGGCAGTGGCGTCGTCCAGCGCAACGGCGCGCAAATCCAACATGGTGGCCGACACCTTGCGCCTTTTCTCCTTCATCAAAGCCTTTTTGAAAAGCATCTCTACTATCAACTGCAAATATGTCTGGGTCCTCTGGAACAAGAGTGTAAACTTGTCATGCAGGTTTTCCATGGCCTTGGCCCACGAGGTCTGGAATGCGGGGCCCAGCATGACAGACTCTGTGAAGTTTCTGTCGTGGTCGTCACGCTTATCCTGCATGAGAAACTCCCTACCAACTTGGTCGAAAGTGGACCAGCTTTTGGCACTTATGCAACACAGATTTTTGCATGATCCCGATTCAGCATGACAAGCTGGAATCTTCCAGACACAGACATATTTGCAATGCATATCTACTACCGCGGTGCTACCGTCGGCGAGCCCGGTCAGCTTCGCCATGTCGCCTTCTTCCGCCAACTATCCTGTGCAAAAGTATCGCACTCGTACTAATTGCGTTTATGCATTACAAATCTCTTTACTAAGGCAAATCCGCATTACAAATTTGATTTGTAATGCTTATGCTACGTGAATTATTTGTAATGCGATTTATACTAGTAAGTACGATGCTTTTGCAATGCATACCAACGCGCGCCAGTCTGGGTGAGCCTCAAGTTCTATCACAGTGCACAACTACTTGCCATCCCCGTTATTTGTATTTTTGCATGGACAGCAATACAAACACGACCCGCACCTGTGGAGCCTGTGCATGACAAGCTCGTGCGCGACGTGGGGTAGTACTGATGTTTGGGCCGGTTTCGAGATCTGTCACGATGCGAACAATACCAAAGAGCAGCCCTTGGATTTGAATGATGGTATATTTATTTCGCATGACAAATCAGGTTCAGGGCAAGTAGTTGTGCACTTTATCGTAAGTTCCTGCATCAGCTGCGCCAGCGTTCCCTGTACAACGGCGGCCACGTATTCGAGCTGCTTCACCTCCGCCGTCTCCACATTGCCGTCCAGCTGCACCAGTGTGCCGCCTGCCTGCAGCGCCGCCGCCTTCTGCACCAGTTTTGCGGCCAGAAACCCGGCGACTTTTTCCGAGAAGCCCGCCGTTTGGAGCCGCGCTTCCGTCTCGTCGATCCGCAGCACCTCGAGGGCCGGGGCTGTTCCTTCGTTCGGGAACAAAGTCGTGTCATGATCATCTCCTCCCGTCGCTGTGGCCACGCCACTCTTCCCGTGGGCGTGGCTAGCGACGGCTTGCAGAAAGCCGCGCATGCGGCCCACCCGCTCCTCCGCCCCGAGCACGTTGTGGTCGCTGAAGTCCAGCCCCATGCGCTTCAGGATGACAAGGTCGCGTTCGTTTTCCGGATGCACCAAAACCTCATCGTCCTCCACGTTGGCGGTACTGGCAATCTGCCTCGCCAGCTTTTTGGCGTACGATGGGGTCAGCCCCGCAGTGAGCAACGCCGTTTCGACCACCTCGTGGCTCAAGCTCCACTTGGGATCCCCAGACTCCGCCTCGAGCTGGTGGAGGGCCTGGTTGACTTCCCGTCGCCTTTGCTCTTTTGCTGTGCTTTCCTTCGAACGCAGCAAACAGAAGACAATGCCAATCAGCAGAAGCAACCCGACGAGGCTGCAAATGACCGCGACGACGCAGTAGGGGTCACTCTCCTGCTGCTCGTCCTCCTCATTTTCTTCTTGTTGGTCTTCGATCGTAAGCTTACTGGAGTTATCCGCTGCAAAAGTATCGTACTCGTTGTTGTACTAGTAATTGCAAAATAAACTACACTGCGTGACGTTGAATCTGCTTCCTTCTAAAAAGGTGAGGGCGCCGCACTACAAATTCCATTTGAATTTTTCATGCTGAGCCAGTTGTTTGTAAGTAGGTGCAACATACGTACTCACACAAGCGGGATACGACTTTTGCAATGCATAGGCATCGTCTATTTTTTTCATCAGTTCCTCCTGGTTCTCGCCTTGGGTTTCGACATTTTTGACGAATTCCGTGGCAATCTCGTCTGCTGCTTCCTGAGCGGCACGCTCCTCGACCCCCTTCTCCACTAGTTTTGGAACGACGGCAGCGGTAATGATTTTCTCTTGGTCCTCCTTATCCTCCGCTTGCATCGCACTGTCTACAACAACGTCCGCAAGATCGGACACACTGATTTTAGGAGGAACGTACACGTCAGCAGCTCCCGTGGAGCCGCCGCTGCTGTCGCAACAGCTGGAGCTGGTGGCAAAAAAACCAGCTCCGCCTTCATCTGTTTCTGCTTCGCCTCCGCCACTTCCTGCAGCCCCGGCCGCAGACCCGCCAGTGCCAGTTGACGCGCCTGTCCCCGCTCCGCTTTCAGGAGAGGAACCTGCCGCCCCGTCGCCCCCGGGCCCGCCCGCGGCGTTGTTGCCAGAGCCCTGGTGGAAACCATTGTTGTTCGAAGACGTAGTTGAGCCGGGTACTATCGGTAGGTCCGCCGCCGTGCCGTCGTTTTCCCGGCATGATTCGACTTTGTCTTCCACCTCAACAGTTTTTGAAAATGTATGGAAGTGTCAGAATCGAAATCGACAAAATCGAAAAATTTGTGATGCACAAAACCGATGCCAGTTGGAGCCTCAGTTTCCAAGTGGCGCATGACAAATTTCGAGACCACCAAAATCCAGTCTGTCATGCTGTTTGTGCAAAGCAGACTGCTCCTGTAATGCTACTCTGGCAACACATTGTATACCCCTAAACAGGCTTACAATCGGTCTCATTTGCCTGTTCCCCAATACAGGCCTCGCACGCGTGCCCTACATTTTATGCATGACAAATTTTTCGACTTTGTCGATTTCGATCCTGACACTCCCATAACGTGCCGGCGCCTGTTTTATCGCGGTGTCTTTCACGCACAAAACGTAGCCAGCCCAGACCTTGGTGGTTTGTTCCGCGGCTTTTAAATCATCTAGGTCGTGTATGGGGGTGTCAGGATTGAAATCGTCAAAGTTGAAATAGTTTGTCATGCAGAAAATGCAACGCAGAGATTGCCTCTATTGCAGAGGACGCAAGGAAGGCAGATTGTAGTGCTGGTAAGGGTCGAGAATTGGGCTGCTGACTACTAGCATCAAAGAGGGGAGCACCGTTGCCCTGAACAGCATGACAAACTCGCTTTCGGTATGGACAAAATTTGTCATGCACCGACTCGAAACTGCGGGTCCAACTGGTATCCATTTTATGCATGACAAATCATTTCATCTTTGACGATTTCAAACTTGACACTCCCATATCGTGGAGCACGCACTGCTTCGTCAGGCTTTCGTCGTAGCTGTAGGAGTATGCATTGCAAAAATGTCTGGGTCTGGAAACTTGTGATGAAAGGAAGGGAATAGTCAGCTCACTGTAATGCGCTGCCAAGAATGACAAGTTTTTTTCCTGGCTCTGAGTTGCGTACTCCGCATGAGAAGCTGCGTTTTTGCATGACAGGGAGACGGAGCTCTTCGTGGCCACGCAATACAAAGTGCAGAGTCAACATGCCAGACTAGCATGACAAATCTCGTCATCTTCCAGACCCAGACATTTTTGCATTTGATAAGGAGTAGGCGGCACAGTTGTCCATGCCGAAATTGCACGCGGTGGCGCAAGCCGCAATGTCGCCCGGGTTTGTGTTGTGCTCACTGTAGTAGCGGTCGATAACGAAGTTTTCCAGTCGAGTGTAGTTGTTTTTCGCTGTGCAGTCGTATGGAGTTCTCAAATGTTTACATTCTCAACTGTGTAATGCAAGACTGGCAAAAGTGAAAGGAGGAAGATTGCGCCTTTTGCATGACAAGTTTGGCGCAGATTTAGATGCTGTCTAGCCCTCCCGAAATTTGTCATGCGAAGCAGCTCGATCATGATCATCTGCCGGCTTAAGGTACTTTTGCATGACAAATTCATGCAACAGTTGAGAATGTAACGTTTGAGAACGCCATAAATCGTCAATTGCAGTTCTGGCGTACACATCTGCGCACTTCGGAATGTCCTTGTCGTCTTCTGCGTCGGCCGTGTCGCTCGGAATTGTCACAGTTGTCCCCGGCAAAAACGTCCCCACGACCCCAGAGTTCTTGTCATGCAGATTTGCAAACAGAGGAAAATTTGCAATGCGTATCCCCATGAGAGGCATTCTCAGTCGTGCTTTGGAACTTGTATTATGCTGTAAACAGGATGATGAGATCGAGATGGATTTGTTATGCGGCAGCCTTTTCTAAACTGTAGACTGCAAGAATACAATGAGGAAGTTGTCATGCGTGACTCCCAAAACTTCTGGATTTCTCTTTCTGTTGCTAGCTGAGGTCACCCAACTTGTACTTGACTATGGGGTGTGGGCACTGTTTTTGCTCATGATACCCGTAGCTCCGTTTTCATTGGGTCCTCCTCCTGGCGTCTCACCGTTCGGATTCGTGCCACCGGGAACAGATCCCGCGGAATCACTGCCTTCTCCGAGCTGAATTTTACGGAGCATGCCACTCAACTCAAACGCCTCCACCCGGTGATCGGGAAATGGTTTGCCCGGAATAGGTTCATCGTAAAAGTAGTCGTCCTTCGACCAACGGGGCTGGGGATCTTCTGGACCGGGGCGGCAGTAGTAGCAAAACGTCGAACGCGGGTACTGCTGTAACCAGAGCTTCCACTCTTGTGCATTGGCCTTACTGACTTCGAAATTCCACGAGAAAAGGCTTTCGAGGGCTGCTGCCCCTTGGGACTGATTGGGGCACCAATAGGGGGGAAAATGAGACTTTTTTTTGCCGGCTCGGCAACAGGCATGGCTTTCGCAGCTTTTGTCCTGAGCAGCTTTGTTGCTGTTGTACACCGGTTGTTGCACGTCTTCCATCGTACGGAAAAATCCCCCCCTCCACATACTTCTGCAAAGTCCAAGGCACAGGGCAGCTTGTATTCGCTGAGGACTACTTGTTGTTGTCTGCAGCAGAAGTGCCTCGATCATGCGTACTGGAGAAGCAAGACCGACAGGAAGCATCCTGCTGTGTGCGTTTCTCTCTGCGGCGGAACAATCGACTACCAACCCTTCTGAAGGTTTAGAATTGTCTCGACCTGACCAGGTGGCCTCGAAAATGCCCTCAGTGCCGTACTACAAGGCGAAGCGATTGTGTCCACCACCTCAGTACGGGAAATTTCCTCCTGAATATGGGGAGAGGGCGGTTTTTTTTTGAATGGATACTCTGGACGGTAACATAGCACGGACTTGGCTTACAGTGGACCGCGAACGCCTTGTGCCCGTCACCAATGCCGCTTTGCAACTCCGTGGCAATTCCGCTCCAATCTACGCTACCCGTCGCGCCTGTCCAGCCTGGCGGCGCGATGTCGGCTACCGAGCTCACTTGGTCTAGGAAAGTCGCATCACAGCCCGCGGCCTCACACATGTCTACCGTCTTCCGCGCTGCTGTCTCCGCACACGTGATCCCTGTGCTGCCGCCACAGTCTTTCCACGTTGCTTTCTGATCGAGTTGCGGCACAGGAAATGCGCTCCACCGCGTGTCCGTCACATGCGTATCATACCAGCCGGCCCCGTCGCCGGTGCTGGGATCAACCAGGCCGACAAGATTGTATACCTGGCACCGGGGGCAATAGGGATACTTGTTGTGGTAGTCATACATGTCAACAGAAGCCTCGTTTTTCTGGCTAGTCTGGTGTTCTTCCCGCCGCCCCTCGTTCTTCCCGCTAGTTCTTCTCTCGACTTCTACTTCCAGCAGTCCGGCGGGGTCGTCCCGATCTGCGGAGGCGGAGGTCCCGGAATGAAGGGAAAGCAGAGTGGTCCGATTGTTCTGGACGACCTGCGGCTCAGACAGTACAGATTTTTCTTCAATGGCGCGTGGATGTTGCTCCAGTTCTTGATGTTGCTCTTCTCCACCGACAAATTTTTGCTGGCGTGTTGAAATAAATGCACTTTCCTCTTCGAAACGACCTCTACTGTGCGAGGATTTTTCTTGTTTCCGCCCGTCGAACAGAATCCTTTTCAACGAGGAGGTTCTCGTCGTAGTGCTCGACACACCAGATACAACTCTTCCTGCTGCCCGCCGCGACGAGAGCTGCGGAGCTGTAGTGGATCTAGCTGTTCTTTTCTTTGCCACTACGGAGGTTTTGGTCTTCACTTTCGCGCCCGTTTTCTCCTTTTGGGTCGTCGTGGTTTTGGTGTGCTTCCGCACGGAAAACGACAACGCGCGGACAGGAGGAGGTAAAATTGGCGAGGAAAACAACATCTTCTGCTTCTGAAGTACATCTTCGTTTTGCGGGACGACGAGCAGGACGAGGTCGCGCATCATCAAGGTCCACACAAAGATACGTAGTAGCCAGACCCTCAGATGAAACCTGCAGGAAGCCAGCGTGGAGTTTCTACTAGTACCACTTCGCAGCCACGCCATTTGAAGAAGGATCTCGTCCTGGTCGCCGCGGCTCAACATGTTGATCTACTCTTCCCGTGGTCCCTGCTAGAATTATGTTTCTGAACAAGAAAAAAGGGCCAACTACACAGGCACAGGCTAGCGCTAGCCGAAATCCAAAATAAAACGATACAGAGATAGATGCTTTTTAACTGCCCGCTATGAGACGCGGTTTCTACTTTGACACCGGGGAAATCAGAAGTCGTCCTCCTTTTCTTCGGATACTTTTACTTACTAGGACTCGGTGGGGAGATAAATTCGTACTCTACTAGTCATTGCATAGACAAGACTTGACATAGAATAACTCGGCTAGTACGGGGGGGAACGTCTAGCGCCGTCTGTCTTTCGAAATTTATTCTTCAAAACGACGTAGAACTATGCGTTGCCGCGCCTTGATCTTGATGATAGTTGTTTCTCTATGTAGTAGTTGCGAGTCATGCAGTGAGTCTTGGTGCTGCTGGCAAGGGCGAGCTTATATACGAGATCTGGGCCACAACGAGGAAGACGATGACAAAGAGGAACGACAACGTTGTTAGTAAATGGACGACAGGAATGAATTTGTGTGACCAAATTTACGTTGTAGTTGCGTTTTGGGAACAAGGACCCAGAAAAACTACTTAGTCATACCACGACATCAACACGAATATCACACGACGTGGACCCTATTCTCATAGTACGATACGATTTTTTTAAACGCCCAGATGCAGCACCACGTACTTGATGACACGAGAAAACAGTGGACAACGCTGATGTACGACTAGTATGTCAGGAACCGGACATATTCTAGTTTTTTTCTTAACTACCAGTTAGTATCTTGGCTTTCCGCACGAGAAAGTGAAAAGCGATTTGAAATCAGGTTCAGCCTGAACGATTGCAAAGAGACTTGACGTGCAACGGAGTGTATGTACGACGTGTCATGGTCATGCGTGCGCTGCTAACAGTAACATCAAGCTAAAGCTTCGGCCACGGCTTTGCTCCCACGGCTACTTCTTACTAGGTACGAGGCGCACGACAACGACGGAAAAATGTTGGTGCTGGCGGTTGGTTTTTCACTTGTAGCAGAACAGTGAATCTTCACTCCCATCGCGATCATCTTGATCACGCACCGCCTGTCCTTCGTGAAGGACAAGAATGCGTGCCTTGGTACTACATGATAGCCTCATTTGAAAATCTGAATCTAAACAAGAGCGAAGATGTTGGCAGATTCCTCTGTCATTTCTGCTGCAGCACCTCCTACACCATCTACTTACTTTGTGTGCCGCCAGCTGCACAAGAACGTCCTGTAGCCTCCCCGGAAGAGCAAAAAGTGATGTAGAAGCATGCCGTGTTCTTGCAGTCTTTAATTCTTGTTTTGGGGAATTTATGCGATTTCTAAAAACACTCTGATCGGTTCTTTCTATTCGAGTTTTGAAAAGCTGCAGACGAAAGATCCGGTGGGGGCAACCGAAACCGTTTTCATCCGGTGGCACTAGTAAGTACCTTTAGTACGTGCTGACTCTGCGGCAAAGAAAAACGGTGCTCAGGGGGCACGAGCTTCATCGCTTGATGGAAGATGTTGAGTGCCATCATTTACTTAGACAGGGTATGTCTACCATCTTCGATCGTCGCAGCGTCCGTCTTGTGGTTGTGTTGGATTTGGGTTCAAAAGCAAAAAAACCTTTAGGGCCTTGAACCTTTGACGCCAAGCCCTGGCACGAACAGAAAGAAAGAAAGAAAGAAAGAAAGCAAAAAAAAGGATGAATGTTGTGGTAAATGAAATATGTAAAATTGTTGTTGAAGAGACTATGTGTAAATGAAATATGTAAACTTGACCCATGCGAAACGATAGTTGTAAAATGAAATATGTAAACTTGTTGAAATCCAGTGTGTTAAGATGAATAACATAATTTTTTGATTAAAGGTTGTACTGTGATTGAACTACTTGAAATTACTATTTACTTTTTTGAAACAAATTCGTGAAAAGCAGGTGTGAAAATCCTCCTCCCCTCGAGGATGCCAACGATTTCCTTTTCTTTGACAATCCTCCTCACTTCGGCCAGCTCGGGGCCACGACCGAGTGGTCTTAGTGCTGCGAGTGGCACTACGAGTGGCATACGACCGAGTGGCATACGAGAAACTGAAAACCGATTTGCAACGAGTTGGACCTGGATGCTGCTACAAACTCTTCAAAGAAAAGAGTAGGTAGGACGTGTCATTATCTTTGCGCTGTTAGCAGGCGTCGGCTACGTCGGCTTTCCCACGACATCTACTTGTTCTTACGTATGA